AATAACTTTCACAAGAATAGCTAAAATTAACCAAGTGTATCTAAGAAATGCTTGAAACACACAATAAAACGATTTAAATTTCATAACGTATTAAGTATAACACATTTTTATATTACCAAAGTAATTGTGTCAATAGAATATATTTTACCAATCAAATACTTAACTGTAGGTTTTGTTTGAAAGTCTGAACACGGTAGCTTTATTATAACATACTTCTAATAAAATTTTAATGACATTTTTGCCAACGATAGTACTTGCTGCTAGAACATTTTTGGATTATTTAAAATATTCAGCTCTACCCCCCTCAGACTAACACGCCGATGGAAAAAAAATCCATTGAATTAGTATGTAATTACAAATTTGCATTTTCAGGTTGATTTTTTTTATAATAAAATGGAATTTTGACGTTTTGTATTAGATCTATGCATAAGTAAACCTTGAATGAAAGTAGTATTACTATTGTAAATCTGTATAAGTCCACACAAGCCGATGATGAAAACAGTAATACTAAAGCGAATATGCAAGGCAAACTGACGCTGTAAATACTGAGGCGAAAAAAAAATAGAAAAAAAAATTAAGATGTTGTTACAACTCGATTATTTCTGTTAAAATAAACCGGGAGCGATCTCCCCTAAACTTTCTCGTATATTCTTATATAAAAAACAGGGGATGTGAACTCGGGATATAGACATGAATTTTAATCCATTTTAAATACTTAAACTTTTTAAAATAGAATAAAATCTCGTAGAAAAAGAATTGCGCACCTGTGAATGCCAAAGCAAATGTGCATAATAGTGCGGAATATTATTAGTACTTTATAAATTTACATGCGGTTTTTTTTTGAGAAATCGGAAATAGCGTAAATTAGTACTTCCGGTCAACGGAAATTACTCAAAATTTGATAGAAGGTAGAGAAGGAGGCGCTTGCAGCTTGTTTTCTAACGGCTTCCAGAAGAGAATTATATATATAGATATATAGGCCTATATATATATATATATATATATATATATATATATATATATATATATATATATATATATATATATATATATATATTCCTTTTTGTATCTCTGTTAAAAAAATGACAGGACTGGATTAGGGTGTAGTCTGGTAGTGTTGTGTTAAATGACCAATAAATTTTTTTCTCTAGTCCTCGGCAGGTAAAGGAGAATATAGAATGAATCTTCTGGACGCGAATATTTACCTACGACCTTTGTATCTGCAGCTTAAATTAAGCGACAGCCAAAGAACGTACACCATAATGGTAAGTTGAAATCGTAATCCATTTCAAATATCAAACCTTAAAATAACTAATTATTACCTGATGAACATAAATTTAAAAAAACTGTTGGTCAGAATTAAATTCCTACTGTGACTGCAAACTCATCTAGTAGGCCTACAGCACGGCTATAGTGTGCTTAATAATAATATGGAACTAAGAAAGTGTGAAGCAGCTCTAAGCATTTTATTGAGTGTCCATTGTAATGAATTTAAAATTGATTACTGATCAATAAATGTTGGAGTCTTGTTAATGAATACATTATTTTGTGATGTTAGATGGAACGGATAGAGGACTTCAAGTTTTTTATCAGATCTATCCAGTCCCAGAAGTTACAAAAAGCCATGGAAAAGGAAATGTTCCTGAATCAGAAAAGTAAGCTTTTGGATATCAAGTTATTGATCTCAGCTAACATAAAATTGTTGATCCCATGCAATATCTGTTGCAATATTTTTTTAAAATTAGCTAAATATATTCTACAAGAATATACCATACCTTACATAAATGATTATTACTGCTAAACCCTGTCTGCTTGTTGGTAGTTTATTAAATGCAAATGATTTATTTTCTACATTTCAGTCCAACATCTCCACAGATCTATGGCCCAGCATGTCGCGGCTATATACCCAGATGTGGCCACCAATGACGATGACTGTTCAAAGATTTATAAACTGATACACCAAGAAATGAATAAGAAAGTGGAACCAAAGAAAAAAAGGAGATACTACATGAGATTAGCTTGTCTAGCAAAGAGGCGGAGGTTAATTGATTATTTTTTCTATCATGTATGGTGGTTCTAAGCCATAGTGTCGTTTAGTAAACTAGTATGACCTTCTGCATGTAACTATGTTGTTTTCATAAAAAATTTAAAATAAACTTTTGATAAATTCATTCACCATTTGTACTGTGTTTTCATGTGTAGAAAGTTGGTGAAACAAGGCTTTAAAAATGAGGTGTAAACCTTAACAATCATCACTTACTTAATTAAAAAAGCCACATAGAATGTCCATTTTAGTAACACTAGAGACACCAATTTAATAAAATATTTATTGACCAGTGAAGATAATTTAAAACAATATTACTTACAATCAGACTATGTAGCATATATATATATATATATATAATATGGACAGTGTCAAGTAAAATTTGATAAATAAAATCTATCACACTATTTTCAGTGTCAACATTGGCTGCTGTTGTATTATGGACCTATATTACAATAACTGTTACACAAATGTCAACATACATTTACAAATGTACAGTAGTGGTTAACAGGACGGAGGTGACACTACCATGTCACAATGTACATAGTTAGTGTCATAAGGAATTGTTAATATATATTTTTACCAGCTAAATGTTAGACTGAGTATAATTTCATACAATAATTTGTATTATCTTGTGAGAATGGAGCCTGCATAATGTGGGTGGAATCAAAGTAGAATTGAATTCATCACCATTAAGTACAATAGCATTATGCAAAAATCACACAGCATCAAGCAATCAACTTCTGTTTAACCTTATAACCTTACGGATCTGTTTATACAAACGGTTCTGTCTATCCAACTCAGCAATGATCATGCCACATTAAGGGGATATGCGCGACAAAAAACCACACAATTTCTTGTTTTTCGTCATGATGGGTTTCTTGCACTTTTGGATACTTTGTCCATTTTTGTATTTGGAAAATAATAACTTTAAAGAGAAAAAAAAATTTTTAGGTGTTTAAATTACCATTTTTATGACCCTGTTAATTAAAAAAGAATCAATTTTTCCCAATCTTATACGCTCTCTATGAAAAGTTTTATATCCGTCATCATATTGTATTTGGCATCAATGGAACGCTGAATTTCTCCTTTATTTAATAATCTTAATTTCCATCATCTCGGAAACACCCAAAGCTTACAATCGGCTTTGCAGTTTACACAGATATGGTATTTTCGTGACCTACTTTTCGTTACTTTTGGCTGTTTTTCTCAGTTCGAATGTTTTTAACACTATAAAGCCTACTACTTTTTTATTTATTAAACAATCGCAACCATATTTTCAGTAATTGTTCTTCGTGCAAAAATACAACTTTTGTCACTAGGGAATTGTGATGGCTTACATAGAAAAAAAGTATTTGCTATTTAATATGCACATTTTGAAAATTTTGAACACTAAAAATGGTACGATTTTGTAGACTTTGTAAAATTCTTACTAGTAGCTATTTCAAAAAGTTTTTGTGACAAAAGTTTTAATATATCCTGGAATATAAGCAGTTTAAATTTGATTGTTATAGGTGCATAAATAAAAAAGCCTTAGCATTTTTAAAAGTACCAAAAAATTCAAAATGGCGGAGGTTTTTTCGAGTTCCCATGACAACCAAAATTGTTTTCAACCCTTTTTTGCTGTTTAATACTTACTTTTATATGCCAAACATGATAAAAGTTTTCAAAATGCTTTAGATATTAAATTGTAAAAAATAGGAAAAAACATAGCATATCCCCTTAAGCAGTCACCTCCCCTTGTCCAACAGCATCAAGCTATCACCTCCCCTTGAGCCCTATAGCCTCACGGATCTGTCTATCCAACTCTGCAATGATCATGCCACATCAAGCAGTCCCCTCCCCTTGTCCTACAGCATCAAGCTATCACCTCCCCTTGAGCCCTATAGCCTCACGGATCTGTCTATCCAACTCTGCAATGATCATGCCACATTAAGCAGTCACCTCCCCTTGTCCTACAGCATCAAGCTATCACCTCCCCTTGAGCCCTATAGCCTCACGGATCTGTCTATCCAACTCTGCAATGATCTTGTCCTGAGATGTGTAAACCCCAGTCCTCAACAATGTATCTCTCTCCTCTACAAGCCTTGCCACATGTTCGTCCACTGATGTATCCAGGTCCAGATTTAATGGCTTTCCAAAGACATCTTTAACCACAGGAATCTTATTGGAACCTGAGGTGTTACCAAGTCTTTCTTCTTCTATCTGCTTCAGCCTTCAAAGAAAAAAAACAACATTGAAGTCCATTTAAAACTACCCAAACAAAACAAACAACAAACTAAATTCACTTTTTTACAGCTACATCACCAGAGTGATTAAATCAATACTAAAACTTAGAAGAAATTTTTAGTTTTAAAGATTTAAATTCCAATTTATTAAAACAAAGACATATAGTAGAACATAAAAACTTGAAGCAGATTATTTGGAATCGGGCAGGATAAAGTTTGGGCACAGCTCCCTGTGTCAGAAAGTTTTAATTCATCCCCCCCCCCCCCCCCAATGAGTTTTTTTTAGCTCCCCAAATGACAGACACCAAGCCTTACTTGTTGATTTGTACTTTGATTTCTTCCAATTCTTTGCTCTCCTTATTGACAATCTCTTTCTCCTCAGCAGCCAAGTATCTTAGCCTCATGTGTTCCAGTTCTTGCTGCTGGCGCTAATGATGACAAACATGCATTAGTTTTTAATCTGAACACATTCTTATCTTTGTTTTTTTATCTTAGTAAAGTTGATCAAACAATAAATAAAATAAAACCTACTAAAAGCTGAGCTTTGGCGAGATCCTGTTCTTTTTGTTTCAGTCTGGCCACCTCTTTGAGTGCCCGCCCCCACTGCTGTTTGTAGTGGAGCTTTGACTTGCTGGCAGCATCTAGTTTTCTCTCAAGTTCAAGCTGAAATATGTAATTAAGCTCGTTAATGTCTTTTATTCAATTACAGATTTTACTCTTAAGCATTAATTACAAAATCTGATGATGGAAACTAACAAAGTGAAGCTGAAGTACATTATATTAATATTCCTAATAGACATTTTTCAATCACAAACTGAAGTGGGCCTCCATTTAAAAAAATAAAGCCTTAATGACATTTTGTGTAAACTCGATTTGGTGTAAAAATCACATTGCTGAAGATTTAATAAGAAAACAAAGAGGAGGGCATCCACAGACCTTCTCCATGTTGAGCAGGTTGATCTCAGATTGTAGCCTGACCTCTGGGGTTTTGGTCTGCTGCTCTTTGTACAAGGAAAACTCTTTTTCTAAAGCTCGATATTTCTTTTCACTTTCATTCAGCTGAAATTTAACAATGATAATAGCTTTGATATAATGATGATCATTGACATAAGTTTGCTTTTTGACTGATCAACAACATAAAGTCATGTCAAGTGACTTACCTCTTGTTTGTATCTGCTGCAAATTTCCTCTATTTCTTTTAACTTCATTCTGGTGTTTAAAAAAATGTGTAATTACAAACTTTGTGTAGGATTGCCATTGATAACAACTATTGGCCACATAAGTTATTGTTTTTTGTTATTGATGGCAACAAAACATACTTAAGTAACTGATGGGCACAGAACTTACTTTTGTAATTCAACTTGATGATCACAATCTTCTTTCATCCTCCGAGATGCTTCTTTCATCTCTTGAAGTTTTCTGTCATGTTCTCTCTGGAGGTCTGATCTGAGTTTCATAACCTAAACATAAATGTAGAGAAACTAGATATAGACCAAGCATCATGGTATGTCATTCAGAGAAAATGTTTTAAACTATGGCAGTGTTGAAGGTCTAATTTAATTAAAGTAAGAATTGTTAGTCAACTCTAATTTACCTCATTTAAAATAAGATTCTTATTGATATGAAAAATTATGTTATAAGCAATGTACATTGTTAAAGTTTTTCAGACCATTACAAGACAATTACTGACCAGACTTAACATTATACCAACCACAAACCAAGTGTTTTTTTGCCAGCAAGTGAGACATATAGGCACTTTATAAGACTGTAAAATAAGGCACTAATTTACCTCATGTTCATTTAATGCCAATTTTTTCTCTCTTTTCTCCAAGTCAGTCAGAGTATTTCTCAGCTGATCTTCTAGATGTTTATATTCTGCTAGCTGAAAGTAAAATCAAATCATAAGCTAGTTATATGATGTTAATGTTTTACTCATAAATTCTGTAGTAACTGGTGAGTTATTTGTGAATATTTGTGTCACACGTGTGTGACTTACACAAATGTAACAGTAACAGGTGATTGATTCGTAAAATTATAACTCACCTTCTTCTGTGTGAGTACTTCCCGTTCTGTATCTCTTTTCTTCCACTCTTCTGCTAAAGTTCTCATGTGCGTGGCCTCTTTCAATTTTAGCTGTTAAAAATAAAACTTAGCTGTTGAATACAAAGTTACAATCATAGTTTTTTGGATAAAGTTAGAGAAAGCTTAGAAAATGGAATTATAAAAACAATGTGTGTATCAGTGACAGGCAACTAGCTAGATATCACAGACCTTTTTCTCAAACTCTTTCTCCTGATTCTCTTTCCAAAGTTCCAGCTCTATTGCAGCTTGGTACTCAGCTGTCCCCCTAGGGCTGCTGGCTCCAGCTGTCTCACCATTACTGTGGAAGGCTTGTGAAGCTGCACCTTGGAATTCCGAGGCTCCAGAAAATGCATGATTCTAAAGGATTGAGATTTTAGAACTTTTGTAAAGATGTTACTTTATTTTCTTCATTCACAAAACATTCTGGGGATCAGCCAGATAAAAACGCCAAACTCAGGGTAAAATCAAACAAAAGTTTAAATCAGAGATGTGACCACACCATGAATCAAAATTAAAAAATACATTAGACCAGTCTTACAAGGTTGTTGGCAGCTTTTATGTACTGCAATTATGTAAATTCACAACATTATTGTATCAAAAAATAGATTAATTTGGCTACTATCTTAAATAAAAGAAGTTTCTGTTTATTCGAAAACATTAAAAACATTTTAATTCACAATTTATAAAAATGATAATTACAAAATCATGATACATTGTTGCGCAATTTAAGAACTATTTAAATTATCTAAGAAATTTTAAACAAATCCCTGAGAAACTTTTTTAATTAACTTAATGAAATTATAATTGACTAATACTAATATACTTTACTGAAAAGGCCTATTAGACTATTTGAGACTGACAGTGACATCATTTTTTAATTTTTCCCCAAATAAACAATATCAAACACATTCTCTGAGCAACTGAGATTATAAAATCAGTAAAAAAAATAATCTTGAAAATCATAAATGTCCTTAATAGAACTGTTTCATATCCCTGTTGAATCTACAACTCAAACAAAATGCCTAAATGTCTTACCTGTTGAGTACTAGTGGCTGATTTTATAGGTCCCCAATCCTCCAAGCTTAGAACAAGACTAATATCTGCACATTTTTCTGATTGCCTTAGAGAATAGAGAAAACAAATTTGCACTTAAATTCTACAGCAGGTCCATTTGACTTAACTGATAAACATAAGAATAGAAACAGTATATTAGCATGTGCAATGGATCTAAAATTGTAAAAAAAAGTGTTGTGGGTAAAAAGCTAGTGACAGAGAAAATATACCCATTAGCTGAGTATACAGGGATCCTATCAGATGCCTCCTGTCTCCATCCTGTTACTCCTGCTGAACTCTGAGGAAGATAAAATTTTAGGCTGTAATCAGGGAAATCTTTTTTGTTACGTCAGGTAATTACACTCAGTCATATCAGAGTTTAGTGTCAAATTATGCCATGGTCTAATGATAAAAAATTTAATGCTATATTGCCATGAAAATTATGACCTAAAATCTTGAGAGTAGTGAATAAAAAAATCTCTCAGTGAATAAAAACTTACCATTAATCGCATCCTATCAGCTGATATAACAATATTTAACGGTAGTTTAGCTGTGCCAATCAAAATATCCTGTGACAGCTGTCTATCTCTATGCCACACCTCCACAATGAGAGGAACTCTACAAAGAGAAATATATATGTTTATAAATGAAATATAAAAAGGTAAAATTGCTAAAGATATTTTATAATGAGTTATTTGTCACAGAGTCATATTACTTCAGGGTGTAAGTATATACAAAATTTGTAGATAAAATATATATGAAGTGTCACCGACTTTTACCAAAAGAATATTGTTCAACAGACTTCTACTGATAAATAATGTATAACACTTCTACTGATAGAATATTGTTCAACAGACTTCCATCGATAGAATAATGTATAACAGACCTGTACAAATAAAATGCTAAACAAATGTGCTACATACCTTGTGAATGTGTCCTGTAGCTGCTGCATACTGCATGCAAAATCAAAGGCACAGAAAGACTGAGGGAGTAGAACTTCTGATCCTTTCCTAATCTCTACAGGCGGGTGGGTCAAGATTGGGGCAGCACTCCCAAAGAAAGGATACACATATCTGGACCATTCAAGTCACATTTTTATGCATCATCAATAATAGAAACAGTTACAAGAAAAATGAAAAAGCTACTACATATGAATTTTTTTTTAAAGCTGTTTTTAAATTAAGAGATCATTGAAAATGTATTGAAGTCTAAAACAGCACAATACGCTGAGGACACACTTACCTGAGAAAAACAAAGCATGTGTTTGTGGAATGCTGGTCCCTGATACTGCGCAGGTCAATGCTGAATGTAAAGTGATGTGCTTGTGGTGGCATGCTCACTTCATCTTCAAACATCAATATAATCATTAGACACACAAACAACTGTAAAAATCTGTTTACATGAACTACTGTGTAACAACCATTCTTGTGACAGCAGATCTTTCAGAAATTATGTCAGGCAATTAGGTAAAAGAAATTTTTGTTGCCTACATTTAAAATAAATTAAAACTATTTTTTTTTTTAAATTACATTTTTTATCTGGCAACAAGTTGACTTGGTGACCTCTAACAGGTGATGTCTGCTGCCATTGTGCTGCAGGCCTTGACCCTTTGTTGACTTTTTGTTCCTGGTGTTTTGTTTCAACTAAAAATATAGTTTTTATTTAATTACATGATAAACTAAAATCTAAACTAGGTTTTAAAACTGAAGCTTTACTGAATTTAAATGATTTTACAAGTTTTAATAAAGTGATTTCTTTTAAATCTGATTGAAAAACCATTTAAAAAATCTAAACACAAACCTTTTTGTGGTGTTTGAGGTTCTGAAGTTTCTTCTGTAACACTGTCCAGGTGTTGTTGAGCATCTTCTTGTTTTTTCTCCTTTTTCTCTGCCTGCACTTGTGCTGGTTTGTCTGGTTTAGTTGAGGTCATGTGACCATCAACAGTTGCTGCTGCACCAGTCACAAGCACAGCTTGCTGGTTTTCTTTCACTGGACTCTTCACGGCCTGGTTTTATATGACAAAATCAATATGGTTTTAAACACAGTTGGCAGGTTTCTGCTGTGATTTCAATAACTGACCATAAACAACATGTTTTATTTGACAAATGGGTAGGACGTGGTCAGGTGGGAGGAGGCAGATGAAGCTCATTAACTGAAGACAGCAACTTCTCTGGAGAGCAACTCTAAATCAAACAACTGCTGCCTTGCTGATGTTTGTGAATGAACAAAGGCTTTGGAAGCACATCCAAAAAGAAAAGCTGGCTGCAATATCTGAGTCAGCTGACCATACAAAATCTAACTATTGGCAAGTAATAATTATTATGTTGGAGGAAATCCCCTCCAAGGTTACAATTAAGAATGAAGAAAGAAAAAAATATGCAAATGATGGTTTTATCTACACCAATCAATGCCAACAGACTCTTACACTGGACAAACAAACCACATCTTCTGTTATGAGAAACATTTTGATGGCATCCTTAAACTTAGGTAATACATCACAAACATCACAGGATGCTATTGGTACCTACCATATCTTCCTTCCTTAGCACAATAGAGACTCCAACAGATGGGGATGGAACTGGGTTGGCTTTATTCCACTTGTTGGCTGGGAACAGCTAGAGAAAAAGTTAACGAATTCAGTAACACAAACTAGATAAAAGTTATCCACTTCAGTAAAACAAATTTGCTAACAGTTAACCAGTTGAGTAACACAAATTTGCTAACAGTTAACCAGCTTAGTAACACAAACTAACTAAAAGTTAACCAGTTCAATAATACAAAATTGCAAACAGTTAAACAGTTCATGGGGATTTCATATATTCAAGCCATATTCTTTAAACATTAATAAAAATTATTATTGAAAAAGAAATTAAATTGAAAAACTAGCAATAGAAAATGTACTAAAGTTATTAGTGTAAGTAAATTTCCTCTTTAGACCTAACAATCCATTAGGCAGAAGAGTAGAGTAAAAGTAAAGTTCCCATTTTGAATCTGACAGCCCATGGGGCAGGTGGGCTAGAGTTCACCTGTTTCTGTGACCGCCACATATAAAAGCGTAGTGTGGTCAGCATTATGCCCAGCCACCTGTATTTCCCCCACTCAGGGACAGACTACAGTCACAAGTCTGAAATGAGTGTATGTAACACACCTGAAAAGCACCTTCAATGGTAACAGGTTTCATATAAATTTCTGTACTGTCTGGCTTGAGCAATCCACCTAGAGGTATATCACAGTTACCCAGTGACTGGTCACCACAACACAGGTGTATCTAGCACAAAGTAAAGGGACAGGTAAGATAAATCATTAGGAGATGCACTTTTTAAAATGTACAATAATTATGAGAAGTTTACTTTGCTGATTAACTATGATTATTAAATATGATTAAATCATAAAATGTGTAACCTATGTAAATTAGTTAAACTGGTTTAGCTACAATCATAAAATGTGTAACCTTTGTAAATGAGTCAAACTGGTTTAGCTACAGTCATACAATATGTAACCTTTGTAAATTAGTTAAACTGGTTTAGCTACAATCATAAAATGTGTAACCTTTGTAAATGAGTTGAACTGGTTTAGCTACAATCATAAAATGTATAACCTTTGTAAATGAGTTAAACTGGTTTAGCTACAAGCATAAAATGTGTAACTTTGGTATTCAGGTTACCTGTAGGCCTGGCTGCCTTGAAAAAAAAGACCTAAGTACATCAATACTGCTGCGGATTTTCACAGAAGCCCTTTCTGCTGGGAAGCTGGGGTTTACTAAGTCATGAAAAGGTTCATTAGTAACATCATTTCCTAGTAGTGAGTAGTAAAAAAAGAATCCTCCACTTGAGTTGAGAGGTGTATTGCTGGGAATGAGCTGAAATGTATAAACATTTGTATATAACTTGTAGGTTTATGCTATATATAGTTTGTATATTTATTCTCAATTAACAATCAACATGTTTAAGAAAGATAATTCAGTACTCCTTACCTGTGGCAGGTTGGTAGCATAAGCTATTGTTATAGAAAGAACAAACTGCTCTGTGCATGTCTTTGCTGGACCAATCTGGTAGTAGCCATCTTCTTCATTGAGGACAGGAACTAGTGACTTAATTTCTACACCTTTAGGCACTGGGGGTTCTGATTTGTTTAAAAAATATTTAATTTGTTAAAAGGTTTCTGATAGCTATCAATGCTTATTTAGAAACAATCTAGATAAAGGAAATTTATATAGAAACAATAATATAAAGCATTTAACAATCAATAACCATTATTCTACTCAATGGCATCACAAGAGAGGGTGTCACCAGGTGTCAAAGATTTCATCAGTTTTGTTTTTGCTTTACTGTCTTTTTAATGCATTAAAAAGATTATTAAAATATTATTAGAAAGATTTGTTAATATTCATTTTAATTTTTTTACCTTTCACCAACTAGAAATTTAATAATTTGAATTATAATTTGATATTTAAGTTTTTAAAACAATTAGATCTAGTACCAAGTGTGAAAACATCAATGAAGACAGCTCACTTAGTAAAGTGGCTAATCAAATAATCACTACTATTCAATCCTGTTATCTCCCTTTTTGTTATTTAATACAGTAGTTTTTAAATTAAATTTTAATGTCTAATCTAACAAGATAGAAAATTGGATATTCTTGCATTGATATCTGGAAATCACTGCATTATAAGTGGGACAAAATTGAGTATCAAGATTTGACAATGCTTTTGCCAACTGTAGGTGGAAATGGCTCTCAAGCAGGCAGGTGTGAATGTAAAAAGTAGTTGTGTACCTGGTTGGGTGAGTGGTGCAATAGGTTGCTGACCTTCCTCATCTAAATACAAAGCTAACTTCATTTCAGCTTTAGTTTTATGATATTTGCTGTGCAGAAGCTGGTACCATTTGCCAACCTACAGAAATAAATTATAAATATGACACATTTTTATCATTGATTTTCAGCCATAACAACATTTTAAAAATGCAACTTAGAAATTAAACACTTCTTAAGTTTTTATTTTTAAATTAAAAATTTATACAATTTCCAATCTGTGCCACTGGATTTCTCCATTACATTTCTTCACCATTGTTTATTGCAATCACTCTAATTTTTAATTGTCCTAAATACATATTTTAAAAACTTTCTTCTAATTTATCTCGAGAACAAAATTAAGCTTACTGGTTTATTGGTGGCTGCTGATCTTAGATCTAGAACAATATACCCAACAGATTCTTTCATTGTGGTTTCAGTATCATAAGCATAACACTGAATTTTAATAGAACTTCGCTGCAATCGATGTTGCTGTAAAGCTTTTTTATCTAGCTCCCAGGCTAGTTCTTGATTGATATCTGGCACCTCAGCATGAGGCACTGGGTCAGTAGACAACAATTCTCCATCAAACTTTGCCTCCACAATCAGCTTGTGTCTTGACCTTTTTGGAAAGCCGCGACCTATGACAGAATTTATACACATAATTTATTAAAAGCTTCATATAAAAAGAATTTTTATATTATTCACAACAGTTTTATTTTAAACTTACTAAAGCTTACATTTTCCCCATTAAAGCCAGGACAGAGAAAAAAACTTAAGTTAGTGCCAGGTAATATTGATATTGGCAATAATGACTTCATAAATTACGATGAGTTCATTCAAGGGAGAATTCTGTGATGATGTGTGGCAAGGGAAGCTCAGAAAGTGTGACATTTATTAGTATGAAGTCTGACACAGACTAGAAATTAAATATTTTTAGTAACAGTAAGTCACTGGGAACTTGCGTCAGATTAAGCTAATTGATGACTTGCCAGACAGTAAATAGCCTGGTTTTCGTTACTTTCGTCAAATTAGTTTCAGGCTAAATTTGGTGCTTCTTAACTTATAATTGATATTGAGATCTAGATTCTACTTTGCAGTGTAATAGATAAAATTAAGATATAATTTAATTTCAAATGTGATGCACTTACAGACTGGCAACACTATTATCATAATATCATTTATGGATTACCCAGGCATAGTTTTTAATAAAATAGAATAGTGCAAGCAAGTAGAGTAGAGTAGATCTCAACAGATCTAGAATTTTATTCTCAAGACTAACTAAAATAATACGTAAATAGCTGCTTCTGTGAAAGGGATCGGCGTGGTCAAGTCGGTAAAGCTCATGGTTGATAAACAAAAAAATCTAGAGTTCGAAACCCTCGGGCAGATGAGGCTTGTTTGCTGGGGGACAGCCACTCTTCTAGGAGAGACAACTCCAAAATCAAACAACTGCTGCCTTATAGCCTGTTCTTAGTTGGACAAAGGCTAAGGAAGCAGATCCAAAAAAAAAGCAGGCTGAAATCGGAGTCACTGGTATCAATGGCGCATAACTAGTTGACACGTATAATTAATTCATGTGTTGGAGGCGTGGTCGAGTAGGCAAAGCTCAAGGTTGTTAAATTAAAAAAAGTCGCGAGTTCAAAGCCTCAGGCTGGCAGATATTGAGATAAGGCTCTATCCATTCCAACACTAAAAATTAAGAACGAAGAAGAGAAGCTGCTTTTGTTGTTTTGGTTATCCTAGTTTTAAAATATGCGACAATTAATTATAATATAATTATATTAAAAACAGACTGTTGATGTGCTGCTTGTATGAAACAAGAACGGGCATGTCAGCCAGGGGGAAATCTTACGATCACGAATGAATGGAAACTTGAAATTTTCTACGTAATCTAAGAAAATCACAGAATGTTAAAGATATGTTATAGTTTCTTTTTATTGAGATGTACCTTCTATTACAGAAATTACGGCCAAATATTTTCTATCGCTTCCCATGTTACTAATTTAAGTTTTTCATTCAAAACTTATTCATGAATTGTTCAAAACATCCGCCATATTTGTTTATGCGGAAGTGACGAAAAATATCAGCTGATGTAAATTTATTTCTGTAGAAAGCAATGTATGCGTTATTGGTTGTCTTATAATCAAGGGAATTTTAGTTTGAGGGTATTTTGACAAAGCAATTTTATAATTTTCAAATGATCAATTATTATAGGGAAACGTAAATATTAAGTTCGTTCCGCCTGGATACGAGGTCTCGACTTGCGCAGATGACTGCATCTTTTTACACTTCCGGTTATATATTGCTACGCCAACATAATCTAGTACGCTAAATAAAATAATTTGAGATAGAAAACCTTTTTTATTGTATATAATTATATTTATAAATTCTGTTTCTTAAAATATGTTAAGGGTGGACTAATAGTCTATGTTTAATTGCATATTTTTTTTAATTTACTGTAGGGCGCATTGATCATCTCCGGCGATAACTGAGTTATAAGGCGCTTGTTACTGCTGGACAAAAGACAGGAAAAACAAGTAGAGTGTATTCTGTTTGTTTGGGAAATCTGAGAAGAGTCTTCGTTCATTACAAATTCTGCCAGAATGTGATTGCTTGTCATTTCTTTAATGTTCTAAACTTTCGAAATTCACGAAATAATGTATGAAAAGACCCATAGAGTGTTAATTAAAATATTTTTAGATGGGGCAGCCACACAACTTTACTCATGAAATTTTCTTCTCACTAAAACAACTGAGACTTAGAAAGAGATCATTGTCCCTTTCTTACTCAGAAAACTGTAATCACAGTTGTCAAGTCCAGTCCTTGATCTTGCAGATAAATCAAGTCTCGCTCAATAGTCCTTATTGTCTATGATTAGTTTCGTCTAATCATATAAATAAGGACACTTTTGTTTTTAAATTTTCTAAATGACTACACCGAAAAAGGAATTCGAGAAGCAAGACGAATCAACTCGAAGAAAGTCTGCAAGTTCTCGCGGTATGCATAGCTCACAGCGCCCAGGTTCTTCCAGTAACACTGGAGTGTTGATGGTGGGTCCTAATTTCAGAGTGGGCAAAAAGATAGGTTGTGGAAATTTTGGAGAATTAAGAGTGGGTGAGTATTTAAACGGCAGTAGTAGTTTCCGCTACTTGTAAGAACATTGGTAGGACATAATTGAGTAATATTGTAAACTTAATCCCAAGCCCTGAAATTAGGGTTATCAGCAGAAAAAAAACTTCATGCTTAAATCATTCCTTAATGTCACGTAGGCCTAGATCTATATGTATTGTCCTACCTGTGTTTTTACATGTACCCTAATTACTGATCAACAGTAATATGTAGTCCATTTGGATTGAAGTTATATGGTACTATAACTTTTTGTCAAAATTTTAAGATGTATGGCTTTCTTTTATAAAAATAAATTAATGATAATAATGCAATTTTTGGTGTATTCTGATTATTAGGCCTAATTAAATCTTTTTTACCATTGTCCACTTTTAATTTTGTTTCAATTCTAAAAAATGTGGGTGACATCTTACAGTTTAATTATTAGGTGGTGCTGGTTACTTCGGGTAGAATCTTGTACTCTACTGCAATGATGTCCCCATTGTGTTTATTATATGTCTTTATTTTTAGTGATAGGTTCAAATCATTTGACTAGTCTTCTTTATGTCTACTACTGACTGGTATGGGAAAGCACACAGAGAGAGTATAGTCTCTGAATGCATATACTCTCCATCCTATTATTTTTAAAGAATATTTTAGCGGTTTAAAAATAAATACATAATAGTCATGTTTAGTGATACAGTAAATTACTGTATCACTGAACCCATTATGTATGTATTACTGAGTAATACAATTATAAACATTGTGTGCTGAAAAGACACATAATTTAACTTTAACAGCAAGAAGCTGGTCAGTTACTGTGCTTTACAGTAAACAAATGCAGATCACCTGTAAAAGAAAATATTGCCTTCCATTCAGTCTATGGAAGCCTCCTGTGTAGGATCAGCTTTCTAATTATGTATGTCAGAAAGGTCATGTTAAGGCATTTATTATTACAGCAGTCACATTTTAAAAAAGAAATAATTTATAGCACTCTTAATTAGAAATACACCATAAATCTTGAGTCTACATAAGTTGTCATGCTCATTGCTATTTTCAGCTTCTAATGTCCTTCTAAAATTCTAAACAAATAAATAAGGCGTACATAATGCAAGCATAAAGATAAATCCTAAACCTTTTTTTTAAAACTCAAATGATTCAGTTTTACATTTTTATTTTTACATTGATAGAATACTAAATATAGTTAAAATTACTTATTAAATAACCAAGTCTTATTCTATTCTCTTTTGCTTAAACCAACAGTTTTTCAAAATATTATGAGAAGTAACTTTATATCTATACTACATTATTACTTGTCTATAAATTCTATTGGAACAGTATTACTTAATCTTTTACTGTCATCTCATCTTTAGCCTCTAGCAAGATAATTTACTAGAATTATTGGTAGTTTTTTTTTTTTTTAATTATATTTTGTGGAAATGAAATGTGTGAGAAATATTATTTGGCTTATAATTATTATTTTTTATGTTGATGGTCAAAGGCAATGAATAAACTTTTTTTTTATTGGAACCTATGTAATCATTTTTCAATTCTTACTTTCAGGTAAAAATCTCTACAACAATGAACATGTGGCCATTAAATTGGTGAGTCTCTCTTTAAATAAGTTGACACAACTACTTTGTATTTAGAATGTGTCACTGGCACAAAAAATTATATTTGGTTTTCTTAATTATTTTGTGCTGTTTTCTATCACTTAAGCTCTGGTTATATACTATTTCTGTCATACATAATAGAGCTTGGTCAAGTTTTTGTTTCATTCTTGTGTGTTGACCTTCACCCTGCAGGCTTGTTGAGTGTCCCCAATGTTTTCTAAACCACTCTATAGTCATAGAAAATGCTAAAAAAAAATTTAGGGTCATAAAGTTTTTAAGTAAGCCAGTGAGATAACAAATTTTTATGAGGCTAACTTGTGTTTTAGGAACCTATGAAGTCAAGAGCTCCTCAATTACACTTGGAGTATCGCTTCTATAAACAGCTTAGCCAGTCAGGTAAGCTTTACATTTTTAAAAATAGTTTATGCTTTTGCTGTTTTACAAATCTTTAAGCTAAGTTATATTGTTCAACATACAGTGCATTTTTTAATAAGTGCTAAAATAGTAATTATACTAAAGACCTACTACTTCTTTTTTTTTCAGGTTCAGTGCCGGGTGAGTACAGCAAATTGTTTGGCCTTTTGAATAAAGCACTGGAATAGGTTTTGTTTTACTGACTCTCATATAAGTAGTTACTGCCAAAAAAAAAGAAGAGATTTATGATTGTAAGAAAATAGTATTTTAACACTTGTGTGTTTTTATGTTGTTTCATTTTTTGTATGGTTTTCAGAAGGTGTGCCAAATGTGTTCTACTTTGGTCCTGTGGGAAAATACAATGCTCTTGTGTTGGAACTTCTAGGACCCAGTCTAGAAGATCTGTTTGATCTCTGTGATAGAAAGTTTACTCTTAAAACAGTGCTTATGATTGCGATTCAGTTGGTAAGTTCAACTTTTTCCATTTTTCTTAACAATTTAGCTGCTTAGCTATGTGTAAAAGATAATTTGTACCAATCATTCAGTTGTTTTTTTTTTTTGTCCTTGTGTGTTTCATTATTTTTCTTTCTTTTAGATAACACGTATGGAATATGTCCACTCAAAGCATTTGATATACAGAGATGTTAAGCCTGAAAACTTCTTGATAGGAAGGCAATCCACTAAAAAGCAGCATATCATTCACATCATTGACTTTGGTCTAGCCAAAGAATACATTGACCCAGAAACTCACAAACATATTCCATATAGAGAACATAAAAGCCTGACAGGGACAGCAAGATACATGAGTATAAACACACATCTTGGCAAAGGTAAGTAGATTTTTATATTGTACACTAAGTAAATGTTTACATGTTAAACCATATTGAAAGAAAAAACCTTTTATGGCTTTGAGATGTGATAGCTAGACGTTTGTAGTTGCATATTTTTATATTAGTAAAATCATTAGAACTAGGACTTAAAACAGTATTTGAACATCTGCTTTATTAATATTAAATCTTAAGCCAATATGTTTGTGGATCTCATTGCTTAAAAGAAAATGCAATTAAATTTTATTATAGAACAAAGTCGGAGAGATGATCTTGAAGCGCTTGGCCACATGTTCATGTACTTCCTTCGTGGCAGCTTGCCTTGGCAAGGTTTAAAAGCTGACACATTGAAGGAAAGATACCAGAAAATTGGTGATACTAAACGGGCTACACCTATAGAAGTCTTATGTGAAAATTTCCCAGGTAATTTAGTTTTTAAAGGTAAAATTGTTAAAATTATTTCATTACAGTTTTTTAACTTGTAAGTAAGTGGAAATGGTTACATACAGATATTTACTTCTCTAAATAAATAATTTTTTTCTTTTCAGAAGAACTTGCTACATATTTACGATATGTTAGAAAGTTGGACTTTTTCGAAACCCCGGACTATGATTATTTGCGACGGCTTTTTACAGATCTCATGGACAAAATGACTTATGTTTGTGACTGGGAGTTTGACTGGGTTGGAAAACAGATGGTTAGTTATTTTGTTGCAATTTCCAGTTTGTATGTGTTTCTTCTTGATGTTCCAGAACGTTGGTCCATTTCTTTTATACTGAAATTCTTAAAACTTTTTTGTACAATTTTAGTATTAAATATAGTCTAGTAAGTTTTGTCTAACTTCTATAATTGCTGTAGATGATTTCTTTTGTGTCTTTCTTAATATCCTGTTTTTGTTTTCCTGTAGATGCTTTCCCCTGTATTTGTTACCTTTTTATTTGAATTAAAAAAGCTGTGAATTACATTTTTTTTTTAGTTTTACGTGCAAATATTTGCTGGTTATTATTTGCTAGTTTCATTTATTTTTTTAAAATATACTCAGTAGAGGGATGCTAGGTTTGGCAATAATTACAGAAGTTAGTTTAAATTAGAGCATGGCCTCTCAGTCAAGAAAATGCTTAATTCTTCGCCTTTCGATCGCCAGTCCACCCCACAGAGTGTTGTTGAGAATACTGTATCTCCACAGAGGGAAGTCAACCAGGGCAGAGATAGGCATACTGCCCAGCAGGTAACTTTATCCTCAGCCCTATATATGCTGGACATACCTGTAACTCTCTGCTCTTTCTCATTTCTTCCTCTAAGGAGTAATGAATGAGCATATGTGTAAATGCACACAAAATTCTTTTCCTAGTTTGAAGTTTTTAATGCACTTTTTAAAAACTTTTATAGAAGTAACATTTTTAAGTTTTCATTTAATTGAAGTTGGTTTAGAAAGGTTTCATTACTTCCTTCAGAATGCTTAGTATTAACATTTCAGATTTGTATCATTAATCCCAGCAAAACCTTGATGAGTATTAAACTGTCTATACCTAGATGCATGTTGCTGCAATTTTAAGATAATAGATTTTGAAAATATATTTTAACTATTCACTAATGTTAATGAGGAAACTAGCAGTTAGTTCTTTTAGTGAAGAGAATCAGGTTTTGTCTTTAATGTTTTTTAGGTTATGAGGATTTTTATCCTTTTTTTTTTGTTTTTGTGTGAATTTTAAAAATTTATACTGATTTATAACATAATCTATTTTCTTTTAGAAATATTTACTTGTGTTTAACTTTGTTTTTCTTGCTTGCTTATAATGCTTATAATTTTTGAATAGCAAATTGTTTTTCTCAAAACAAATTATGTTCTTTTCTTGTTCAAATTTTAAGGGGCAGAAGTTAATACTTGTTATGTACATAAACATAAACAAGTTGTTTTAGCAATTTGAAGTTCTTTAAATAATAGGGCCACTGTTAAAGACAACTGCTTATTTTTTTAGTATAACTTATTTACTAATGCTACTTTATGTGACCATTTCTTGAGAATGAATTTTTTTTTTTATAAAGGATCTTAAATAAGGCAGAATGAGCTAATGTAGACACTAAGCTAATTTACAATATAACTTTGTAGTGTAATGTTTACAGCCATTTATTATTTTATCTGAACTTTTTAAGACTTCTAACAACCTGTATTTACATACTCTGATTAAACCAATAATTAAATTGTGAAGTAGTCAGCCTGTCAATTATTTGCTGTAGCATTTACCGATGATTTTTTTCTTACCTTACAGCTTTTTAATTTAATAATCAAGTTAAATATTTTAATGTGGAAACAATGTTTTGATTTTAGTTGGATATGGCAATAGATTAGTTCTCTAGCTTTATAAAAATTCTTGTAAGAAGTTTGAGCATAACAACCAGTTACCTTTTTAAAAATACTTTTAAGTTGTTATAACTTCGCATCTTAAAAAAAATGTATTGAAGTTTGAATACCAGTGGATAATGCACTGAATGTATTCTCACGGTTGGCGTGTCTATACTAAAATGTTCAATTTTCAGAATACCTTACACATTAATACTCTTTCTGTTACATCTGATGTTTTGAGTGTCGGGTTTGCATGGAATGATAACTATATTAACATTGTTCCTAAACGTTTATGATTTACTAAAATATCTGAGCAAAAAGTCTCTGCATGGATTACTTTATTAAGTTCTGGTGTGTCAAAATTAAGCACAAAGAATATAAAGTGATAAACATTTATTTTTTAATGTGAATATCAAAGAGCTGAGCCAAAAAAATTAAAATAAATATGGTTTGTACATCCAGTTGTCATATTAAATCATATTGCAAATTCCCAATATAATATATGCACTAGGGGTGTACATTTGCTACATGAAAGAACTTTCTAGGCAAAATTAGTGAATAAGTAGCAACTATGAAGTGTACTGAGAACAATAGCACTTTAAAAAATGTGTTTAAAAATATAACATACTATATAGTAAACAGAAAATCCTTTACTAAACTTTTTAGGAATTATTTATCAAACATTAAATTTTAGCATGAAAAAATATAGATTTAGATATAATTTTAATCAATTTTTTGTTAGCTATTGCTAAAAATTCTTGTAAAAGTAATCGTTCCCTAAAAAAGCTTCCCTCATTATACATTAAAATATATTGGTTGCAAAATAGGATGGTTTGAGCAATAAGTATGGCTTTATAGGATAACCATTGCCATTGGAACATGAAATTGCTAGTCTAAATCTTTATTCTTCTACTTGTAATCTTGTTCCTGTTGATAGCATGTAGCTCCTATGCTTAGTGCCTTGGTTATGATCCAGCTGTCAACTACTGACTACTTTTGAGGAGGGACCCTCAGAAACTAAAATGATCTTCTCTTTATCTTTTCTTAACCATACTGATTTGCCTTTCAGGCAAGTTCTAATCAAAGGGGTCAGCATGCCTGGGGTGAACAGCCAAGACAATATCTAGGAGACAACTTGGCCTCTAATAGGCATGGGGGTTCCGTGCAGGTAGGCTTCCTTCTCTCAACCCAAGTAGGGACTGGCTTGAGGACATTTTCCTTTTGCTTTCTTTCTAGGTGCTGCTTGTCAAGGGTGTCCCTCCTACACTCATGTCACTAGTAGCGCACAGCATGCTAGATTTATATCTTTTTTGGTATTTTTCTCTCCAATGTTTAGATGTTTTGATGCTTTTATTATTTTAACATTTATTAGGTTCATTTACTGAGCGATAGAGATACAATTGTTATAATGTCTTAAATTGGCAGTTGTTTTCTAATCAGCATGCTTAACTGTTAAAACCTAACATTATTTTTATAGTTTACGTTGAGGTGTGATATTTTTTATTATCTTAAGGGCTTTTTACTATGGCAATACATGGTTATGTTAAGAATTTTAAAAACAAAAAGTAATACGAAAGCTTGTTCAAGTATGTACTTTTTATTTAAACTATAATGTGCTATAAATATTATGTTCTAAAACACTCTTATTCTGTAAAAAAAAAATTGGTGAAGTTTTAGTGCAGAAAAACCTTTTATCAACCAATATATATGGAGTTCATTCACTTAAATTTGTGCTTAAGTTGATAGCAACAAAAAAAATTCAGTAACAAGCAACTGTACACATTAAAAACTAAAACACTATTTTGTTTTACTATTATGTTGTTAAATATTTTGTTTTATATTTCATATTAGCTAATTTTTTTGTTGTCTTTAATTGAACTTTGTGTTTAATTATTCATAATGATGGGTGTTTGAAATTAAAGATCTGTATATCCCCTAACCATCCATTAGTTTGCACTTGATGCTAAAAATGTAAAGAATGCTTTTCAGAAATTGGTGAATACAAGCTGGCTATCTCCTCTAAATGAAATATTGATTGGGTTAGTGAAGTTAACAATTGGTTAGATGATGATGATTTTGTGAAACACAACTCAGAATAGAAACTAATGTATAAAGTTCAATATAATTTTTAAAATAGACTACTGTTGCCTTTATTTTGTTGTTTTGCCAATAGAAAAAAAAGAGAGGGGGATATCACTTCTTATCATTACTTGTTATTTAATCAGTAGGTATAATTCATATTGCTCTGTTCACACATTTAGTCCATCTTACATCACTTAATCTTCATCAGACATTCATACTCTCAAAACATGGCTGCTCTTTAAATATCTAGATTTGTTTTTAAAGTATATGTTTACTCACTTTGATTGGTCACATTAAGATATAGCAAATAATACTCATAAGCTCTTATGAAAATTTTCTTTAAACTTTTGACTAGTTAATATGAGGAAAATTTTAAAAATAATTTATTTCAACATACTTATCCCATATCCCAAGCTTTAAAGCTTACAACAGTTAATCATAAATAACATTGTTCCTTAATTAGTGAATCATTGATTAAGTTTTAAACGTGTGTTTAATAACTAACAGATAATTATAATTATTTTAATAAAATTGTAGGACATAAAACAATGTATACATTTATTACAGCATGCCACTATAACTTTGTTGTATTATTGTGTTGTAACATTATGATTCAGTGCACTTATTTTCTTCATATTGTCCTTGAGCTTGAAACAGTTCTGATGTGTCTTTAACAGAACAAGAAACTTAATTTTTTTTTCAAATAATTCTAAATTACTATGTAATTCATTAATTGGCTGATAAGGATTTTTTATCTCTTTGCACTAACAAAAATGACAGGAGCATTTGGTTGTTTTCTCTGCTTAACAACTGATACAAAAAGACATGTCTCAGTTAGAAGTATTACTTTATTTCTTACAGTTTTGAATGATAGCTAATGGTATCTAAAGACACATAGTATTGAAAAGCACTTTTTAAGCTTTTACATTTATTTATCGAAAATACTAATCTAAATGTAATTAAAATCTTGAAAAGCTATTATTTGCTATCTAAATACTTTATGTACTGCATGACAATGTAGACAATCCATTTTAAAATGTCCTGTTTAGGTCAGATTTTTAAGTTAGATATGTCTAATAGTGTTGTACGTAATTAATTTGCTTGTTAAACATTATTGTAGTTGTTTTGGGTAGTGCTTAACAAATTGCAATATTATTAGAAATGTTTGGAACATAATTTCTTAGGAATTTTGCATGTTATATATGTTTGCATGCTTTTACTCATATTTTGCTGCAAAAAAAAGATGAGTAAGTTATTTGAAACTAATTTTAACAGTGTGTTACATTTCTTACATTGAGTAATACATTTTCTGATTTAATAACATGCAGTTCTAGAAGTTGTTTTTATTTAACTGTTTAGATAGTATGAACATTGCTCAAAGATTGTTTCAGATGTGCTCATTATTTTGTCAAAATATTTTTTACATTTGAAAGATGGCCATCAATGTTTATGATTTATGTTTTGTGCTTATTTTTCAGGTGGTAAGTTCTACTAATGGTGATCTTGCTCCAGAGGACCCTAACACTCAATCTAACACCCCCATTACTGCACAGCCTGAGGTTGAAATCAACGATGAAACTAAGTAAGTACTTTTTAATTTTTATACTTCCATGTAGTTGCTTTTTAAGTTTGTTAATGTTTGTATTCTTATTTAAAAATGTATGTTCTTAAGCAAATTCAACTTTTATAGCACCCAATTTGTGATAGTATTTTTTCCCTTTACATCATTGGGAAAATATTAAAAATACAGATTTAATAAACATATCAGAAGCCTGAGCTTTTCAAAAATAATTGCAGTAATAAAATTAAATGGCTGAAGGGTTTTATAAATTATCAAAATTAAATGGCTGAATAATTTTATCGTTACTTTTATTTTGTATAATCAACATTGAGATGGATAAATATTATTTATATTTTATCTAATTAATTGACATGATTTCCTGTAAATGGCATGTTGTTTTTTTTACATAACTTTGATAAAACAAACAATTATTATCAAATAAATTAATAAATTCTACAGGTGTAAAATGAAAAATATAACCTAAAAAAAAACTGCTAAGTTGGATTACTCCAAACACTTTCCAACTAAATGGATATATTCACTTTAGATCTGTTCATGATAGCTGTATTTCTTTTTTATGATTTCTAATTTCCATGACTACATTCCAAAATATTCATGCTGCTAAAAAACTGAGGATCAAGACATTTTTTTCTATTTTTCTTAGTCAACCTATCATGAGCTTTTTTTTCTGGACGTCCACTTCTATCTTCTTGCAGGTGCTGTTTCTTCCGCCGTCGCAAGAAGAAGAAGGGACGCCGCAGTTAAAAAGTGGTCTGTTTTAATTTTTTGAAGTAAAAAAAAACTAACTTTCTAATTGAGGAAACTAATACAGCTGCTAAAACTAATACAATTTAAAGATTGCCCTCCACCTACTTTTTTAAAAATGTTGAACAGTCTCAATTAATTTTAAATTTTTTCCTAAATTTCAGTGATCCCAGTCTTTTATTTAACAATGAATGTACCAGTAGCATGATTCTCATTACACCTCTGGAAATTTTTTTAAATGACATACTTTTCATAAAACTCACCAACTCTCATTTACTCTTGGTTGTTGTTTTGTTTTTAATCTTTTCAAGTTAATGTCTTAAATTCAAAGTAAACTTATTAATTTGAAATCAAGTCTAATTTTACATGTCTGATCTTTGTTAACAAAAAAAAACAGCAAGTCATAATGTTATGCTGTATTACATACTCCATTTAAATTTTCTTGTAACACATATTTGTACAAACCTTTTATAAAAGACAATATTTAAATAATATAGCCATAATCACAACTGTAGAGTTTGTTAAAACTAACATACATGTAACAAAAAAAGTTAACTAGCTATACCTAGAAGCTTTTGAGATTAATTTATGAAATGAAATATGTTATGGTTTTATGCTTTTGGTAATAAATATTTTATTTTCACTATTACTTTGATGATCAATAATCAGTTATTTCTTTTCCACCTGGAATGTTAAGATTTAAAACATACTATAATTATTTTCCAGGTGCTGTGGTTGCTTTAGGTGGAAAAATTCTCGACCGCGCGCTAAATCTAAACGCCAAAAATGACAAAAAGCACTGAGTCACCAGAGGGATGTCAAACAATTGAAACCACTTGAGCTTTCATGTGATAGTACTTCAGCTGAAATTTCACAAAGTCCTCTTCATTCTCATCACTACAATATTAGAGAAGACCTAATAGTCCATGGAGTCCCAAGATGCGAGGCGTGGTGTCTTGTCTGCATGTCCTCAGCTGCAAGAGATGTTACTCTGGGTGGACACATCAACCAAACATTTTTGTAACGCATCTTTCATTTAGTAATAAGCAAACATTTTGATTGGAAACTTTTGCTGTCTTCTTTGAAAACTACTGTAGCTCGTCTTTTGATAATAATTGCAGTATAAATCTATTTTATTACACACATTTTTATTTTTAATATTTTAAAATACTGACTATTTCACTTTGGTAGTGTACAATGTTGTTTCCTGTAGTTCTCTGTTTGGTTTTTAATCTCATCTGACCATGTTCTTGAGGTTCAAGTCATTATGTGCCATAGAACCTTTCTGGTGTTAAGCTGCAGTTTTATTTCTATGCGTATACCTGACCAGATCAGCAGTGTAGCAATCATTTGACAAAGACTTTTTGTACTTTAAAAAAAAATAAGCCACTTAAAGTAATTACTAACTAGATCTTTTTTATGTGTTCAAGTTGATGTTTAAAGAAAAGTTTTTGATGATTGTAGTATTAAGTCTGTAACAAAGAAAAAGAGCTCGGGTATAAAAAAAAATAATTAGGATAAAAATAACAGCTAATGAAATGTACAAGTCTTAGCCATAAATGGTTGGCACTTCATGCCCTCTAGTGACTCAGTGATAAGTTTTACACATATGCATGTTAATGTACATACTTTTCATTTTTTTTTCTTCATTATTTGTCATGTTTGTTCCTCCCCCATCCAATGATGTAAATACTAGCTTGTAGTTTATACTAGTTACACTGGGCAAATATTTTTTTTGGATTTGGATTGCTTTCTTTACACAAATTTGTTCTAATAACAATTACAAAAATGCTTTTGATGATGAGCTAATTTCTGAATCACCTGAACATGTTGTAAATCATTATCAATAATTGTGATTTGACAATGATCCTACCTAAAGCACTCCATTTAATATTACCTGATAGTTTCTACAACTCTGGGAAGCAGTTTTTCATCATAGCACTTGTTTGCACAGTTCTGTTGTTAAAATGATATGGACCGGTACCTGTTGTATTGAAGAAAATTCTTCCCAGTCTCTTTAACATTCTAGTGCTGCTGATGCCGTAGGGAAGGTTCAAGTGTGTTAAATCATTGTATTTTGTGTTTGTTCCTAGGTTTTTAACACTCGACACCAATCAATGGTGAATAGTTAATATATTTATATTTAAGTCATTTTAAAAATTCCTTGTAAAAGAAGTTTCATATTTTATTGTGTGAGTATTAGTAATATGCAAATATTTGCTCTATTCTATTTTAAAGAAGTCCTGTTTGTTCCAAAAAAAATAATGATATGAATGAAGAAATAAAAATGTTCTAAACTTTTATGTAGTTGTGTGCTAGACTTTTTGCCTGTTATGGCATTGGGCTACATGTAAATATTTTTATATAAAAAAATGATTGCATCTGTTCGCTAATCAGATCAACAGGGTGAAACTTGTTTAGAATAACTGTTTTAAAGTAGCATTAGCTGTATGTACTAACAGTTTATATTCCTATTCTAAATTAAAAGTGAATAATGTGTACTTTTTCCTTTAACTATAATTATGTTAATTAAGCAGCTCTAAACACGCACAGCACCTCAGTAGTTTGCTTTCAGATTTTAAAATATTCCTGATAAAACTGCATTAATTACTTTGTACTGTTTTAGTTTTTTCATGATGGTTTAGGAAGACAACTATTCAGAATTTTCAGTTTAAAGTAACATTAATATTAACAATAATTAGAGTAGAAAATTCAATATCTTCAAGTATAATAATAATAACCATTGGTTTGATTACCATTGGTAAACAAGTTCTGTCACTAAATTTAATTATACTATACTTGATGTATTTTATTTCATTAATGTAGATAGCTAGTCTTTTTTTTTTTTTTTTTAGTTTTTTATTTAAAAATTATAAAGCAAAATAAAATATACATCATTCCATTTTTTTTAAATCTAAGCAAACATTTAACAATACCTAAATACTAAGAAATATATTATTTAAATTCTGTTCTAACAGAATCCCTCAGCTGTGTAGACACAATCTTAGACGCTGCTTCACTACTTGATGTTCATTCACTACTTAGTCCCTTCTCCCTGGACAAATGTATGCTCGTGATGGCTATTTTCTTATTTCATTGAATTGCTACATATTTATTCATGTCCATTCAAGACATATCTCCAGGTCGCATCCCAAACATGACAGTGCTGTACAATATCTAAGGTTACAAGATTATTTTATGCACAGAGCTATTTATGATAGATGGTCAACATTTAGGTTAGTGTTTGAATCTCCTTATATGTCACCGTTACACATTTTTCTAGTTTCAGTTTTAAGTGAAGATGTTTGTTTTCCATGGATTATCACTTAACGACTCTAGCTCTGTTCATTTTCTATTCCAAGTGCATTTGGGAGATAGTGTGCTTGTTCTGAATGAGCCAATGTTACATAGAAATATTTGTTATCAAGCAGTTATATCTGGTCATCCTTATAGACACTCGTATTGCCTGACAACACTTGTAACTTGCCCATGTATTTTTGTAATCAAGAGTTGGTTCTGTCAAAGACAGTGCTATCCTTATACATTATGTGGTTTGAGATGTGCACAAATACATTGTGATGAACATTATTTTTCTTCTATGGAAAATGTGCTGGTGAAAAGTCTTGTGTTGTATTATGGTACCATCTTGGTTGCCTGTATGTTTTTTTTTTTTTTTTAAATTTGCTTTATAAAGCCTGGTTGAGTTCAAATGTGAATGTGTGAATGGTTTTTGGCAAGATATAAAACATTTGTACATGACCAAATAAACAAAAAAAAAATGTTAGTTCGATGTCTTCTTTTTACTTTCTGTATAAAAATTGATTGGCTAACCACCAAGGGTAGTAGTTTTTTGGAGATATTTAAGAAAATACTCTATACTGCTATTACAAGTGTTGCACAGTATCAGTATTTTAAAATTCTGCCAAAATGGAGTATTGTTCAGCAGGTTTTTCTTTTGGAAAACTAGATTATACATATACCTTGCTATCAATATTTCGTGCATGCCTTCGTGTCAGACAGTACATTTAGCAATGATATTATTGCATTTTTGGTGGGTCAGACATAATATCCGTGATTTGTATTATAAGAGGAATTCAAGAAAACCTGCTTTTCAACTCAGCTGAACATTCTGATCAACAATATCCAAAACTGGGCTGCTGAAAGTAAGTAAAATGTATCCACCACCACTCCACCGACCAAGATGCTGATACGTTTGATGACCAACTCGCTTGACACCAGTCATACCGAAATAGGAAAAATAGATCCTATATAATTTTTTATAAAAAATGATGTAGGTACAGTGCCTTTCTCCTGGGAAATTTAAGTGCGCCCTCGAAAATTTCAAGTCCCCCCCCCCCCCCATAGGAAAAAAATGTCTGAAAGAAGCACTCAAAGCCACCGTTTGGATCTGTTATTAAAGAGTCGCCAAAAAATTACAAGTAGCCTGATATTCAAAATAATAAAACCAACTTTTTGTCAAGCCTACATGCAGAGGCGTAGCGACCCTTCCCGGCACCCGGGGACAAACTTTAAGTTTGGCGCCCCCCTCGGGAACAACATTTCAGAATTTCAATTTGCACCCCCCCCCCCCCCCTCAAACTTTCAATTTTTTTCCAACCCATTTTGGCGCCCCCTACGGTCGGCGCCCGGGGACATATATACCCTCCCCCCGTCGCTACGCCTCTGCCTACATGACCGTGTAATAATAATATACAGAAGTAAAGTCGCATGGATTTGGAATATCAAAAATACAATATTGTATTGTTTAGATTCTATAAAAAATAAATCATTTTTTTTAGATTCACCCACGATAGGTCACTCTGGTATAATACTAAGGCGTCGCTAGGGAGTTATCGTTACTAGAAGTTTTGTTTTGGTAATGGTGTCTTGTGGATTATACCATACTGACTGGTAGGCCTACGCCATTTGCCAAACAAAGCACCACTACTTCCTGCATAACAATAACAGACCGTAACATAACAACATAAGAACAATACATAAGAAGAACTTAAAAATAAAGAGTAGTTAACATTGAATTGATCTAAAATTGGTCTAAATTAAAAATAAATAACAATGTGAATGAAAATGCATTTCTGTTCTCATTACTGAGTCATTACACACTTCACCTTCCTTCATATTTCAATGTTAATTTTATAGATCTACATTTCAAATAAGTACAAATAGAAATTACTCAATTACCCACTTTCTGACCTCAATTTTCTGCGCATTTCAACAACTAAAATAATAAAATATCAATCCACTTTCACTGACGTTTTATTTTTAAACTAAGGAAAAATTACTTTCACTGGACTGTTCCTAGAATCTAGATCTAGAATACATAATACTACTGTATCTATCTAGGCAATTCTTTAATATAATAACTTGTCTTTATAGCGCACTGTATACAATTTTGCTGTTACTGAAAACTGACTGTTTAAGTACATTATAAGTGCAATGTATACCTGCACCTTTACTTTGCTTATACTAAAATTTTAGATCTAGATCTAGCTGAGTAGCCCTATTTGAGTCACATCTACTTGTACTGTGATTTCAAATTTCAAGCAATTTTTCTAATCCAGCCACTACCAAACATAACTAAACAACTACTTGTTCTAGACTTATATATATATCTTAAAATTTGAAATATCTGCATTACATTGAAGTTTTAAAAATAAAATAGTAAGTTCATTTGAATTGTATAATTTTTCTTCTTTTACCGTTTGTGCCCAAGACACATGGGGCAGATGAAGTAGAGTTCATCTGTTTCAGAGACCTCTGCATATGAAGGGATCTTGTGGTCAGCACTATGCCCAGCCACTTTTGTTTTCCTTAATGTGAGTTAGGTACCCATCAGAGAAGCTGAGAGATTAATATTTAAAGAAAAAAAGATCATAACTAATTATTGAAATCACTCTTATTAAGTTAGACATAAAAGTCTACTTTATGGATTGAATTTTTTTGTAATCATTTCATTTTAACACAATACTAATTACACAAACAGTAAGACCAAAGTCTTTTAATCAATTCATCAATCAATAAATTATTAACTCTAGCTGAACATTAGCTATGCCTCACTCAGTTTGTGCTAGACATTAGGCAAATACTATGTCACCTTGCTCATATCTTTATTGGTACATCAATTTTAAAATATCCAATTAAATATTTTTCTGTTTGTCTCACTGCGATAATGGGTAGGATGATGGCCATAATCAGTAATTGGAAAATAATTTTGAAAAAAAAATAACATTCAACTTGTCAACATTTTCTAATGATCATGAACAGCCAGGGCTAGGGCTTTGACTAGGGGTGGGGTAGATTAAAGAGTGAAGGTAGGGGGCTGATTATTTTATGATGTGTTATGATGGTGAGGGGCTGGGTAAAAATTATTTTAAGAGTGTGATTCATTTCTAGGTGTTAGTAATTAGTTATAAAAACTACAATAATTAATGAAAAATATATTTCTGCAGCAATTTAAGCAATGACAATGGAAAAAGTAGGCGATGAGATAGCTATTGAAGTTGATCGCTTGTCAAAGTTGGGAATGCTCAAACTTCAACAGGGCCAACACCAAAAAGCAGCAGAAGTGTTTAGAAATGCTTATCATTCTGCCATTTCTGTTGGTCAGAATAATTACATGCATAGAGCCTGTGCATTTAATCTAGCAGCTATCCTTATATCAACACGAAACTTCGCAGATGGCTTAATATATTTACACCAGGCTGTAAGTATGAAATTTTATTCCCATTTGTTTCAGTAAATTAATATTTAGTAAAAAAAATTACAACTGAATGTGATTGTTACTGTAGGTGCCCCCTGAAGGGTGTTCTGATGGCAAATCTAATGGTGACCTGTATTTCAATTTTGGCCTGGCATATGAAGGGATCAAAAACTTGATAGAAAGTAAACATTACTTTGAAAAAGCACTTGAAGAATATAAACTAGAAGAAAATAACCAAAGAATGGAAGCCAATACAATACACAGGCTGGGGAAATTATGTGTTGAAAATGGACTGTTACAGGAGGCAGAGTCGTGGATAACACAGCTAATAGAAATTTATGACAGGATTGGAGAACGTGATAAACAATTAATGGTTAGTATAAGTCATTTTAAAACAAAGAGATAAAAAAGTTTTAAATTATTTCAACTGTAAGAACTGCATTTAAATAGAATATTTTAATGATAAATGATGTTTTTAAATTATGAAAATCTCATGAGCTAACCTTTCCATGCTCAAGTCATCTGGCCAACTTTCCTTGACTGCCTTAGCTGGCATCACATATCTATCACAACAGATTTAAACAAAAGACCAGTGTGTGACTGAGACCTAAAAACACATTTTGTTAAGCTACTGCATGCTCTAGCCTTGAATTCTGTGAAAAAATAATCTTAAATTTATTTTGGCTTGGATCCTGACTAGCTCTAGTGTGCTGTCTTCACATGGACTATATTCTGTAACTTTGTTTACCTAATATTACCAGTGTTTCTTCCAGACTTTTTTCTCCGGGGGGGGGGGGGGGGGGGGCACTTGAAATTTTCGGGGGGGCAGTAGACTTTCTTCGGGGGGGCGGACACTGTTAAAAGTATATATTTTCTATATAAATTATATAAATTTCATTTCGTTCGGGGGGGGGGGGCGTTAAAAATTTTTCGAAGAGATGCCTGGAAGAAACTCTGATTGATACTTCAGTTACAGTATGGTGTTGATATAACACTTAGTTTAATACTGATATTTTAGTTACAATATCAACTTTCAAACTTCAATGTATTGCAACTGCAATCATTAAACAAAACATTGGAAAATAAATGTTAAGAAAATCATTAAACAAATGTGCTGTAGAGAAGACAGTTGACTAGATACATTTGTTGAACCACTTCACACAACTAGAGAGATTTCACTTTGTACTAGAGTTTTTCCCTTCATCCATTCTTATCAGGCTAAAAATAAAAATATATATATAGTTTAATGACATCATCTTGTTAATCTGAATTATTTTAAGTTTTATTCTTCATGGCTTTATTTTTATTTTCAAAACTTCTTTATAAGGCACAAGTTGAAAGGGCCAACCTGTTACATAAAATGGAAAAGGATGATGAAGCTATTGTTATAGTTGATTCATGTTTTGAAGAAACTAGCAAACGCACTTTATCAGAAACAACAGGTAAGCATTTACAAATTTATACAGCATGGTGTGTAGATATAGCTGTTTGTTGAACTAATTCCTGACATCCACTGTTTATTCTTCTGTAGGAAAACTCTACAATGAACTTGGTTTAGCTTACTCGGTTTTAATGAAATATGACCAAGCTCAGAAGTGTTATGAAAAAGCTTTGCAAGTCCTTCAGTCGTCTGATGAAGATCTGAGGTTAGCTGCTGTCATACACCAGAATCTTGGAGCTCTTTACAACCAAATGGGTCTCTATGAAGATGCTATGAAGTTTCACCAGGAATCTGTGAAGAAACATGGTAACCAGAAAATTTTTAATTTACCTGATGAGAGGCTCATCCTAAAACTGGTTTTACCTGCCCACCCCCAACCCATCCCCCAAAGTTACCAATGGATACAAAAATGATACTTTAGATTTCTGTCTATATTGATTTTGAAAAGAAAATAGATTAATTGATCAATTTTCAATCACATTCATCAACATATTGTGTTGAAGGTTTTTTGAAAAACAGAAGAAGTCAGGGCCATAGCTTCATCAATATGGGTTACGCTTACAGTCAGCTGGGAGAAATCGACAAAGCAGGGGAAAGCTACCTCCATGCATTACAAGCTGCAAGGGACAGTGGTCAGTTATTTCTTTTCCTCTTTTATTTTTGTTACTGCAGGGTATTTGTCAGGCTCGAACCTGTAAGAGGTCTCATACACCTCCTGGGTACCTGAATCTAGGTAACAAAAATAATACTGCTCTTAAATCAGATCTGGCCATCTCTGAATATACAGTAGTCAAAGGAAAATTAGTGGTTGGCGTGGTCGCGTCGGTAAAGCTCATGGTTGCTAAACCGAAAAGTCTCTAGTTTGAACCCTCGGGCAGATGAGGCTAATTAGCTGGGGACAGACATTCTTCTAGGAGAGACAAATCCAAAATCAAACAACTGCTGCCTTGTAGTTTTTTCTTGGTTGGACAAAGGCTAAGGAAGCAAATCCAAAAAGAAAAGCAGGCTGAAATGGCCTCAATGGTGCATAACCAGTTGACACGTATACTTAATTGTGTTGGAGGCGTGGCCAAGTCGGCAAAAAAAGCTCATAGTTGTTAAATTTGAAAAAAATAGTCTCACGTTCAAACTCTCTGGCAGATAAGGCTCGATCCCTTCCAACACTAAAAATTAAGAACAAAGAAGAAGAAGAAAAGAAAATTATATGATTATTTTACTTTAATGTTTGTATTTGTGAATGTTCTTTAATGTATTGAAAGTGTTGTAATAATATACACTTATTTCACATAAAGATGATACCAAAACAGAGTGGCAGAGTTTAGAGTCTCTGGGAGCTGTGGCATTTAATCAAGGTAAAATAAGTTGTGCTGAGGAATATTACAAACAGGCTCTGACTGTCATTTACAAGTCCTCCACTGCTGGAGATAAAGTCATTCAGGAGCGGATACTTGGTAAACTGATCAACATAATCAAACTTCAGAATGAGAAGCCTGAAATGAAAGGTCCAGATTCTGCTGCTCATGCAGAGGTACAAAACTTACTTTACTTATTGAAGATATCCTGTCTAAAGGTTTTCTTTGAGACCTTTATTTTTTTTTTATTTACTTAAATATTGCAAAAGTGTCAGTTATTTTTTTTTTAGTTACATTTTGCTTTATCCATATTTATTTATACATTATTACTTATGTCAAGGCTATTTTTCAGAAGTCATCACCAGAAAGTAGAACAGCTCTTACAAGGCCAAAAAGTGAAGATGGAAGTGTTATAGCTATCAAAAGAGAAGGAAAAGTCAAGTTAGTTTTAAAATCTATTCCAACTCTGCAATTTCACCCTCCCCAGTGACCCCTTGATTAAAAATTAAGCTTTTTAAACAGAGAAAAGAGATTTAAAATAATTTTATTACAGATATCTTAAAGTTAGGAGGTCAGGAACACTCCGCAGATTTCGTAAAGTTGCGCTGGGGATAGATGCCAACTTACAACTGTCAAACCTTGACACATCACAGACACTCAGTAGCCAGCACCAAGAATCAGTTGACAGAGCTTTATCAGGCCTTGATGTTTATGAGGATAAAACCATGTAATTAATTTTCATTTCCCAGTGGAGCAAAAGCATTTATAGTATCCTTCCATACTTATCTGTCTTTTGCTATTTTTCCCAACACTTTCCTGTAACTTCCATGTCAATTTTCTGTTTCTCTATGCCAAGTCTTTTGGGGTCTTTTTATTGATCTTTGTGGATTTTATGTTTTGCCTTGTTTAGTAATACTTGCCCTGTGTTGTTAGTGCTCAAGTCTAAAATATTAAGAGTAAACACAAATAATGGAAGATTTTGTTAACAGGGTTATTTGGGGGCATAATTAACAGATCTTTCTTTGAAATATATTGTTATAAATGTTATGGAAAAATTCTAACTATTTTAAACAAATAGGGAAGAAAATATTGATGAGGAAGATATAGAAGAAGTTATTGATGATGAAGATATTGAGGAAGAAGAAGAAAGTGATGCGGATAAAAAAGAGGTTCTTGCATTGATGGCTAACATAAATGGTAAGCATTTGAATGTTTTGAAGTCCTGATGTTGTAAAGAAGCTTTAATATGCAAGGCAGTATTTGTTTCATAACATCTTGATAGGTATCAGCTAAATGTGCCATCAATATACAGTTAGCTATGGGTTTTTTCTTTGGACACCATCATTCAATGTGAAACATCCCTTACCATTCCTACTAATTCCCAGTACATTGATATGACTAATGGGGCTAGCATGGAAAAGTTTAAGAATATTGTTCTTCAGTTTCTTGCCCTCATCGTGTGAAGCAAGAATACTTATTGATATTTTAAAATGAGATCAATTGCAGTAATCAATATATATATTACATATAAATTGATGATCTCAACATTTTTAACTCTTAAACCATCAAAAAAAGGTATAAACAAAGTAATTTGCTTTTATCACTGTCCATAAGCATTGTTTAAAAGTATTAACCTGCATGTGTAAAAAAAAAACAATATTGATCGGAAAATAAATTAGAAATAATTAACAATATGTTCTTGATTGTTAAATGTAATGTTTAAGAATTATTGACCTGACAATTCCTTATTATTAATATAATTAAAATATTTCTGAACAAAACCAATACTTTATTTTTTTTAGAAAGAAATCAAAGTGAAACGCCAGAAAATATTGAATACAAAGAATCTGCTGGTCATTATTTTAAGGTGAGGATAATTATATTTGAAATTTAACCAGGTATGTTTAGTCATATAAAAATTAAAATAAAACCTGTAACATGATGAATATTCCCAAAATTTTCCTCTTTTTTTTTTTTAATTTGCAGGTGGATAAATCAGAAGATGAATCAAGTGTTGATAGCTCAGGAACCTATGACAGTGTTGACACTAGTCGGATTAAGGACCCACCTAACAGGTGAGATGGACAATTTTTTTATCATTAAGTTAATTTTTTCATTAGAGATCATTTTGATTTATATGCAAGTAGTTAAGATGGTGATTGGTATAGTGGTGACTAAGATGGTGATCACCAAGATGGTGATTGATGTAATGGTGACTCTGTTGGTGACAAGCATTTTGGTCAGTATGGTGGTTACAGGTGGCAATTGATATTGTGGTGGTGGGTATAGTGGTGACTGTTGCTTATTGGTATAATTGTAGTTGGATAATGATGTTGATTTGTAATTGTGGTAATGGTTGTGGTGATTGAAATGATTGATGGAGGCTATGTTAGATATTTAATCTGATAGAGTTAAGCATATTATTATAGTAGCATGTTCGAGGTCTATGAATCAGAATCTAAAGAGCCTTGAATGTTTGTAGATCAAGTCCACCACCTGTTCCAAGTACATTACCTCCACCAACTCTACCACCAAGAACTTATGAGATACCAAACATTAGTGAATTACATTATGAAACAATAGACTTTTCATCGCAAGCAAACAGAGTGAGAAGTGAAGCTTTAGAAAACATGAATAAGGAATCATCACAAGTCTACAAGGGAGACAAATGCAATTTTTTCCAGTCTGAGGTGGCAGAAGGCCCCAGTATTAGAGCAGAAGAAGAAAGGATGGACACAATAGAAGAAGGTTTTTATTTATAGATTTTAGCTCATTTAATGACTTGAATTTTAGCAAATTATAATTTTAAAATATTAATACAAATATAGGTCTAAGATATTCCCATGTCTTTATTCCAATGTAACAAATCTGCATGTGACTCTACCCACATTGCTTCTAATAATGCTAATTAGTTGTCTCAGACTTTTCCTGTTTTAGGTTTTATATTTTTAAAATTGTGTATGAAAATGTCTGTTTATTACGTATTAAGTATTTGTTGTTTTTTTATAGATTGGGGGTAAATGCTAACAAGTTAAAAGGTTATTTTATAATTTGTAAATGATAATTAAGACCTAGTTAGGTTGTTCATTGTTCTCATGCTATTTTTACTATTTCCAGTAGCCAGTCAGAGTTCTAAGGAAGCTGATCAACAGCTATTAGCTCCACCTAGTGAATTAGGTCCGAATGAAGTAGATGATTCAGGAGAAATAAAGCTGAACCAGTTGTCTAGAGCGGAAAGGTTACAAAATAATTTCTGTCCATTTTTTCTTCTTAATTAATTTTTAAATGGTATTATTAGTATTACATGCTCAAATGATCTCTTTATCTATTTCAGAGAAATCATTTTATTTCAGAAACATAATGAACATAGGAACCAAAAGAAGACAGAAGTAGAAGAAAAACCAGATCAGAAATCTTCTAGGCATTGTTTACTTATGTAGAACAGAATGGAAGTACTTGAGTGTTTCCTCATCAGCTTTATGCTGCCTTTAAATTTTCTTGTTTTTTAACCCTGTAGACAGTGGTTTCCTTAAATTGTTTTGTTATCCGTCCACCTGCTGGATCATACCATTTTTTAAATGCCACCAGTATCAAAGTCCAACTAATGTATAACTCGCAGGTAGTAAAATGTCATTTTGATTTCAAAGTTTAACCAAAATAATACCATGAGCAAATGTTACCTACCAGCAATTCAAATACATATATTACTATTTAGTGGAATAAATCTAATTCCCTTAAAATAGAATAAAAGAGTTGAATTTCGTCTGTACTTTATTTGTATTACAGTGATTAACTAAATCCAATTTGCAACACCTAAAATTACAAGCTACAAAATATAAGTTAAATAACTTGACTGTTACCAATCAGAAGAGGATATTCTTCTAATTGCATTCATCTTAAATTAAGTTAGTTTTACAGTGTATTGCGCTAAAGCATTAATAGTTATCACTAACCATTTAATTTACAAATATAACCTTGTAAATCAAAAATTATTTCTTATATCAGGGCATAACCAATCTAAAAAACAATACCTATTAAATATTTTTTAATATCTTACTTATGTGAAAGCTTGAATTATCTGAATTTATTCCAAAAGGTGCATGCTTTTTCTGTGAGAATGAAACGTAAAATTAAATCAAATTATAAATAAAAATAAAGTTACCCTTTTGGTCCTGGTGTTCCATGGGACAGATGTAGTATGATGTTATATAAGTAACTGTGACCTCAGTAAGTGAAGGGATAGTGTAAATCCAAATCCAATCTTCAGGTTAGCAGTGACATTTAAAAATCACAATTATACTTACCAATATTTGACATATGATCTCTTTTTTGTTGAATCTTACAACATGCAATATATTTTTTATTAAATACAAATTTTAAAAATATCTCAAAATTTAAAAAATGTATTTGCAGTAGTGAACCCTTAAATGACATTTTAAGTAGCAATTTTTAAAGCCAACATTTATGGTCAAGTTACTATTGTGTATATTCTTTCATATTATATTAAAACCACTGATTTTATCACCTATCCTCTATTAAATCAAGTACAACTTTTTGGAATACCCATCTGTTTAAGTTTGTATTTTCTTATATTTTCTTATTTCAATTGAATGGTTCATGAGATCACTATATGATTGATAAAATGTTTGTAAACTATCTTTTTTTTTGTATATAATTTTTTTTTTTAAAACCAAAATTAGGTGAATAAAGAAAAGCATGTTGCTTTGATATAATATATATATATATAATAAAATCACCATTTTAAATTGTAAATAGTTTGTGAGATATTTTTTCCCAATGTTTTATTAATACAAAATGAATGTGATTTTCAATTGCTTTTAATAAAGAAAAAAATCAGACTATTGTACCTGTTCTCAATTATTTAGTCCGCTTGTGAGTAACCTTCCTTGTCTGTTTGTGTATAATTTTGGCAGTAATTTTGACAAAAATACCAAAATTTGTTTAATCATCATTTTAGGGGTACTACACAGGTAGTACCCCCTAAAATAATACCAATAATTAATGTTATCTTGTACTTATAACAGCCTACATATTTTTATATGCTACTTTACAGGTTTACATAGCAATGTTAGAAGAAAAAGAGAACTATTTGGATGTTTATCCAGCTGTTTAGATCTGTCTTTGTCTCCATCTATTGTTTGTATAGAAAGCTGACAAAGCCAGTTTTATAGTGTATTAAAACCCATTAAAAAACCCTTCTGATATTTCTTAAGTAGCGTGTGACACTCTAATTTTGACTCTAAATGAACTGTGTGCCCCTTATTAATGATGATAGTTAGACCTCAGGTGTGAAATCATCTGTGAATACCAGCTCACTTAGGTTCCTTCTGATCATGTGATCACTAATGCGTATCTCCACTTCTGCTGTTGAATACCAGCAATCTTAAATCAATTTTTAGTGTGAAATTTAAAAGCTAGTTTGAAATTGAAAATTCTACATTCTTATGTTATTATCTGAACAAATTAATTAATTGGATGTGACCACAAACCCACTCACAGCCAAGACAGGCAGTGTGACCTAAGACATAGTTTGTTAAGTATCAAGTTGATAGAAACAGAAAGATTTTATTGATAGAATAGTTGATGAGATACAGAATGTTTCTATTGACAGAAAAGTTGCATTAAATATAAAGCAAAAAAGATGGAATTCAAAAGTTAGGGAACTCACTGTTTATTTGACAATGTGATTAACCTAGCAATATGTAAAATGCAACAACAATGTTGCTGACCAATTACAAAACAACATTTATTAGATCTCAGTTGGTAATAAAACATTAGTGTAAAACATTTCAGTAAATTTTAAAATAAGTAATGTATAACTACTAATGTGACTAGATACCAAACTGAGTATACATTAATGTTTGACAATGAAACAGAATTTATAAAGCACTAGCTTTTTATTTTAAAAGCTAAAATCAGTTTTGATATTTTACAAATAAATTGAGTATTAAAAATTATTATTAAAAAATATTTCAAAAAATTATTATCAAAAAAATATTTCTTTTATTTAAATTTTGAAAGCTTTAATGTTTTATTAAAGCTAATGTTGTAATGGATTTGGTTTTTTACAATACAATTCTTCAATTAAAATGTAGTGTTTTACTGAATTAAAAATGTTATGGATGTAGATAAAGTGCTTTTCCAAAAGATGAACACATAAAATAGCTTTTTGTCCCTTCAAAAAGCTAAGGTTAATACTCATGACAAATAAAGATAAGAACCATAGAACTAATTTACAAATAGAAAATATGTACAGATAAAATAGTTGAAGCAAATAAAAATATAAAAATGTTCATTACAGAATTCAATTGGTGTAAAAATAACAAATAAATTAAAATACTTAACGAGAGACTAGAGAAGTGGGTTCAACACTTAGATCACAGCCATAATAATGCAGCCAAACAGAGGGTGAAATGACAGTCAATATAACTTTAGTATGCAACAAGAAGCTGCTCTTATAACTTCCACACATTGAAAGTATCATTCTTTTTAAAAAAAAGGTAATTTTGTGAAAGATCTTTAATAAAATAACAATTTTGTTTCAGAGAAAAATAAATGATTGAAATAGACAAAAGATTTTTTTTTTAAAAGCGGTTCCAAGCACTTAATGGTCCCTTAGGAATTGTGCTTTGCTTTATAATAGAAAAAAGACTATATAAATCCCAAATAGGGTGTGAGTAAACTGAACATTCTAGACAATAAATCCATAAAAATGCAATTAAATATTTATTGTGAACATATATGTGTCACATAATAAATGTATCCTGTACTGGAGTCCATGAAATAAAATTTGATATGAAACAGAATGATAAGTGATAAGTTGACTTAATATGCAGTCAACTGACATTATCAAATGCTTGAATCCAACATCATCATTTAATGCCAAGAAACTTAACTTTGGATTTGCTAGAGAATAATACTACATTTCCTTACTGAAGATCAAAACATAATATCAATTTGAAATGCTTAACATTCTAAAGCTTTGTAAATGGCAGTACAATGGAAACCCATGTACTTTAGTATACTGATATCATACTTATAATATTAAGTACAAATACTGGTCACTAGTAAAAAATAAATTAATATACATACAAAAATAAAGGAATTTACTTTAATAAACTACACTGATGTTACACCTTTCAACCTTGATTCATTTTCTCTCTTCATAGCACACTCAAGCCCAGACCTGAAATGGAAAAAAAACCAGGATACAGCAAGTTGCTTGAAGTGCATGTATTATTCTGAACTCCAAGACTGAAGAGCACTAACCTTAAGTGTATACATGCATTATTCTAAACATCAAGACTGAAGAGTACTAACCCTAAGTGTGTAGTCCCAGCTGCCAGTGCACAAAGACGTTCCATCAGGTGCCACACCAAGACAGCTAACACGGTTGTCATGGCAATAGAGGATTGTGATCCTGGTTCCTTTCAAAGCATCCCACACATTTACTGTATAATCATTATATCCACCAAATAAAACACGACCTGTTCATAAAAAGGACAAATCTTTAACTAAAACTTGTAATTTAAAAAAATCATTTTACAACTTAGGTAGTATTTACAGTACTAAATCTGTATGCACGACAAGTGTATTTTATCATAAAATTGTAGTCAGGTAAATGGATGAAGAGTTTCTCTTGTCACAACTACAGCTGTATCCCAGTGTGTTTTAATGATGCACCATGGAAAACTTAAAACTAAAACATTAACCAACTTCTTTACCACTCATTGAAAAATCCACTGCATTACAGCCAAAGATAATGCTGTCTTTCTTGTAGCAATTCACCTCTCTATCAGCTCTCAGATCAAACAGACGACACTGAAATAAGCAACTGAACATTATAACACCACCAAAAAAAATCAAAATCAAAGAATTAATGATAATACAAGCAAAGCAGGTATTGGAGGATAATTTAAGATAAAAAAAGTTTGATTCAATAATTGAATAGTCAGCAGTGAACTTACTGTAGCATCATCAGAACCTGTAGCAAAAGCGTCCCCACTTGGGTAGAACTTAACACTGTTTATATCCGACTCATGTCCATCAAAGACCTGCACACAGTCTCCTGTACGCATATCCCAAACCATTGCCACTTTATCACAGCCCTAAATAAATTAAATGGTTTTATTTGTTTTTACATTCAACGTGCAATTAATCAAGCATTTTATTGGTAACCAAAAACAGCTTTTCTAAAATTAATCAGTGTTGTTTTTGTAAGTTTAGCTTTGAACATTTTTAAAGGAATAAACAACATAGAAAGATTCAAAATTTAATAAGTATATAATAAAGTTTTTAAAAAAATTTATTTCAGATATCATTATTTTAATTTAGTTGCATGCTTGAAACTTTTTATAATTGGACAAGTTCACAGTATTTTCACATCATTGAAAATAATGAGAAACCTACCCCTGAAACAAAAATATTTCCAGTCTCTGTTGGTGAAAGATCAATACTCATTACATCCCCTGCATGGCCATGGAAACTTTGAATAAGCTGAGCATTTTCTACATCCCACAATGCACATGTACTGTCTCCACTTCCTGTCAGAATCTGAAAAGAAACAAATATTTGCTTTAATAAATATTTCTCAAAATACATCTTTTATGAATGATAGTAGTTTCATGTGTGAGAATAAACAGGTAGTGATTCAGTGAGAGAGTAAATATAGCTTATAGTAACAAGCAATGATTTAAATAAGCAAAAAATGACCTGATGATCTGAGCTAGTAAAAGAACAACAGGACAAGTAACTTGTGTGTGTTGCAACAGCCTTTTTCTTGGTAGCAGGATCTTCATCCATACTCAGTGGGTAGAGTGTACATTTGTTGTCAAGACCACTGGGAATAAAAACAATAAAGATTGAAATAAGAGAATTATTATTAAGACAAGACAGAAATGCCACTTATCAGATTAATAATCAAACAATGAGCTGTTTTAACCTTCAGAAACCAATTTTAAATGCAGTGTACCTCATATCTTTTATCCAGTAATGAGATGTTACTTTAGATCAAGCAACAACAGTAGAAGCTAATGTCCATATTTTTATAAATATTTTATTTTTGACTTGAAATGTAGAGTACAAGAAATTAGATAACAGAGATAAGCTAATGAATGAACTGAAAGTAAGAGTAAGACTTACCCACAAGCAACAACATTTCCAGATGGGCCATAGGAACAAGCCATTACCCATGTTGTTGGCATTGTTATTGCATGTTCCTTCAGAAGAAAAAAAATATTGTGTATGCTTTCATAAAGAATATCTGAGTAGATTTACCAGAATGCTATGAAAATATGATGCTGTTTTTTTAAGCGTTAAAATGCGAAAAAAAACTTAATCATATCATTGAAGTTGTATAAGTTTAGGATGTTATTTCACTTGCAGACTATTTAAATCAATAACTTACCTACATTAGCTGATTTAGAATTTCACAGACTACTTTATATTAAATCTAGATTAAAGGGGAAAACAACAGAAGAGATATCCCAACAGAAATTCTTCATTTTAAATACAGAGTATTAAACTGATCTTATTTGAAAGATCAGTGAGGCAATTTTTAAAGTCAAACCTTGTTTGTGGTAAAAGCATCCCAGATTAACATTTTTCCATCTTGTGAGGAGCTAACTATGTGTCTTTTATCAGATGACCAGTCCATACACAGCACTTTTCCTTGATGTCCTTTTAATGTTCTTCGTGGCTTAATATTGAAATTTTGCAAACTCTCCAATCTTTGGCCAATCACACAAGCTAAGTAAAGAAAATGAAATATAAGATTACAGATTACATAAGTAAAAATTTAAAACAAGCAATTTTATAAAAGAATGCATACTTCTGTGTATATTGAAATTAAGCTCAGTATCATTAACAGTTTTAGTATCTTGAAGAAGCTTTTAAAGCCATCACCGATCAGAGACTAGACTATAGTGAGGACCAGGGTGAGGGTATCAGCATCATTGTTTGTTATTAACTGTGAGTATAAGAATTGTAACAAATATTCTTATCTAATTTAGCTAATACATGCTGAGCTGAGTTTCTTATGTGAGAGGAATATGAATGAATGCTTCAGCTACAGATATTACACTGTGCACTGGCTTGTTGTGTCTAAATTAAGTGTAAGAAGGGAATCAATGTAGTGTATAGACCAATACTAGGGCTTAATAGGCCTGCTCAAACATATTTTAAATAATTTCAATGCATCCTGTGCTGATATCCTAATGACATAGCATTAGTAGAGATAGATTGTAGGTACGTTAGATATAGTTATATTTTAATAAAAAGTTAACGATCAGGGTAGAGAGGGGAATTATATTATTTGGTACAATCATAGAAGCCTTTACAAGTAACCACAGTTTTTAAGATGTGCCAAGTGTGAGCAAGAGGCCAAATTAACCAGGCTCTGTGCACTCTCTATTCAACTTTAGAACTCAAAGTCCATGGGTAGATGAAGTAGAGTACTGATAGTGTGGTCAGAACTATGCACAGCCACCTTTAAAGTAAAGTAAAGTTTCAAACCTGATGGTCTATAGGGCAAGTGAAGTAGAGTTCACTTGTTTTGTGACCTCGGCATAATATGAAGAGATAGTGTGGTCAGCACTATGCCCAGCTGCCTTTACTGAGTTTACTTTCCCTAACGTGAGTTAGATACCCATCAGAGTTGGGTGGAATCAGGGACGGTCTACTGACTTGAACCTGGATTTGAACTCAAGACTTTCGGATTAGCAGTCCAGCTCTCTACCACTAGACCACTCAGTCCCCACAGCCATAACTTTGCCTAAAGTTAGTCAGGTACCCATCAGAGCTGGGTGGAATGGCAGGGACATCCTAGTCCAGATCCATACTGGACTTGAGACTTTAGGATTAGGAAAGCTCTTCTAGACTCTACCATACAACAACACTGTCCCTTCTTAATTATAGTAGTATGGTACTGTTATACCACCAAGAGTCACTTGGATTGAGTGGTAAAAAACTAGAACAGACTCACTCAACTGTGAACAGACAACAGAGTCCAGTCAGAGTTCAGAGTGGCTGGGATTATAGAGTAGATTTCCTCACGCGGTCAAAGCCATATTGCGATCACATTCCCGTTTTCGCTTCGTAAAATAATTGTTTGGATGCTTTATACGAAACTACCGGTATCTGCTGTAAGCGTGTCCATTTCTAAATATATCCAGGTCAAATTCTTTTGTTTTCTCCTTCTGGAAGACAAGTTTTTAAATTTTTAAGTTGAGGTATGACGTCAACCGGTGATCCCAGTTCCCCCGGATGAAAGCACTAGGTCCGGGATGAGATGAATAAAACTAACCAATCAAAGCTGTTTATAATTAGGTTAACTATAAATAGCTTCTACATACGTGTGGGACACTGTAAATACTATAGCTAAGGCTACTAAAGCAACCTGAGAGGTCAAATGGGGGTGATCGCAGCTGGGCTGACGATTCGGGTCGTTTTCCTCGCTGCGTAACCAATGACTTGAGCTAGACTAGCCTAGATCTAGATGCTCTATATTTCAAGCTAAGTCTAGAATCTGTATAGTTTATACATTATTCTGTGGTTTTAAATTATTTCGATCATCTACTTCTTCTAGAACTAGTTTGTGTCTCCATATACAAGCATATTTAAGCAAATGTTAGGTTTTGTCTTGTTAGTAATTGTTACGTCCCTTTGTTATGATTATTAAAATTGCGTCCCTTGAGTTATCACTGGGTCATCCGTGATGTGTTGTTAATAAATTTAATTAAAGTGTTTTTTATTTGGTTTTGCAGTCTATTAATTAATAATACAATCAACAACACGTTTAAAAGTGTAAATTATTTATTTTAGCTTTTAAAATTGGATCAAAACGTAAAAAACTACGCTTGTTACGCAACAGGAAAATGTGACCGCCGGCAAGAAAAAAAAGGGGAAAAAAAGATCGCAAGCAGGCACGTCACTAAAACATGAATATCTCAAATACTATGCGTAGGAATACAAAATGATTTATAAATATTAGAGTAGAATGGCGGCGGAATAACACGGTACTTTCAGTTTGTTTCTGTGTGAAACGGGTACAAAATAGCGCCCGATGAAAATCGGGAGTTCGGATTTTTTTGCTATGTGTGACCGCGTTAGGAAATCTACTCTAGATTCTACTTCAATGCAACCTCTAAAAAATGTTTATCATGCATTTCTAATTGCACTTACAATCGACATCATTTAATTTTGCTTTTTCTTCGGTTAATCGTGCTTTCAAAGCCTCAGCTTCGCGACTTAAAGCTTCTATTGAGTCTGGATTCTCTGCTCGTAAAGCTTCTGTAGCCATGTTTATTTCCGGATGCCGTTGCCCGGATGCGGGTAATTATCTTTAACCTAATAATGTAGTTATCTCCCTTTACTGCTCTTGGAACACGGGACTCTGGCGCCCCCCCCCCCCCCCCTCCCACCGAAGAGATGCCTGGAAGAAACTCTGTTTACGTAGACTATAGATTTAGATTCTAATATCTTTGCACCTTCCAAAATTAACTTCAGTAGTCTACTACAGTACTAGATCTAGATTCTAGTAATAGTATTAGTATTAGAAGTTACACACTGATAATGTGTTAGACTTTAACTGATAGATTAAAGGTTGCCGATTTCTGTCAAACGTGACCTTTTTACCCACCGCCCCAGATAATTTATAGATCTAGGCCTATATCATTTTCATAGACCACCACCCTCATATGATATAACTAATACAGAACATCAACCACACACACAGAACAAAGCAGAGGCGTAGCGACCCTACCCGGGGACAAACTTTTCGATTTGCACCCCCCTCAAGATTTCGATTTGCACCCCCCCCCTCAAACGTTCGATTTGCACCCCCTCCCCCTTCGAGATTTCCATTTGCACCCCTCTCAACCTTTCAATGTATTTTTCCAACCCATTTTGGCGCCCCCTAAGGTCGGCGCCCGGGGACATATGTCCCCCCCGCCCCGCCCCCCCCCCCCTCGCTACGCTACTGGAACAATGACCTACTAAATGCTTGGAATACATTTTTTTTACTGGCAATGCCAATTTTCACTTTTCTTTTGATGTGAGTCATGATGGCTAAGTATATTATAAATGCTACATCAGATGGGAGTGGATGGTTGAGTGGAGTTGGTAACAGTAACAAATTGAAAAACTGCTAACTAGAGCTCCTTTGGTAAATGCACATTATGACCTGTGTTGATCCCCTTATTTAAATTTGAAATGCCTGAGTACAAAAATTACTAAAGACAATCCATTGTAATGAAGTAAGTGGCCCTATGGGCACCCACATCAACAGCTCATACATATTATTAAGTTACAGCTGTTGGCTCATATCTGTTTCAGTTTCACAACACACACACACACATATATATATATATATATATATATATATATATATATATATATATATATATATATATATATATATATATATATATATATATATATATATATATATTTATTTATTTATATCAGGTTTTGCCTGAGATTTATGTTGAGGCTGAAATGAATTTTTTTTAAGTTGTCTGCTCGGTTCATCATTGAGGCATGCGTGTTATATTTATAAAAGAACATTTTTTAAACATCTAAGCACCTAGCTCAAAAAACCCCAAAGATCTCTTTCATGATATGATTGCAATGATCAATGTTTCCAAAATAAAGCAAAAATCTTTGACTCAGCATATTTAAGTTTATTCAATCATTTTCTTCTGTACATAACAGTTTAATTCATCAATAATTGAATCTTCATACAGTTACAACTAAATTAATAAGCAATCAAATATTGTTACAATAATTATAACACAGCATTTAGTCATGAATTTTGTTGCAGTATCACTAAATCGATCAATTTTTTTTCATACAGTTAATAGTGAATAATTATCACTAATGCTAATACTATATTATTCAATAGTTTGTTACATAACAATTGTTGAGAGTAGATTTAAATTGAATTACTCCTTTTGGGGCAATAGCTGACTTAGAATATTTGTATATAGTATTCAAAGCCCAGATAGCTTCTCTTGCTCCAAACATTTGGCTATTGTGTTCAGTTGAATATTGCTGGTTCCTTCATAGATTGTGCCTAAGTATGAAACAAAATATAAAAATGCCATTGAGATAACAGTTCTTAATATATTCTAGTATAGAAGTGAATTTGCATTTTCTTTAATTTTTTGAATTAAAAATTAATTTTTAATCGACTTTGAAATGTGTGAAAAACAAAAGCTTACCAATTTTACAGTCTCTATAGTATTTCTCAACTGGATAATCTTTTGTAAAGCCAACTCCTCCCATCCATTCTATACTTTTAGATGTAGTCAATGTGGCTACCTGTTCATTTATATAAGGAATTTATGTGGGAATTTTTTTTGTTGCAAGTGACAGTATATCAGGTCAAGAAAAAATGAAAGATGAAATTCAAAAAGTTCCAGTGTATATTTTTAATACTAATTTACGGTTTCCATTAGTTTTGTATAATTACTGCTCCCTTTGTATAGTATTTTGCTCACTATGAATCTACTTACTTCTGAGGCAAAATATTTAGCCATGGCTGCTTCTTTAACAACTGACAAACCCATTTGATGTCGTCTGGCAGCATTGCACATCATGACCTTACCAATCTCTATTTGGGTTGCAACCTGAGCAACTTGGTGTTGAATGCCCTGTAGAAAAATAGCATTCCTTCAACAATTTTCAACAAGTTTAAATCAAAGGCCATTAATAAAAAAAAAATTTCTGCTATTCACTTTTAATTTCTACCATGCTGAATTAAATATGTAATAAAATGCTGAGGTTAAAATACAGAAACTGTTATAGAAGCCATGAGAAAAGTCAATATCTGGCAAAATAAACTAACATCAATTAGACAATATTGTCGTGACATATGTTTAACGTACACATGAATTAAAAAATCAACTGAAAGATGCCAAGATAAGACAAAGAAGAAGAAGCTCTTGCTGAAGGCTGAGTACAGTCAAAGTTAAAAAAGCATACAGTACAACATTAAAAGATTTGCAGTGGAATAATTTTTAAACCATGTATGAAGTTTGAATTTAATTTACTTGAAAATCATAAATGCGTTTTCCAAACTGTTTTCTCTCCATTGTATAATTGACAGCATGGTGAAAACATCCTTGTGCCAACCCCAACATCTGTTGAGTCAATGAAGGTTGCCAGTTGAATTTCAATAAACATTCCATACAGACCTACTTGTACTAAAAACTAAAAACCTAAGACAAACAATAGTTATTTTGTATGATAGAATATACCTGACCTGAGCTGCTATGCCTATTCTACCACTATTTAACATTGTTATGGCATATTTGTAGCCTTTGCCAAATTCACCAAGTATATTGCTTGAAGGGACCTGTAAAAAATAGTACTTATCTTACTATAAATGTGTTTAGCACTAGCTTATTTACATGCAATGCTAAGTGCCGTCTAAAAACCTAGTGACAGGTGTAAAGTGATGACATCAATATTATAATGGACTACAGAATAAAACAGGTGCCACTCTATTGGTTACCTTGACATTATCAAGTATCACTGAACAGGTGCTAGATGCGCGTAGGCCAAGTTTGTTCTCTTTCTTCCCCACATGTAGACCTTCAGTGTCTCTATCAACAATGAAGCAAGTTATGCCTTTGTAGCCCTATCCAAAATAAAATACAATAGTCATATTGATAAAAACAAATGTGTATAAAAGTTTTCTTTAAATATCTATCTTTTAAGTCTTTATAGATATTATTCAAAATGTCTCTATCCTATATAATAATAATAACACATAAAAATGTCTAGAATACAAGGAAAATGAGTCAGTGCTGACATTTTTTGGATCTGCATTAGCCATGACAAGAAACACTCCAGCCTGTTCTGCGTTGGTTATCCACACTTTTGTCCCATTTAGGATAAAATTGTCCCCATCTTTTACTGCTGTTGTCTTGAGTGCAAAGGCATCAGACCCTGATTCAGCTTCTGATAAACAAAAACTGCCCAGCTGTAAAAAGTTTAAATATTTTAAACAAATTTTTAACAATATAAATAATAAAATTAATAACCATAACCTGAAAGAATAAATATTTTCAGCTGTATAGTATATTAAAGAATTACCGTATCCTTGGCCAGTCGGGGAAGGTATTTTTTCTTTTGCTCCTCTGTACCAAGTTTAACAAAAAGCATATTGACTAAAGTGTTTTGGACATCACATAGCACGCTGACAGAAGGATCTACTTTGGCGAGCTCTTCAATGACTATGGTTGCAGCGAAGAAAGTTGAATTCGTGCCTCCATACTCTGCAGGAATTTCCATTCCCATTAACTGCAGGTGAAAATATGAAGGGATGATGGTTTATCATTGAGTGATATTCTGTTATATGGGGTGGAATTGTGGTATATAGCAATGTTATAAAATACTGCTTTTGAATCTTAATACGCTTAATCTTACTCTTTTGTGAAATTGATCCATTAAAATGATGTATGGTTGAATAGGTTAACATAATTATATTTTAATTTTTTTTTTTACTCAAATAAGGTGTTAAAATGATTTAAAAGTAATTTTCCATTGGTAAAAATAAATTTGTACAGTAGTGTATGGCACTTAATAGTGTCCAATTTAAAAAGCAGGGTCCTAGAAATCTGGTATAATATGAGGAGTATCGGTCTAAAGACTATTTTACTATCAGCGTTAACAGTTTATCAGTTGAAAAAGCCAGTGTTAAATTACAATTCTTGACTACATTTAAAAAAATAAAAATACACTGACCCCATTTTCGAACAATGCTTGAATAATCTCTGGTTTCATTTTGCTATTTTCATCCATTTCCGAAACATGTTTTTGAATTTTCTGGATAGCTAACTGGGCAACTAAACAATAACAACAAAAAAAGTTGATCAATAAAGCTTTTATGAACACACCTAATTATTTTTACTTAAGCAATTTAGCTATCATAAATATTTTCTGAAACTAAATAAATAAGTAAAAAACAATACCTTTAGATTTTAATGATAAAAGAATGTCTAGCCATGTATAACTAAAGTAAAATTCTATATACAAATGTAGGTAAGAAATATAACAACCTGAATCTTTCATCATCTGTTCCTCTGGAGAAAGTAAGTCTGCAGGGAGTTGATGTCCTGAAGCAACAGCACTTCGTAATGGGCTGGTAGAATGTGTAAAACATCTTGTGCTAGATCTGAGAGAGCTTGGTATAGTCTTGATATGTGCTAAAAGCTAGAATTAAACAAAAAATTCTTCCAAAAGAATTACTCAAGATGATTCTCTATTGATTTAATAAACAATATAAGTGTACTTTAGTATGTAAGTGTCTTCATATGAATAGGCGTAAGTGCAATAATAAACTTTCTATTTGTTCTACATTAATGCAAATGAAAATGGACCATAACAAATGTAATGAATAGACTGTATAAAGTATCAGATGGCAGTTATGTGAATCATGTTAATATTGTTCCAATGTGAGATGTGCAAGGAAAGTCTATCACTCTGGATGAAACTTTACAAGATTATATAATAATAGTTTGTTTTTTTAAAATATAACTGAAACCAAACTGGTAAACCATTGTTTGAGAGGGTAATCCAAAAACTAAGAACTAAAGACAATTAAGATAGTCTTCCTGTGGCTAAACATATTAAAAAGACCAGACGCAATATTAAAACACTAGATCCTCTAGGGCTCTAGGGATGGCTCAAAATTTGTACCTTTTTCTAACCCACACCAAACACTACAATAAACCACCACACCCCCTACCTGCGAATGTTGTCCGCTTTTATTGTGATCATTGTCTTTAAATTAAGTTTCTTTATCTTTAACTTAAACTGTATCTCACTGTTAGTTAGGTAGTCTGTACTGTTTGCTTTGTTACTTTTAGTAGATCTAGACTCTAGATTCTAGATATCTAGCCCCGCCCCCTATAATATAATAATAATCATAATGGAATCTGTCTAAAACTAGACTCTAGCTGCTAGCTAGTACTAAACTTAGTGCTAGTAGATCTAGCTAGATTTAGATCTGTAGATCTAGACTCTAGTAGTAGTTAGGGCCTATTTATTAATTTAATAATATTTATTAACTAGTATTATTATTAACTAAATATATTATAATATTTCTTTAGGCAGGGCTCGTGTATACTAAAAAATAAAGCAATAAAGATGGAGAAAGTTAAAGTGAAGTTGAATAAAGTATTACTATTACTGGTAATCTATCGTTTTGGGTACGTAAAATCGCCCGCGGCTATTAATGTACGAAAACGTTACCTCATTGTAAAGGCTGTAATAGAAGTATATTGTGATATGTTTGTGTCAAATATTATAGATAAATGAATAATAAACCTAAATCAATGGCTAAATATATCAATATAGGCCAGAAATTAACTTTAAACAGCAGTGTCTGCAAGCAAGATTTGCTATATAAACAGCAGCCATTTGTAAAATAGAGTGACTTCCGCCTGAATCTTGCGCTATAAGTCTATAAAAATAAAACTTTAACAAGATGGCTGCTATAGTAAATGAGCATGGTTGCATCTGTTGGAAACATCGCTGGTGTTCATTTATTACGGAAAAGTTTTAATTCAATTGTTTAGAAACAGGTACATAAATGAAACAAGGAAACATTTTTGTATTTTTCAAAACATAAATCCTCCTCAAAATGTGAAATAATTATTAAAATGTAAGGAGTCACCTGTTTTTCACATTACTAGTCGCGGGCGATTTTACGTACCTAAAACGATAGATTACCCTATGGCTATTACTATTAGATCTAGATCTAGCATGATAAAGTAGATTCTAGATCTAGATCTATAAAGTTTTAAAAGTGTAACTGCACTTGACTGTAATGTGCCTGTACCTGTGCACTGTACTGATACTCATACTCATGATATGATACTGTTACAAAGCAGTGTTCAGTGTATACTCACTGTATACTACACTGGAGGAGAGTGTAGTAGTGAGTAGTAGTGTAAAGTGTAAGTCACTTACTAACTAAGTCTTACTAAGTGTGTAAGGCAGGCGTAAGGCTTCTATTTTAACAATTTAAATTTATAAATTAACACAAGACTTAAGATTAAAATTAAACTAAAACAAGCCATACAAACAATAGGCTACATAAAAAATATTACAAACCTTAATTCCAGGTTGAAGTTCTTTAAACAAGGACTGACAAATCATGGACATTGTTGCGTTTCTTTCTGCTACAGAGAGAACTGTGGCCTACGACATTAAATTAAATTGTATAACTATAAGGTCGGGTTATAAATAGATGACCCTTAGCATCAACAATATAAGATTACCGAGAACTGACGAAAAAAATGGATAACTAAAATTTCCAATAAATGTGAAACACTTTTAGTTCTAGATCAATTTTCACATGTACACTATAGTTATAGTATTAGATCTAAATAAAACTAGATCCGTCTCAAAACAGAGCCACAACTACTCCCCCAGTACTCCCTAAAAATCTAAAAATAGTAGGCCTAAGTAATAATTATTAATTAAATTGAAACTTTTCTTAGCTACGATTTTGCATCTTTTTCCTCACTTTAAAAAAAAATGCATGGTTACCTATTTCTGAACACAGTCACACCTCAAGCAGTTTTTCTCCATAAAATATGTCCTGAGTTTGGTCAACATTTAGTGAGATGTGTGACGATTTGAAGCTTGGGCTAAAATTGCGTGTCATCACTTTTATTTATGGAAGACTTCGACCCAATGATATAGAGATAGGCCTGTAGTTTTTCTTGACAAAGGAGTGCACTTTAGTGAGACTTATAAAAAACAAAGTATTAGGCTTAGTAACTTTTAGATTTTCTTTCAGGCATTTATTCGGGAGATTGGTAGAGAGTGGAAAAAGCCCATGTTAATTGCTTATTTATTTTACTGCTAATTATATTTGTGTCTGATATTTAGGTTTAGATCTTTGTGTTCAGTTCAGTAGGCCAACAAGCATGAGGATTGCATATAATTTTATTATATTCTGGTCATTATACTAACCCAATATTTGTTTACAAATGGCGGCAGACGTAAGACAGCTGAACTCTGATGAGTCTAATTACACGAACTCATCTGATAGATCTAGATCTAGCTCAGAGTATACTGAAAGCAAATCTTTGGCAATAAATTTAAGTAGATCTAATAACAATGATGGTTCGGTGCCTAGTTATATGATCGTCCATAAACAAATCACAGATGTATTATTGACACAGAAGTCAACAGTAGAACAGCTGATTAAAAATAGCGTAAGTCGTAAGTCATGACTCAGGGCAGTGTTCAATGCAGTTGCTTGTTCTTGTAGTAGATCTAGTACGTAAAATAGGCCGAAACTAGTATTGTGAAAAAAGGTGGCTCATTAAAATGTGAAATAATTACTCAAATTTAATTTAAATTTTAGTAATTATTTCACATTTTTAAGAGGAGTTATGTTTTGAAAGTTACAAAAATGTTTCAAAGTTTCATTCATATACCTGTTTTTAAGCAATAGTATTAATTTTAAAACTTGTCAAGTGATGTTTTCATCAGATGCAACCAAGCTCATTTACTTAAGCCTTTAGCAACCAACTTAAGTTTTTTTTGTTTTTTTAAATTATAGTGGAGATTCAGGGAAAACCACTCTAATTTACAGATGGTCGCTGTTTGTATAGCAGATCTTGCTCACAACCACTGCAGTTTAAAACAATTTCTAGTTAATTGATATATTCAGATATATTTAAAAGTAAAGTTCCCTTTTCAAACCTGACGGTCTACTATAGGGCAAGTGAAGTAGAGTTCACTTGTTTCGGTGACCTCTGCATATGAAGAGATAGTGTGGTCAGCACTATGCCCTGCCGCCTTTACTCTCCCTATTGGAGTTAGGTACCCATCAGAGTTGGGTGGACTCAGGGACGGTCTACTGACTTGAACTCAGATTTGAACTCGAGACTTACGGGGTAGCAGTCCAGCTCTCTACCGCTAGACCACTCTGTAATTGATATATGTAGGCATATAATGTTTGACACAAATATATAACAATATACTTCTATTAAAGCTTTAACAATGAGGCAAAAAAAATTCATGTGACATTACTAGCCTCAGCAGTTTTATGCACCTAAAACGATAGATTACCATATTTAAATGAGTAAGCCACACTCACTAACAGTCTGAGTTATTGTCTAATGTGTAAGTTATAAAAATGCAAACATAATAGCAATCAACCTTATTAAATAAAAATTTGTATTAAAATTTGGCCAAAGGAAAAGTTTGAAAACTGACTATTGTTCTTAATTATCAATCATGTAAGTAGGAATCATGTTACTAAAAACAATGATTTTTTTAACAGATAAGCATTTTGAATGAAAGTAGGGTGAATTTTGATTCCACTGTGAAATCTCAAGAAGAAAAAATTGAGCAGCTTGAGGTAATGTTTGTTTGATTATGGACTGTCAAATGTTCTTACAAAAGTTTTAATGTTGTAGGTTTATTTACTAGAGGCAAGACAATTTAGACAGGGCAAAAGTCAACTGAGAATATAAATTTGCTGAGAAATCAAATTAGTGTAGATAACAGAGATGGGGCAATACAAGTAAAATGAACAAAGAAAGATGTGGTTCAAAACTCAGAGTGTGTTCTCAGAGCTAATTTAGTATAAGCAAGAAGTTGGTGTTTTACAAGCCATAGGTCAGGGTGCCTAAATGTGTGCATGCTCAAAAACTATTGCAGAGCCATAGGTTTACATTACAGCCTTGAAGTAGCTACTACTGTAAGTTTGTGACCCAATAAGAATTAATAACAAAGGGTCTATACATTTATTATATTTTTTCAATGTACAGAAAGTGTGAAATTTAATTTACAGCAAAATTTGACACTGATTTTTTAAATTCAACTAGATATTTCTTAAATTTAAGGTGATGTTACTGACCTAAAAATATTTCACATTTCTTACAAAATTTGATGACAGCATCTAATTATTGTAACAAACTGTCCACAAGTTTAGAAATTCAATTATAATTTGAAGTTCTATAAATACTGTAATAAAATAAAACTTTTACTTCAGAAATCAATTACTGAAGATTATGTTCTAAAAGAAGTTTACACCCAACTACAAAATGAACTAAAGGTAAGCTAAATGAACAAAACTCATTTTATTTATACTTTGAATATCGAAGATAATATAAACAATTACCAATTAGAATTGTAGAAAAACTTTATTTAAGTTTTTTAGTAACATATGTCTTTTATGTTTCAGGAGAAGTATGTTCATAAAGATAGTTATTTAAATCTTCAAGAAAAACTGGAAGTGAGTTGATCTAAATTTTAGTAGAAAAACAACAATCATGACAGCTCTTTATACTGTACATTGTCATTAATATAATAAAGTTATTAGTGTAATAAAGGAATGTGAGAATAACATACTACATTAGAAGCTCAAATTTCTCTGATAATTAAGCTTTAAAGTGTTGAGACGTTTTGCAGGAGGAATGTAGATGTCATGGTGAAACACAGGCCAAGTTACAGCTGGTTTTTGAAAAATTTGAAGACAGTCTTCAACATATTTCATCACTAGAAAACAAGCTGAGTGAAACAACTGCTTCTTTCAGTCTTGAGTTAGTTTGACTTTTTCCAGTATTAGACATGCTAAGTTTATAAGCATCAATAAAAATTGTTTTAAATTTGAAAATGATAATAGTTTCAAACACAGTGTATTTTATCATGTGATGAATTAGAATGCACCTGCACTAAAATTTATAGTTAAATATTATAAAATGTGTAAATAACTCTCTTTCAGATGTACTACCTTACAAAAGGAGATATCAGATGTATATGCTCAAAATAATAATCTTCAAGTACAACTCCAAGGTTAAAAATTAATTCAATTTTCTTTGACACCATCACCTCAGATCTCTTCTTAACTCATTTTATTTAAAACACTTGTTAATTTCCTATTAGTTCCAGGATTATAATAATATTTATAAGAGTGTGATTGAAATTTTTAAATCACAGTTATAATTTAAGTGTTTTAGTAGCTTAAAAGTAATTATGTTACAACTAACTAATAAAACTGCATTTAGCAAAGTTTGACCAGTACTAAGTATTATTCAGTGTTTACTTTATTTTCAGAGAAAACTGCTTTGTGTGAAGAGCAGTTGGCCTTGATTGATCAGAAACAAATGGAGATAGAAGAACTAGTCTCAAAGCATCACAGACAAATGTTAAAGTACAAACAAAAAGTGAGTGAAACAGAAGTGGTGAAGCAGCAGGAGGCTTATCTCAGCAGGGTATTCAGTAACTCAGATGTAAAGAAACAAAAATGATGCTGCCTTTTTTTTTAATTGATATTCTAGATTGCTCTTTTCCTCTTGTTGACATACTAGAATGTTCTATTTTTTAATATATTAGAATTGTTGACTCTTTAACCCTTACAACCCTGAGACTGATATTTTTCCATTTCTATCCTCAACACCAGCTGCTTATATTTCCATTTTTCACTTCCATTCACTCATGCCCAGTGGCATGAATTTCAACAAACGGGTACTAAATATAAGCACAAAATGAAATCAATGACCTTTCAAAGCAGCTATGGGCAGAACTTAGTTTCATTTTATTAATTTTCGATATTTTTTGTGTGTGCAGGTCTGTTATTATAAATGATTGACAAAATAGCTTTGAAAGGCTAGTCGGTAGTCATAGTCATGCTGATATATTAAAATCTTACGAGTGTAATTCAAGTAATTAGTAATTGATTAACTGAATATGATGGTTATAAATCTAGTTCTTCAGATTTAGAACCTGAACTTGTCTGACAAGTTATACTAATCATGTCTAAATGCTTACCTAATCTAATACCCACTCAAATATTTTTTGTTGTCACATAATGCTATTTGCACATATACTTCATACTTTTTTTGCATTTTTATAACCCCTGCATGTTGTTACAAATATTTCCCAACAAAAATACTTCAGACTATATAAATATAATCTCTGGGACCAAGGGAACTATTTGTAAAGTTATATTAGTATTATTAGTAGACCTATGTATTGCTGAGGAATACAATTTTGAAAAAAATAAGTTGGAGCTATAAGGCTTAAGCATAATTTTTCTCTCTTGTTTATATTATAACTATTCATTTTGCAAATAATAAAATATCAATAAAAATTTAAATGTGTTGACTTCAGTAAATGAACATTTAATTTACTTTTCACTTTGTCAAGCAAGAGAATCATAACGAAATGGTTATGATAATCTTGAATATAAAAAATTGTGTTATAATTATAATGTATTAACTTTTATAGTTTTTTTGTTTGCTTTTTATAAAAGCTGTATATTTTAATGTCTCAATCTATGATTGTAGACTTTGTTTTTGGGACTTTTGTTTATTATGCTATTGCAGCCGAGTTTTTTATACTGGTTTTTAAAAAATGTTGATTTTAAAACTGCTCTTCTTATTTATGCAGAATCTAATTTTAAATCAACATCAATATCTTTTCTAGAAAAAAAACAATTAAATAGCTATTTAAAATATACAGTATTGTTTTACATACTCAATTTAAATAAAAAATTGTTATTCATTTTTAGTTATATCTGATTAAATAAAACCTTATTTGCTTAAAATTGTTTTCATAACAACTTTGTGACACCACATCATCAGTGGAGCACATCACATTGTGAATTAAAAGTTATTCTAATGAAAATTCTTAACACTTTTTATAATAGACCTATAATATGTTTGCTTATCTCTAATGTTAATAGGATAAGGGAAGATGTTCAATGAAGATATACATTTTTTTTAACAAATCTTTAATTACAGTTAACCCCTAAGTTCTTATCCTACTCAGAAAATACTCACAAGAAAAATAACTGCTTAATAATTTTATAAATTTCAGCTCACCTCTTAGCGATATTGTATGTTAATGCCAGACTTTAGTGATTATCTCCCTTAAATTTAAAGACAATTATTTAAATGTTACACCAAGCCACCTTAATCAAGTTTACTTAGTTACCAAGATCAACATCAGACACATTTTTGTTGAAGAAAACCAGGCAAGTTTTGGTATTCCGAAATTATATGATCTGGAGGATTACAGATCTAGATTCATCTTTCTTCCCATGTTAATTAAATAGACGATAGTTGTAGTTGTGGTCTACTCTGAGCTCTCAGTGTGATACGTCGCTTTACATCGGGTATTTCTTTCTTGACAGTATGTGATGTTATAGGCTAAATTATTTCCCTTTCAAAGACAAATCAGTTTTAAGCCTACTGACATGGTGAGATTGATTCAATTCTACGCAGTGTTTCTTCCAGACTTTTTTCTCCGGGGGGGCACTTGAAATCTTCGGGGGGGGGGGGGGGGGCGGTAAACTTTCTTCGGGGGGGGGGGGGGGCGGACACTGTTAAAAGTATATATTTTCTATATAAATTATATAAATCTCGTTTCGTTCGGGGGGGGGGGGGGCGGTAAAAATTTTTCGGGGGGGCTTTGCCCCCCCCCCCCCCGAAGAGATGCCTGGAAGAAACTCTGATTCTACGGTAGCCTACAGCTGAGCCTTCTAGTAGTAGTAGCCTACGGTAAGATTGCAGAAAGTCGTCCTGAATGAATGACTTCTCAAGTCTACAGTTGAGGATTTTTTTTTAAATTTACGTGACGATGTGGTAAGATATTGACGTGGATCTGGTTTTTTTGTGGCGATGCTTGGATGTTACGAATTGAGAACAATCTGTTACGCTTGCGTGACGTTATTCGTGGACTACCCCTACCACACAGTGAAGTGTTTGTGTCTTCTTGCTGTTCGCTCAAACTTGTACCAGTTGTTATCGTTAAGGAAGGGTTCATACTTTGGTGACGAAGGAGGTTGGAAGCTGGTAAATGTGACGAGCGGCACCCGGTGCGGTACTTCGTGGTGTCACCCCCCCCCAAGAAACTATATATATATATATATATATATATATATATATATATATATAGGCCTACATGGGCCTATAATTTAAATATATGCCACATGCGCGTACATGTATGTTTATAAGCTTTAATTACTGCAGACATAATAGTAACGATGTTTATGATTTATCTATTGTCTGTTAATAATATAGTTGGATGTAGCATTATTTTCTCTAATATTAGCACGTTTACGTCATGGTGTCACTCCCACCCTCTTGTAATAATTGTCTATTTGTACTTACAAAAAATATTTAACTTGAATTATAAATGGAACTGGCAAAAAAGCATTTATCTTCTGTACATTTTGCAATTTTTAGCCTTGGTGTCACCCCAAATGGTGTCACTCGGAGCGGCCCGCACCCCCCCCCCCCCTCGCTGGTTGTTATTTCTCGTTATTAAAAGATTGTAATGTAATCGTAATGTAAATTGATTGATATACTCAATGTTGAATTTTTTTGTGATCCTGTGGAGGGGGAAATACAAATTATCAAAATAAGTTGACAATTAAAAAACAAAAAACAATGGACAGACTGAAGTTTATATTCATTTATAATTTTTTTTTTTTTTTTTTGCAAAAATTTTCAGCAGCTATTGATAAATTGTGCTAAAATCACAGCTATACATGTCTATGATGGTTTAGCGACTGTCCAATATAACTTGAGGATCCTTGTCCACCAGATCATCGAACTGCTGAGCGTAGTTGGGTAACCTACACGTCTTGTAGGAGTTACCGTTCCTTTCCACCTTGACGCCATCCAGCGGGTTGCTGCGGTCTTTGTGTTCTATTCGTATCTGTGGGACAGACAAGACAGCTTTGATACGTCAGCTTTTATAAGACAGGTTTTGTAAATCATCTTCCGGGTGGTTTTATGTTTCAAGTTGCGTTGGAGTCAATTTGATATTAAAAATACGTGAATGGGGTTGGGAATTGATAATTCGTCTCACTATGATGTAGGCCTATGCGTAGGCCTATGCTGTATTGTAGTCGCAGTATAACTTCTTTAGCAGATTATCCCCGGGTCAGTAACACCACAAGACGGGGGCACGGGGTACCATCCACAGTGGCGTCACAAGACCGGGTGCCATTCGCATAAGGCAGGGGCGTGGGGTGCCATCCGCACTGTGACGTCACAAGACATGGTGCCATTCGCACAAGGCGGGGGCGTGGCGTCATAAGGCGGGGCGCGGGGTCGGGGTATGTTCCGCACCGGTGACACCAATTTTTTTTTAATTTACTGATCCATTCAGAACAGTGAAATGGGAAACAATCCGAAAATACAAAATTGTTGGAGTTGAGTGGGGGTGGGGGTGTGGGGGGGGGGGTGTGGGATGGGATGAGAACCTAATTTACCGCACCAGGATGACCAGGTGCCACCAGACCTATTGATGCCACATTCAGTGGTATTAAGGTATGCTACTAGATCTATTTGGTTGCCATAAAACTTAATGCTGATAGTGTTGTTGTTTTTTATATTTACATGGTCACGTGAAGCCACAGACGGGCACTCTTTAAAATAGTTGTACGGCAGCAAAAAAAACTTGAGGTGGTTGCCTACAGTTGGCGTCAGTGGCAGATCTTCTGTGTGCGGGATGTGGTGCATACCGGAAGTGATCCAAAACACCAAGTCCTGTCAACAAAACGGCGGCCATTTAAAAAAAAACAACTTTGCGCATTGAAATTATAGATTCTAGAGTGTAATCTTACCGGGTTACTAACCTCGTCGTGCAATCATTACATGGTTACTAGATCAATACAAACCTCGTCAACAATGCTTTCGTTGTCTTCGTAAAATTTTGTGAAGTCTGTGACGGGGTTTTTGCTGTCCCACATTGCGTAAGGCGAGCTAGAGACCTGCTCGTCGTCCTTGTGTTTGGTCACTACCAGCTGGTGTCTGGCCCAGGGGATGGTCCTCTCGTTGTCTTCGCCCTCTGGGAGAATTTGCTTTGACATGCCCTGCATATCTATCCTGTAAAACACAAACCAATATTGTCTGCGTCATACTAAAGTAATAGTTAAATAATGGTCTGTATTTTTTTCTGGCCACACCGAGAAGTCAACATCTCCTGCTACACACCATTTCAGTACATTCAAATGGTAGTCTACTCTAAACTGGTGGTATGATCTGCATCGCGTTCACACTTGCGACATTTATACTATACACGTCTAGAAAAAAACAACTTCGCCATTAGTTAATTAAATTTATCAGAATGTGTATAGGATGGGGGGCGGGGCTACTCACTAATTGCGTTTTTTTTTCTAGACATGTATAGTACACATGTTGTAAGTAAACGCGACAGGTAGCAAAAATAACTTGTAATTAGAGAATGTAAAGATGTTTGGCAGTAGTGCCGATCACACAATGTCTTAATGTGCCGAGATAAAAGAAATTGGTGAATACCACTTCATCCGCAGTATGGACCATCAGGTCTAAAGAGCTATCACAGTAGTGCTAGAAGAAATAGAAATGATTGCCTTCAGTCTTTAGATTAAGATGGTAACGGCGTGGTCGGATGGTAGAGCGCACGACTGCTAACCTGAATTTTTTTTAGTTTGGGTCCTTGGCTCGAGGATATAGGATGTCTATAGGTCAAACCAGCTCTGATGGGTACCCGGCTCACGTTAGAGAAAGTGACCTTAGTGCTGTTACTATCCGTTTTATAGGCCGAGGTCACATAAACAGGTGGACTCTACTTCTCTTGCCCCATGAACCGCCAGGTTCGAAAAGGTAACTTTTAAAAAACTTTTTTTTAAATTTTTTTTTAGGTTAAGATAACGTATCAATGTTTTACAACATAAATGATGAATGTGGGAAATGACACCATGTTTTTTATACTATCTTCACACACATTTATATATAGCCTACCTGACCTGAGCCAATCTCACCTGTAGGCCTTGATCTCGTTCAAATCTGTCTTGACCTTCTCATTATGCACCACGTGATATTTTGGGTGGTCAAAATTATATTTGAACAGCGCGTCTTTCTCAGATTTTTTCAAATTTCTTACAAATTTTGTCTGCTGATATTTCCTATTAGGAACCTGAAATCAAGAAAAAAAGTGATTATTTAAATCCTGCTGTGTCGTGAGGCATTATATCCCAGCTATCTATAAAACTTCCTGGGTAAAACATTCATCCATGTTCAACAGAATCACATGTTAACACAACTAAATTCTATGTTGTCTATGCAGTGTTTTATCAGGTTTTCCGCACCGCCAGTGCTCCTCCTCCCGGACGAAATAGAAAAATATATAATTTATACATAAAATATATACTCTAACCATTAACCAGTATGTGCTCTCCCCCCCCCCCCTCCCAGGGTTTCTTCCAGGCATCCCCCCCCGAAGAAAATCTACCGCCCCCTTCCTCCGAAAATTTCAAGAGCCCTCCCCCTTCCCCCCCCCCCCCCCCCCCGGAGAAAAAAGTCTGGAAGAAACACTGCCCCCTCCTCTCACCGGAAGTTTCAAATGCTCAGAAAAAATGAAAAAAAAACTCCATTTCTCTGGAGAAGGAGCACGTCCATAGACCCAGGTGAATAGAATATTTAAAAATAGAAAATATAGCCTATACTTTAACCATTTCATTATTATCCCCCCACCCCCGGAAGGCCTATTATGAGCAAAATGTATGAAAGAAACCCTGAGTATACACCTGTTTTTTTTTCACTTTGTTTACTTGTCTGTTTGAATTCAATAGAATATAGTGGTGCTGTAATTTTCAAAGAAAATTGTTTATAGGATGTTTGTTTTTACCGTTCTCATGTCCACCGTCTCTGGCTGAATGTCCAGTGTCTCGTATCTGTTGGAGGTCCCCGATATGTCCAGGTCGACCTTGAAATGGAACATGTGGTGATGCAAGGTGCCCAGCAGATCTTTTTCTATTTGAAAACCGTATGGCTTCTCAAGACTTGTGAAGAAACTGGGTAAGATGTAACCTGCACATTAAAAAGTAGTGGAGTTGATATGTATATACATGTATCAGCGGCCCAATTGTAGTAGGATGTAACTCGCATTAAAAAGTAGCGGAGGTGATTAGTGATTAAAATATCGAAGTACCCATCTGATGAAAATGTTCTGACGTGTTTTACCTGTACTCATGACACGTGTTTCTACGACGCCATTTTGGTGTAAGATAAAGTCCACGATGTAATCGTAGTTGATGATGGTCAATGCACTTCTCAAGGTCAAGGCCGAGTCCAGCATCCCGCCATAAAAGGCGCCCTCTGATCGAGAGTAAGACAAATGTCGTCTGAGTGGGTAGCCATTGTTGTTCTCAAACAGGCAAAAAGCGCGGGATATCTTTAACGGGGCGTCGTCTGACTGATCAGTGAAAGTCTGGTGTGAAAATAATTGGGTCATGGTCAAGTTTTTATTAAAATAACATTGTTTTCCAACGTTATATGTGTTACATCTAAGACCTAAGCAATTTTAAACAAGATATGTCCCTACACGTATGACTATAGATAATGTTAACATAAAAAAAGCTCGTGTTTTACCCGACCTCTCCCCACCCCAACGTTTCCCAATGGTTATGTTTGGCTTTCATCACCCGCCGAAAACTAAGCTCTTTTGGAATATTAAGTTCCCGCTATATACCAAGCCTTTGCTTCAAGTTCCTTCCAAACATTAATACGCTCCTACCATACATTAGTTAAGCTCTTTACTGAAATAAGCTTCTATTAAAAATATTACCCGAAACCAATTAATTCTCACTGTTCTTTAAACTCCTACCATACACTAAGCTCCCGATGTACAAGTATACCAATTACATTTACGAGTTCCATTTCGTTACGAGCAACATTGTCGAGAACCGAACATAACTTCGATACTGGCCAACCCTACAGTCGAAAGCATACCCAAGAAATCGTTTTTTTTCTATTGTAAGAAGTACTCCCCCCCCCTTCCGCCCCAATACACACAGACCCTGAGGTCTTACCTGGTTGATAAAGGTGGCCGTCTCTGGGCAGTCCCCGCCTGGGACCAGGGACTTGGAGTGGATTCCAATCAAAGCTGCCGAGTCGACAAAATCCGTAATCCGCTGCAGGTAGATAAAAGATCCAACACATATTTTCACATGGCGCCTCAGTTGTTCGTTTGTTTTATATTTAAACAAATATTTTACACCAAAGTTCAAAGCTCATAAGTTCCAAAATGGGCTGTGTATTTTGTAAGCTTGAGCATTAAAATGACAAGAAGGATGTGTGTTTTGTAAGCTTGAGCATTAAAAATGACAAGAAGAATGTGTGTTTTGTAAGCTTGAGCATTAGAAATGACGAGAAGAATGTGTGTTTTGTAAGCTTGAGCATTAGAAATGACAAGAAGAATGTGTGTTTTGTAAGCTTGAGCATTAAAAATGACAAGAAGAATGTGTGTTTTGTAAGCTTGAGCATTAAAAATGACAAGAAGAATGTGTGTTTTGTAAGCTTGAGCATTAGAAATGACAAGAAGGATTTGTGTTGTACCTGCATGGGGTTATCCGCGGAGTAGAAAACGGAAATCTCCGATACCCCAATCTCATAAGCGATTCTCTCGTTCTTGAATCTGACGTCATAGATGACTGGTCCAGAGAGGATGGACATGCGGAAGTTGAAGCTCCAACCCAGGTATTGGACCTACACAGTGGTATGTGGGCGTTAATAAATGAAAGGGTTACAGTGGTATGTGGGTGTTCATAAATGAAAGGGTTACAGTGGTATGTGGGTGTTCATAAATGGAAGGGTTACAGTGATATGTGGGTGTTCATAAATGAAAGGGTTACAGTGTTTTGTAGGCGTTAATAAATGGAAGGGTTACAGTGGTATGTGGGTGTTCATAAATGGAAGGCTTACAGTGGTAAGTGGGCGTTAATAAATGGAAGGGTTACAGTGGTATGTGGGTGTTCATAAATGGAAGGCTTACGGTGGTGTGTGGGCGTTAATAAATTAAAGGATTACAGTTTTATTGTGGGCGTTAATAAATGAAAGGGTTACAGTGGTCACTCACCTCCCTGCCTCCACCAAGGTCACTCACCTGTCAGCCTCCATCAAGGTCACTCACCTGTCTACACCAAGGTCACTCACCTGTCTACACCAGGGTCACTCACCTGCCTGTCTTTCAACGAGTATCTCTTGCCGTCTGGCTCCACCAAGGTCACTCACCTGCCTCCACCAAGGTCACTCACCTGGCTACACCAAGGTCACTCACCTGCCTGTCTTTCAACGAGTATCTCTTGCCGTCTGGCTCCACCAAGGTCACTCACCTGCCTCCACCAAGGTCACTCACCTGGCTACACCAAGGTCACTCACCTGCCTGTCTTTCAACGAGTATCTCTTGCCGTCTGGCTCCACCAAGGTCACTCACCTAGCTCCACCAAGGTCACTCACCTGCCTGTCTTTCAACGAGTATCTCTTGCCGTCTGGCTCCACTAAGGTCGGGGGTCTCTGTGGGTGTTCAGGCTGTGGGTCACCTCGCAAGTTGAGGGTTGAGAAGACGTCTTTGCTGTACTCGTGTTTCTTGATGCGGGACTTCTGCTCGGGTCTGTACACAACAAGCTACACATCACACATAGACTACACATCATACATAAACTACACATCACACATAAACTACACATCACACATAAACTACACATCACACATAAACTATACATCACACATAAACTACACATCACACATAAACTACACATCACACATAAACTACACATCACACATAAACTACACATCACACATAAACTACACATCACACATAAACTACACATCACACATAAACTACACATCACACATAAACTATACATCACACATAAACTACACATCACACATAAACTACACATCTCACATAAACTACACATCACACATAAACTATACATCACACATAAACTACACATTACACATAAACTACACATCTCACATAAACTACACATCACAGTTAACTACACATCACACATAAGATACACATCACACATAAACTACACATCACAAACTACACATCACACATAAACTACTAAAAACATAAACTACACATCACACATAGACTACAAATCTCACATAAACTACACATCACACATAAACTACAAATCACACATAAACTATACATGACACATAAACTACACATCACACGCACGCTACACACATTACTGTGTGCATTAAGCAGTGATATAGTACAAACATCTATAATATATCTTTTTACAAACTGTAAACATTACCCGCTACTGTTGTAGTGAGACTAAACTGCTCATATTTTAGTCAACAAACTGTAAACATTACCCGCTACTGTTGTAGTTAGACTAACACTTCTCATATTTTAGTCAACAAACTTTAAACATTACCCGCTACTGTTGTAGTAAGACTAACACTGCTCATATTTTAGTAAACAAACTGTAAACATTACCCGCTACTGTTGTAGTGAGACTAGCACTACTCATAATTTAGTCAACAAACTGTAAACATTACCCGCTACTGTTGTAGTGAGACTAGCACTACTCATAATTTAGTCAACAAACTGTAAACATTACCCGCTACTGTTGTAGTGAGACTAGCACTACTCATAATTTAGTCAACAAACTGTAAACATTACCCGCTACTGTTGTATGCGAGGATGAGGTCGTCTAAGCTGTTGTAGAGAGTGCCGTGGTACCAAACTTTATCCGCTCTGAATTTTCTGGGATCGGATCCATCCATGACGGCCAAGACTCCAAAGTCTACAGGGTGGAGGGCGTAGTACTCTACCGAATACAGCGCCCATACCCAGAGTCTATGTGCTGTGACGTCATTGATCAAATTGGTGCCAAGATGAGAAGAGAAGTAGGTCAAACACTCTTCAGGTTTACAGTTGTGGTAGGAAGTTCCATAACTTTCTTTCAGAATGTAACCAATCTGAAGACGTGGAGAAATTTCTAGAACAATCTTTCTAGTGTGTTGCTAACATTAATAATACAACTCGCTTCAGATTCAGCAGTTCTAACTAAGGCTTTCCCACATACGCCTGATCAAACAAAATCCAAACTTCCTCCATTATATGTTTCTTATTTTCTATGTATCAATCTTTACACCTTTCAGATATTTCCGTTCTTACCTTACGATCAACTTCAAGAAGAACAGTATTATAAAGGCTGTCCAATTCAACATCACTTATAGGGCGAAGTGCAAATTCTACGGGATTTCGCCTTTTATCCGACTGCAATATTTTACATTCCGTAACATTAGGCAGTGGTCCACAGATGTACTCTATAACTACCGGGGGATCTAAATCTCCTCGAAACACTATAGCACGAGCTCTTCGCGTGGGCAGAGGCCCTTCCTTATCCAAGTAACTCAGCACTTCTGCCTTGGGTGCTGGGAACAAATCCATCGTGTACAGCATGCTAACGTTGGTCTGTGCCTTTGCCGCAGGGACTACCCGGATGTTAGGGTCCTTTTCTAAAAACGCTCTCAGATTTCGGATCTCCAGTTTTGTGAGGTCATGAAAAGGTCCGGGCTTGTCTGGTTCACTAAGGTCAATGACGTTTCCGTTTTTCTGGGAAATTCTTGATGTCCCGCAAGTTTCGGCGCTGTCGTGGGATTCTCTGACGGACAATACGACGACAACGATGATGAGGCCGATGCTGAGTAAAGCAAGTATGGCTGACACTGATCTCCACAGTCCCACCTGGCGCCGTACCAGCGCAGTATATTCTATGCCTAAAAAATAAATAAAAAACGTGCCATGCAAACGTGAGCTGTGTTCATTCTCAATACCGCTTCCAAACATTAAATAACTGTAAACTAAAACTGATGTATATAAAACCTGCCTTAACACCGTAGGCTCCAGCAGTAAAAATGTTAGGCCTGTATTGCCAGACCTGAAGTTGAGACTTACCGCCTGACATGTCATTGTTTGAAATGGTCAACACTGACCGTTCAGGACTTGATTGGCGTCCTGCTTGTCGACGAGACGATCCTAGAGCGAGAATCACCAGAATGTCATGGCAAGTTTTATCATGGAAAATGGCAATGTATCATTTAAGAACATTTTAATTGGTACCTTATTTATGTTGATCAGGTTAGAAAAAATGTCTATCAATAATTGCTATAGCTCAACGAAGAACAACTGGATTGGTATCTGATTCATAATAATATGTTTCTAGTTATTTATTGCATTAATAGTTATTAATGTAATCGATTGTTTCAGCTGTATTAATCATAGTTAGGCCTATACACTTAAAATAAGAAGGCCCTATGTGATTATACGTATGTGTTTAGTGATTCCTGGTCTATGTGTGTTTACTGCTTCCTTGACCTATATGGTTTGTGACCATTTTTTACTGCTTCCTTGAACTCCATATGTTTACTACTTTCTTGACCAACAAATGTTTACTACTTCCTTGACCTCCATTTTATACTGCTCCCTTGACCAACAAATGTTTAGAGATTCCTTGACCTTTATGTTGGACTCCCTCGACCTAAAACCTGTCCTAAATTTTGTCAGAAATCGCGATCAGTGGGTCATCTCGCTGTTTATTGTTATGTAACAGGTCTAGGTCACCAGATGTGTGAGGTCACCAATGGTGTGACATGGCTAGGTCACCAATGGTGCGATATTGCTAGGTCACCAATGGTGTGAGGTCACCAATGGTGCGACATGGCTAGGTCACCAATGGTGTGAGATCACCAATGGTGTGACAGGGCTAGGTCATCAGTGGTGTTACATGACTAGGTCACCAGTGGTGTGACATAACTAGGTCACCAGTGGTGTGACATGGCCAGGTCATCAAAGTCGTGATATTATTATCAGGTGTACCTATTTGTCATCATGTGTTTTGGTCTGTCTTGATCGAAATGTGTTTAGGGTAAACATATGTTGGACCGCTGATTTTGAACTTGCATTGACGTTTGGAGACTTTTCGAGGGTACTAACTTGAGTAGCTACCCCATCTAACGTTGTACCGAATCTTACGTAATTTTATAGCAATGATCTTTAATAAATAAAATATTTTAAAACTTTATAAAAGTAAGCTTTTAAATTCAAATGCAATGAAAAATTAAAAAAACAAACTATTTTGCTTTTCAAATAAAAGTATTGGTCGCTCGCGAGATCTCTTACATTTATTAACGATAAGGTTTTTTTTTTAAAGAAAGTAAATAAGTCATATTTTCTTATTTTCAGTGCATTTAAAATCATTATTATATTTTTTAAAATATTTGCTTTATTTTCCAGTGTTTATTAATTTGTTCTAAATGAACTTGACATCACATAGGCTACGACGTAAAATCCCTACCAGAAGCTTCCAAAGTCTAAATTGTTTAAAACTATATGTTCTTGCATTGTCACCGAAGATGAATATATTTGGAGGAATGAAATCGGTGCATTAAAAGTTCGTCATAATTAAGAAACAAGAATAGACACACCACACAAACAAATGAAAAACAGACATAGTGAACCAAATAAAAGTTTATAAAAAAGAATGACTGGCTTCTCAAGGAAATTCATCTAACAGACTTAATTGTATGTGGTTCTTCGTGAATAAGAATCTCTGATAAACTTACTGTAAACCATGTTATGGCATGGGGCTCTATAAATCCTTTGGTACTGGCTGCTTCAAGTGCTTTGATTTTGTCAACTTATGCTTTCTGTCTCGAGATGGCATCGAAAGCTTTAGTATGCTGTTACCGGGATTCTTTTTCTGAAAGAGGGTGAACGCATGCAGTCCCATGTGTAGAATGGGGGAGATAGTACTCATGTCTTTTATAATATAGCACTCTACACGCTGATGTAGATCTTTGGACTCCTTTGTTGTTCCTTATCCTTATCATGATAAGTAACATTTGATCTGGATTTTAAGTAATATTTTGTTAAATGTATAGTAAAACAGAAATTTTAAAATCATAAATGATTTTGATTTTGTAATGTAGACCTTATAGGATATATATATATATATATATATATATATATATATATATATATATATATATATATATATAGGCGTAGCGAGGGCGGGGCGGGAGGTGCGGACCGCACCGGGTGACACCAAGGCAAAAAATTGAAAAAAAATGTTCAGAAGAAAAATGCTTTTTTGCCAGTTCCACTGATGGTTAATTAAAGTTAAATAGTCTTTGAGTATAAATCGACAATTATTGCAAAGGGGTGAGGGTGACACCATGACGTAAACGCGCAGACTATAGGAATACAATACTATATCCAACTGTATTATATATATATATATATATATATATATATATATATATATATATGGCTAGGTCACCAGTGGTGTGACATGGCTAGGTCACCAGTGGTGCGACATGGCTAGGTCACCAGTGGTGCGACATGGCTAGTTCACCAATGGTGTGAGGTCACTAGTGGTGTGAGGTCACCAGTAGTGTGACTTCTGGATAACGAGGAGGTCACTCAAAATTTGAGAGTAATCCATGTATAAGATCTTTTATGAAATTTCGATCCTTAAGTCCTAATTAAAGAAAGCAGGAGTGATCTCTCCTAAACATTCTCGAATAATATTATATAACAGTAAGGGCTGTAGCACTTTCAGTACAATCGGACTATATATATGTTATTTATTAATTTATTTTTAATACTTACACTTTTTAAATAGAATAGAAGCGAGTAGAAAAAGAAATTGCGCACCATATGAACGTAATAATGTAGGTGAAAATTAGTATACTTTATAAAGAAACTTTAATTAATTTTAAAAAGTTAATGAAACATCTAATCACGTCACATTTCAAGGTACAGTGCATCGTCGTTGAGTCGCGACCTACTTGAAAAGTTTGAAACAAATCAGTCTGATAGAAGTGTTATTTTTTGAGAAATCGGTAATAGCGTAAAGTACTACTTCCGCTCAACGGAAATCACGCAAAATGCGAAAGATTGGAGAGAATAACATCCTATACATAGGTATAAAATTGTGTCCAGCTAGCTGAAACAGTTCTCGAATTACCGGCATTTTCGAAACCATAAATACAGCAAAGTACCACTTCCGGTATTCGGAGGTCAACTGAAAATTAAAAGTAATTCAAGTGTAATATCTTATGCTTATATATTTATTTTCGTCAATCTAACTGAAACAGTACTCAAGTTATCATGTTCACACTAAAAATAAACTGTAAAGTACCACTTCCGATTATCGAAAATCGTTCAAAAGTGAATTTTCATCTACCTAACTTAAACGGTGCTCTAGTTATTGGCTTTTGAGAAACCTGAAGTAGGTTTGGCACCACTTCCGGTTAATGGAAATCGCTGATAGACAATTACAAATTTGATATAGATCTAGATCTAATACTTATGAGTAAATTCGGTCAACATTACTAACACGGTGCTCAAGTTATCGTGTTTAAAAACACACACATACAGACGGACAGGATGGCACAACTTTTTTTTCCGGCTCCAGAAAGTTATAAAACTATTGAACAAAATATCTATCGATTTCGATTTTTGTACGATAAAGCGAGGAGGTGTGTACGGCGAGAAGTATTAAAATCTCATTAAATTATTCTCACGATTATATTTCTAAATACAATGTATACGAGAAATTAAGGGGTCATCCATTTATGACGTCCACACGGGGGGGGGGGGGGGAGTCCGAGAAAAATTGACATTTGCGGACGCTGTGGACTTTTAAAAGGGAATTAAGTGGACTTTGTGTGTGTGTGGGGGGGGGGGGGGGTAAAAAAATCCAAAACATTTGTGAACGTCATAAATGGATGACCCCTAATAGGGAAAGAGAACTGGCTTCGTCGGATTTAACATACGATAGCCAGATTTTTAGTCTTACATTTAGATAGCAGAAACTCCAACTAACTAAAATAACCTATTGAGATAGTCTATAGATCTATATGCTAGTCTATACGCCTGCAGTAAAACAATACAAAATATAAAATCAGTTTTAAATCAAACGCGACCATTTCAACGATATATTTTCGAAGCAATGCATATGTATATAAATAGATCTATAATGAATTGATTGGAATAAATCCATGAAAATTGAAAGCTTACCGAGAAATTTCACTAAACAAGAGATTTAGAAATATTTTGGAAGCCGACGGACTTGTTGAATAATTGCGAAAGTCTTACATTTAAATATTTTTAGTATCAATTTAGTCATCTAAAACGGTAAATCCAGATCTAGGTTTATGATAAATTTATTGATAAAGAGTAAAATTCAGTCGGAGTTTTTTTCAGTGATCGTCCTTTCTGGCCCAAGTGAACGGCGCGAGTAAACGAAACAAGAGTACGTTAATAACTTCGTAGCAAAAATATAATGGCTTATTCCAACAATGAATCGTTAACTAGAATTTAGATCTAGATCTAGATCTAGATAAGAGTCTAGTTAGTCTAGATCTAACTATTCATTATATACTGTGACTAGATCTAGATCTATATCACAAACATAAAACGAATTAATAATTAATTAATTAGTCTAGTGAAGTGCAATATTTCATCGGTAAGATTAAGTCTGATTAAGAAGTTAGTATTATTATACTATTATATAATTATAGTAAGAACAAAGTTTTAGTAAACAAGTGACGAAAACAATTTTAAATTATAATATTTTGGTTCATTACCGAGTCGGCCTAATATCTAGACTAGATTCTTTCTAGATCTAACTTAAGATCTCAAAATCTAGACTAGAAGATCTCTAGGAATTAGGAATCCAGATCTAGATATTAGATATAGATCTAGATTAGTATGTAGCTTTTTCTGACAGGGGCAGACAACCTACCCCCAAAATCTCACCATGAAAAAGTTTTGTGATTTTAAAAAAAATATTTGGGGTACTCTCTGTTTTTTTGGAAATAAAAAAGTACTCTACTGTTTCCTGTCATTTCTACCACGTTTTTTGAACAGGAGAGGATCAGCTCTGTAATGAAGTAAAATTTTCATTTTTCCGATGTTTTTTTTACCAAGAACACTTCAAGTGAAAAATTAGGTAAGCTTGAACCTATTACATTTATAATTATAACATTATTCTTTTAGCAGAAATGAGAATAACTTTACAGAAGAACCATTTACTCTTGTAACTAAATCATAAAAAGTTTAAAAACTCATCAGCAATTTACTTAAATTAATTTTTTCCCTAACTCAGTAGGGAAGCTTTTTTCAGCTGCCATCTTGTTTCCGTAATACAGAATATATAGTAAAAAATGTACCCATCCTAAAACCTTAGTGCTGCAATAAATAGCTGAGACTTTCAGCAGAATTGAGAATAACAATACAGAAGAACCATTTATTCTTGTAACTGAATCATAAAAAGTTAAAAAACTCATCAGCAATTTACTTAAATTAATTTTTTCCCTAACTCAGTAAGGCAGCTTTTTCAGCCACCATCTTGTTTTCCCAATAGAGAAAATATAGTAACAAATGTACTCATCTTAAAACCTTAGTGCTGCAATAAATAGCTGAGACTTTCAGCAGAATTGAGAATAACAATACAGAAGAACCATTTATTCTTGTAACTGAATCATAAAAAGTTAAAAAACTCATCAGCAATTTACTTAAATTAATTTTTTCCCTAACTCAGTAAGGCAGCTTTTTCAGCTGCCATCTTGTTTCTGTAATAGATAATATATAGTAAAATATATACTCATTTCAAAACCCCAGTACTTTAATAAATAGTTGAAGATTGAAGCAGAAAAGTGAATAACTATACAGAAGAACCTTTTTCCCTTGTAATAGAATTATAAAGTGTTCAAAAAGAAGTCAGCAATTTACTGAAATTAATTTTTTCTATTACAGAATTAAGTTACAAATTTCTTCACATATCTTGTGAATTTTGCAGAGCGTGCTGTTCCAGACAGCCCCAGAAATGATCAAGTAGATGAAGCTCGACCCCAGTAGCTGCTAGCGGACCGATGAGGATGTTTTTGGACAGAAGATAGTGGCTGGTATGGTTCACCAGTATCTGTTGGTGGACAATAGGCTCCTGCGATGTCCTGTCTGTGCTCTTACAGTCTACGCAGGATGTTATGGAACGGCAGATATCCCCTTACTTGACTGGTAGCTATTCTGACCCTTCTGAGGAAATGTTAAAATGGACTCAGTCAGCTCCTGCCCACAAGATCCATGCTGAGAGGATGCTGGGATATATGGACTGATGCGCTGAGCTCTAAACACCACTGGGTTTTCTGGATTTCAGGGTGAAGGAAAAGCTGAACTCAACCCTTCAGTGGCTGGGAAGGAAGTCAGAAGCAGAGCATAAAGTCCTAGAGGGACAGCACTTGGCTGGTAAGGACTGCAATTACTTCAGAAGGTTTTTGAATCAGAAGACTGAGATTCCTGTACAATCTCTAATTGTGGATCTTGCAAACGGTGACCTCAGTTTTGATTAATAGTTAGTGGTGAGTTATTCATTTTATTATTTGTTGAAACACCCAGCTATTGAATTGTTTTAATCAGCTCAATATAATGTACTGGATAGTATTGACTGTATTGTATGTAAATTAGAACCTACACATGAGGTGAGTAAGATACAATTTTTCCCCTCATTTTAAATCAAAAATGTCTTTAAATAAAAAGCTAGGCCTATTCATTAATTAGGTATAGCCTAGTTAACTATTATTCTTTGCATTTCGGGGTACTTAATTGTATATTTGTATTGTAATATTATAGCCAAAATGTAGTTTTAAGTTTTTAAAGATAGTGCTCTCTCGGGCCTAACAATTTAAATTTTGAAAGAAAATTATTTAGTATTAATATTAGGCCTAAATTTTTTAATTATGCGCAAAATAATACCAAATTATTATAGCTGTAATTAAATTTTCTGTGTTATTTCAGGGCTGATATTATTGTAACTTTTATTTGTGATAAATTGTGATATAATATTTCCAAATACAATTTTTTAAAGATCATTTTGCTGTTTTTGTTATTTTGCTTTATGTGTTATCTCCCTTTTACAATAATTGTGTTGTTCGCCTCATTAAAAAACAAAAAAAATGATTTCTCAGCTTCTAATTAAGCTAGAAATACAAATGAAGTATCTATGTCATGTTTAGCTTTAACACTATGTAACTAACAGGTTTATAAGGTATAAAACTCAATAATTCTAATCCAATGCTACTACCTAATCTAGATCTAGATAGATAAGTGTTTTAACTTTTAAGGGGCTACAACACCGTACTCAGCTTGATTTTTTATTTTATTTTTATTTTTTTTTCGATTTTTTTTTATTTTTTATTTCTATACATTAACATCTTATTTACCTAATGCCGTTATCGTTTTAACTGTAAATTGACATTTTCATACATATTTGTGCATTTGAAGAAGGTGTGTGTGCCTGGAAAAATATAAATTTACGGAAAAATGGCCTCCATAAACATGCCTGTCGATTCTTAACTAAGCGACCTAGCATAGCAAGCCGTATATCAGAATGACCGGCTTGCAATTCCTCATTTAAATAACCTAAATACATTGACCTAGTTTTAAATACTAAAATAGAAATCGCGAGGTGAATGCATGATGGAAATAAGAAAAGCTGTATTCCCATTGGTTACCAGGCGAAGCCATGTTGTAAGTTACTAAAATTAGCTCATGTCAAGGCGACATATGACCGAAATGTAAGCCGTTGCCGAGATACGGGCTATTATTTTGCTCAGCGCATGACTTCCTTTACTCGACATCTGCGAACCTGTGTGCTTCTTTTTTATCAAATAAGTGCATATTTTTTGTTTGTTGGCTTCTTTTTACGGTAAGATTTGATTTAATTACTATTTTACTGAAATTATTTTCTAAAATATAGTTATTAATTGTATTTTCATCAATAAACTTGGACTATTATTCCTTATCGATAATGAGTCGTTCTAGATCTAGATCTCGAATCTAGATCTATTCTAGATCTAGAACTAGATTTAGATCTAGATTGGAGATTCTAAATCTAAAACCTAGATCAAGATCTAGAAGTAGAATTTAGATTCTAGTCCAGATCTATATAGGTAAATATGAGTCTATAAATACAAACAATAGTTTATAATAGAATAATAGATAGATCTAGAAATAACAATATGCCTTATTATTTTTAAATATTTTTACAGTCAATGCCTGAAGTCTCAAAGCTAGTGCTGCCAAGCTTGCTAGGGTTGATGCACATCACTTGGGACTGCACAGATGCACTAGATGCACCTACAGTACCTGCATCTCAGTGCACATGCATCGGTTGCAGCTACACTACTTCCACCAACCATCGCAAAGAAAATTTAGTGCTTCTGCCGTCTAATCGCCGTAATGCACTGAGTGGATAGATTGGAAGTCTTACGCAGGTATTAGGATTTGTCAAACTTGTTTGAATTCTTGAAATCACTCTGATAGCTAGAATGTATAGATCAGTATATTGTCTCAATCTCATTTCAGCAGCTGAAAAAATCTCCAGACCTACTTCAAGAAGGCAGTTTCAAGTAAGACTGGCAGTACAGGGAACTGAGGTGGAAAGTTGGAGCTCCTTCTAATCATGTCCCTTTGACAGATGAAAGGACACACACCAGGATTGACAGACAGGGAAAACCTCCTGGTGCTTCTGGCAAATGTGTCATGGTACATAATTCAACACCGCTATCTCACAAAGGTTCATCATTCATCTTAGAACATGTTGCCAAAGCTGTCCAAAATGTTTATTAGCAACTGACGACAAATGCCATATTGAGCAGTTGCATGATAGATTCAACCCAAATGAAAGTCTTTCTGCATGCATCTAGGCATATGGCCCCAATCATGGGATTACATGACAGTTAGTAATACTGAAAGATGGCTGTTATTTCACCCATAGCCCAACAGAAACTAGTTCAGGCTGAAGGCAGATCATCATATTTTTCTTCGGCTTTCTAAATAGAGAATGATTAGGCCTACTGTAACTATTTTGTTTTTGTAATGTTAGTAATATGCAAATGTTTTCAGAGTTGTATACTGTACCTCTATGTAGCTATTTTGTAAGCTAATTCAATTTTTTTGTAAATTTTACTTGACCTGTTTTGAAGTTTTTTGTTCAGGGGTACATTTATAAAACCTGATTTACAAGAATAATTACTCCTTAATTTCAGAAACCAAATGATAATAGTAACTTCTGTACATACTAAAACTATTTAATAAGCTTTTACTAGGATATTATTTGATTTAAAAGCTTTTATTAATTTTTAAAATATTTTTGATAACTCTTATTTACAATTTATTTTTAGGGGGTGCACCTCATTAAACCTAATTACCAAGACTAATTATTGCTTGATTTGATTGAAACTTTGATTATAGTATCTTGTATACATTGCTTAAACTATATGATAAGCTTTTGATAAGATTTAAAGAGTGTTTAACAGTTTTTTTTCATTTTCAAACACGTTTTCCCCTTTTTCTCACAATTTTGTTTTTTTTACCAGTTTTAAAACTTCAAAATTATGATCTCAAATACTGTCTATTAGATTTCAATGAAATTTGTACAGTAGAAACACAACATAATTACTGTTAGAGTAATAGAGACTTTTTTAGGTTATCTTAAGTAGTTTTGTTTTTAGAGAATTTCAAAGTTGATTTCATGGTTAATATTTTAATCTAAAAACAAAAAATTTGTAACTTCAACATTTTGTCATATATTCAAAAAGTCTCTCTATTCTCCTGTTAGGAATCCTCTCCTTTATTTAAATTAGAAGTTTTAAGTCAATACATTAAATGGTTATTGAGTTAAACAGATTGAAGCATGATATGTCTAAATCATTTATTTCTGTATTTTTTAATCGGCTAACGCTGAAGACACATTCACATTGGTCTAAAAGTATATAAAATATCTTTATAACTGCAATACATGTGTTTGTTTTCTTAAAAAAAATTTTTTTGTAAATTTTTGTATGTACGGTGTAGTGCCCCCTTAACCAGTGTTTTATAACCTTTTTTGGAGGTCCAAACCCCACCAGCTTCATAAAATCATAATGATAACCAATGATTATGAATAATTATGATGTCATGTGCATTCACTGAATTGAACCCTTCTTAATAACTAGTGTGTGTCTTAATCCCCGCTGAACACTAAAACTGACTCATCAAACCACTCATCAGTTTTAGGGTTTTGACCGATACCCAAGTTAAAAACCACTGTCTGTTATGAATCTATTGATTTCTATTCTAGTGTAAGTTAGGCCTAAAATCTTGATTCTAAAATCCTAGATCTAGATTTTAGATCAGAGTCTTTTTTTTAAAGAATTTTATAATAAAACGCAACTGTATATTTGACCAAAATGGTATCTAATTTTATAACTATTTACTCATTTGTTTTAGATGTGAAGATGACCTCTCATAGAAGAAAATCGATGAAAATGAAACCTAGTCGTGATAAGCCTTGTAAGTATTTCACTGATTTATTGAGTCATTTTTTTTAATGGATTATATGTGGTGAGTTAAGTCCATGTAGACTTGCAGTACCTTTAAATAAAAATTTTCCAGATAGATCTACCACAAATGTAAACTAGACTAGTACTATAGTACTTAAACCATAAAAATTATTGTTAGGGACGAAGCATTGTTTTTGACAATTTTGGCTATAGCACATACATATAGGTGATTTATTTTTAAAATGACGATTTAAAAAATTTGACACACAAATTATAAAGTTATTTTGTTAAGTTGATAATTTTATAATTTTATAATAACTCAGCATAGTGAAATTTTGGTGAACTTACTGTTTCACTTAAATTTGTAGGTTCCAGTCAGAAAGTAAGAAAAAGAACAAACTGTGCTGTCATGGAGAAGCAGAGCCTGCCATTGTCTAACAAGTTTATTTATATGGATGTAAAGCATGGCAAGCAGGCAGACTTAATGGAAGAACAGTTAAAGAAGCTAGGAGCTGTAAGACTCAATTTAAAAAAAATATCTTTTTAATTCTTCAATTTGTGAAAATCGGATTAACTTTAACTTTACCCTCTACAGAAAGTTGAGAAGTTTTTAAGTGGTGAAGTGAACTATGTAATATCAGCCTCTGGACCCACCCATTGTAAAACCAGTGAGCGACTGAATGTTTGGGAAGAAAACCCTCAAAGTCCATCTTTGACTAGTCCTTTTAACTGTGGACCTTCTCCATCTGGATGTACAGATACCAAGAGAGTTGTGGTAAAATTTGTTGTGGTCTTCTATTGTTTTAATTGATTTTCAAATTTTATGAACATTTCTGTAAATTGTGCTGTTTATTTTAATATTAAATTCTGTAATTAATAATCGCAGGGTCTTCATTGAATACTAACATATTTATTTTGCACTTACTGTATATTGCTTCTTAAGTTGACAGTAACTTTTACAGCTTTTTAAATGGGTTTTTAAAAAAATTAATATCAGTAAATATTGGGTCACTTTAAGTATCAATATTTATCTTCAGGTTTCTAGAGGTAAAGCTCTAGCCCAGATAGCGTGTGCCAAAAACCAGGTTTGTGCTTGATTATGTGCTATTTTGTTTTTCTAAGTGGAATTGATCTTTCTGTCTCACTCACTTGTTTCAGTTACAGCCTGAGACTTTTTAAAGCACTCATCTCATATAAACATCTCATTTTATAAAGTAGTTACTATTATTTTGTTCTTAGTTTGTATCATAACATTTAAAAACAATTTTTCTTTTTTTGTTATACAATATCATTTTAGTTCTTGGATGATTTTAAAAAAATAATATGATCACTTTCAGACAAGTTCTGTCGTTGCAAATGCTGAAAAACTTGGAATTAAAGTAATTTCATTTGATGGTAAGTTATTTTATTTATACTTTATAAAGAAAGAAATAATACATGATAATTCCATTTATTAGGAACGTTTTTGTCATAAACTTATTTTTAAAGTTTACTTTATAATTCTAATATCTCTGTTTTTAAATGTTAAAATAATTCATTTAAAAAAATCGTTTCAGTCGCAACTAAATGGCTAGAAAAAGAGCTAAAGAAGATTGAAAAAGAGTTTAAAAATGAGGGTGTGCTTAAAAAGGTGTGTTTTTAACTATGCATTATTAGTTTTTAATTTTAAACTTTGATATGTAAGTAAAAAAGTAAGTAAAGTTTCCCTTTCAAACCTTACGGTCTATGGGGCAAGTGAAGTAGAGTTCACTTGTTTCTGTGACCTCGGCATATGAAGAGATAGTGTGGTCAGCACTATGCCCAGCCGCCTTTACTTTCCCTAACGTGAGTTAGGTACCCATTAGAGTTGGTTGGACTCAGGGACGGTCTACTGACTTGTACCCAGATTCGAACTCGAGAAAACTTTGATATGTAATCTGTTTGAATACTTGGAGACAAAATTACATGTGGTCTTTAAAAATCAATTCTATGTTTTAAAAAAAGCTCTGGATTCTTAAAACCATTTGTTTTCCCATATTAACAGAATTTTAAGCTTAATCACTTAATTTATATTTATTTAACTAGGTTAGTGAACGTAAGCCAAGATGCAGCAAGTCTGAAATAAAGAAAAGAAGTAAGTGTCTAGTTTATTTTTAGAAAGCATATTCACATTACGATCTATAAAGAAACAATGGTTGTTTTTAAAGAAAGTGTTTTGATATTTGAAACAAATAGTTTTGAGAAATACATCTAGCAGTTCTAGAAGGATTAATGGAATCACTTATTTTTGTTTTAGGGAAATTGTTGAGGGACAACTATATCAAGTTTGAAGCTGTTAATAAATGCCATAGACCAATAAAAGCAGAATTTCCACGTTTGCCAAAGCTCAATTTGTTATCACCACCTGGTATTTGTCCTTTTGGTGAAGCTAAATTAAAGGTACAGCATCAGTATCGTCCGCGAAAAGCTGCTCAAGAGAACAGTCATAATGCGCGGATGGATACAGTTAAAACATTAGACTCGAACCCTACTAAATTGGATGAACCTCGGTAAGAAGTTATTTAAAAATTCATTTACTGTCCCAATTATTGTATAAAGATCTTTAGTTTTGTAGGATCAGTGTGTCTAATAAGTTTTGTGGTGTTATACTTATTGTTGTAGTAATTTTGAATACAAAAAAATTGTAATGGGGTGTGAGACTCCAAGTATATTGGTATAGCAACACTGCTCCTATACATTAAAAATGTCTTATTACATGACAATGGTTGGAGAGGATCCTTAAAATACTTCATACTATTGCAGGTTAATGCAGTCTGTTTCATTAGTTCCTGAACTTGTTGGTGTGCCCATTGTAACAGCTGGGGATGTCAAATGCAACTTAAACCTGAGATTGAAAAAATTAACCCAGATAAACAAACAGCAGGGTTATTGTGATTGTTGTGAGCTGAAATACAAAGATTTAGAACAGGTATCTAGTTTTACTGTTTTTGTTTGACACTTCTTGGTGATATTTTGGTTTCAATTTTATAACTTTTGAGAGCACCATTTGCATATATTTTGTAGGCTTTGCAGTTTCTTAATTTTTGTGACATTAGTTTAAGGATTTCACACTTATCTCTCTCAAATTCATTTCAACCTATGTAGTCAGTGATAATGTTAACACTGAAATGGAAAAAAACATACACTTAAATACATAATTTTTTTTAAAAGCTGAACAAGACATTAAAAAAATGGATGAATAATAAACTTTATTTTTTTTAGCGCAATTTCCATTCTGGAGAATTGCGTTTATTAACCCGTCATTTCTGGATGGATGAATGTATGTGTCCGCAGCTTTAAGTCGTATCTCCTCCTCAACGAAGCAATATCGAGGACTAGTTCCAATAGCTAGGCCAATGCCGCTGCCGAGAAAATCGGACAAATCGGCTTTTCCCTACCCCCTGCATGTTTAACTCTGTTTTTTGCATGCTTTTATTGTGTTTATGTTAACATGTTATACATCATTCTGTTCGTAATTGAACAACCTTTTTAACTGTATAAGTTTGATTTCTCTATTATTTCAGACGTTGAAGAAATCGCCGATTAAATCGCATTTTTTACCCTCCGCGGCGACGTGCCGATTAGGGGGGAGGCTTTTTCACCTTTTTAAAAGGGGGGTGTTACTTCGAGTCTATAGACTCTGTGAGTTTTCGTACTACAACTGTGAAACTTGGTAGAAGAATAGATTAAATGTACACGTATAACGCTCAGGGTTCTTGGTTAAAATATGTTAAATACTTTCGGAGATATCAGACCGCAAAGTTAAACTAAGTTATTTGAGCTATTTATGGATCGATTTTTTATTTGAACCCTGAGCTGTATTCCTGAAATCTCGACGTTTATTAATATGTATGATATGTCCTATAAGGCCCTATAATAAGGACGTCTATAGACTTTGAAGTGGACCGAAAATATAAACACGACGCGCCGACCGCTGTCTGACTGAACCGCCCTGCTGTGCTTCGAATCGCCGTCTTTAACTTGATGACGCGTTACGAAATTTGTATACACGTATCGAGTTTACGTACTACAACAGTTAAATTTGGCAGACGAATACATTAAGTGTAGACGTATAAAGCTCAGGGTTCGTGGTCAAAATAAGTTAAATACTTGTGGAGATATCGGACCGCAAAGTTGAACCAAGTTTCCCGGTCTATTATTGGACATATTTTACATTTGAACCCTGAGCTGTATTCCCGAAATCCCGCCGTTTATTTTAATGTATGACATGTATTATAGCACCTCGTAATAAAGCCGTCCATACATTTTAAAACCGAACGAAAATAAAAATTAACGCGTCGGCCGCCGTCCGACTGATTGGTGATCTACACATCGTGTGGCACAGCCGAGTGTGTAGTCACGTGACGCTAGGCGCTTGATCCGATTGGATGATACTATAAACAATGTCTAAAGATAGATACATGTGTTCCCGTGTTTGACTCGACGGCTATTGCTACTTTATATTTATAAGCACACGGACATGTTGCATAACTTTGTCTTAACCCATTGAAACGTCAAACAAAAGTTTTGTTAGTATTTACGGCTGAGGACTAATCGTCAAAATTAATCTTCTTTAGAAATTAATCCGAATAGCTTCGGCCCGATCAAACAATGCTGTGATGTGCTTGTGATTCGTGTAACGTTTCATTATTGTGTACATTACATTTTCGTAAAAATGGCTTTAAAAATAAATTAAATTATATCCGGGGCTCTTTTCTACAAATGTTAATACCACTAACAACGTGGGGGTTACTAGCTTGTCAAATTGACCAAAATGGGGTGGGGTGGATGGGGGTACCCACTGACCATCCTACACGGTATGTAACACCCATAGCCTCACCCCGCCCCCACTAGTCCGTGACGCGACAAGCCGACGAGCATCGCTTTTGATGTCGTATAACACCCGTACGGTACACGGTGGTTTCATACCCCACCTCCCTCCCCCTTCACTTTGTGGAGTTGATGTTACTAACCCTCGGGCATAGATCAGGAAATCTTGCCAGACTTTTGTCTCTGAGATTACATAATATTCATCTGACAAGTTCATCGGGTTGGCCGACTAGCCTATCCAGCGGTCGTGTTTACGTAATAGGGCAATAAAATTCGTTGCTCAGAAGACCTGGTTACCCACATGTCTGATTGAACTAAATCTAGGCAAAAGCTGGTGGTGGTACACGTGTCTGTGTATAGCCAAACACGGTAATCTTAAACAATTTCTAGAATCTACCAGATCTACACAGTCCAGCACTCAAACACGTGCTTTTTTCTTAAGAAAGTTGCTACTTGTAAAAGGCCTACTGGTAGGCTTACAAAATACATAAACCTACTTACTACTAGCATAAACATTGGGCATAAATATAAATTTATGTTATATATCTATAACTTAACTATACCTTGTGCAGGTTTTTTAAAAAAATATTTTCCTCCAAAGTTTATTTTATTGACATTGTAAAAATGATTAACTTAAATATGGGTAATAATATTATGTAATTACCATAAAGCACACTCTGATTCTGATCAAACACATTTGTAACTAGACTAATTCTATAGCAACAAGGATTAAGATATTTAAAATAACAAGAAATATAATTATAATGAGATAGGCCTTTAATTTTGGAACAGAGTAGGCCTATAGTATTGAACATAGATTACATAACATCTTTTCTTCTTCTTCTTCTTCGTTCTTAATTATTAGTGTTGAAGGGGATCGAGATTTATCTGCCAGTTGAACACGAGACTTTTGTTCGAATTTATCAACCATGAGCTTTTTGCCGACTCGACCACGCCTCCAACACAATTAAGCGTTACGTGTCAACTGGTTATGCGCCATTGAGGCCATTGACTCCGATTTCAGCCTGCTTTTCTTTTTGGATTTGCTTCCATAGCCTTTGTCCAACCAAGAACAAACTACAAGGCAGCAGTTGTTTAATTTTGGAGTTGTCTCTCCTAGAAGAGTGGCTGTCCCCAGCTAACGAGCCTCATCTGCCCGAGGGTTCGAACTCGAGACTTTTCGGTTTAGCTTCACAAATTTACTATAGCATTCTTCTCTTTGTATTGAAAAACTTGATTAGTTATATTTTCTTCTAGTATGCTATTAACATGAAGTTAACTAACAATGAGCAAAAGTGATTTTAAAACAAATTCATGGTATATTTTGAGCAAAGGGTGGGATTACATAACCTTAACATTTGATAGTTATGTAACAATGTTGGACCATTTTAAATCTACCATTAGCTTGAGCATATACAAATGTCATATTTTAGATTAAAACAGCGTTACATTTAAAGAATGACTTCTTATCACATTGATTATTAGATGTTTAAAAAAAAATTGAAAGGGGGGTATTACGTAATCTATGAGATTAGTAGGTTGAGTAATCGAAGGACACTTTTTAAAATAGCATCATTGGATTCAGCATACAAAAATCTATAAAATGTCTTAAAATTACATCAATTGATAAAGTATTCTGGCTTTTATACCACTTTTAGTGAAAAACGCTTAAAAATTTGGTCCATACCCTCCCAGTATTTTTCCTCTTTCAGGGTCTACCCCGGTTGTCTGAAAAAACTGCTGTTTTTTAATGACTAAAAAATTCATAACTTTTTTGTTTATGGTCAGATTTTGAAAATTCAAACTATTCTGTAATCAGATTGACAGCCCCTATCCAAATATGTAACTGTTATATTGTTTTACTGAAATTAAATTTTTGCATTGGCCTAGCTAGTTCCAAAAGCAATTATGTTAAGCAAGTTACGAGGATGAACATAGGCCATAAAAATTCCGGGTTTCTTTCATGGATTTCCCGGAAAAGCCAAAAAAACCTCGAGAAAATGCAGTTTTTGGCCCATATCTCGGCAACCAGACCACCTAGCGACTTGAAACATGTACCAATCGATTTCTGCCATAATTTAGAACAATATTGCAGAAGAAAGTTTTCAAAAATATCCTTTCGTTCGGTCACAAAAATTTTTTTGAATTAATTAAAATTTGGACCGAATCAGTAGGCATTTTTATCCAACCACACCACACGCGTCATCACGTTCGATAGCTGCGACATCACGTTCGGTAGCTAGGCGCGCAATGGTTTTTAGTCATGTAACTCTATTGTAAATAAAACATGTAAAATACTGAAAATTTTTTTTATAAAAAACGTTTTAATAACTAACCAATGGTTTTACTAACCCTGCTCTTGATTTTCGCTACGACAGAGCTATTTTTAGATAACATTAGGAAATTGCGCTTAAATGTCACTAGACTTTTTAATTAACTTGTTTTTAAAGTAGTACAGGTGTAAACAAACTGGACTCACACCAGCCTTTCACAACCTAGCTTTTGTCCACATTTCTAATTTGCATGTCCCGTCCCACCTACTGCAATTTAGCCAATTTCATGTAAACATTACCCCCACAAAAACTTAAGCCTGACCATTACGTATATTTCAATCTGTTAAAAAATAATCTGTCAAAAAAGTATGTTATATATACATTTCTTAAGCACAGTTTTTATGTATTATCTGTCAAAAAATAAGTTATATACACATTTCTCAAGCACAGTTTTTATGTCACCATTTCTCCTTCAAAAAAAGTTATTAAGAATGCCAACTGCTTCTCTAAAACCTTTACAACACAATGCAAACTGATGCAATACTATAAAACTAATTCAATACTTCATAGAATTTATTATAGGCACCTTTTTACACAGTTAGCAAAAAAAAAAAATCATCTACTAAGAAAAAAGAAAGAAAGATCAAATACACACTCCCTGGATTTTAATATATATATATATAAATATACATGTGAATATATGTCTGTGTGTGTATGAGGGTGTATATACATATATCTTGATAATTAATAGAACTTTTCATTTAATGGCAATGAATTTCTTTTTAAGATAATTGAAGTTATGAAGCATATACTTTTTATAATGATAATATGTATTTATCATTTTGTCTTTGCAGCATTTGATCAGTGAAGAACATCGTACATTTGTTAGAGATAAAAGTAATTATGAAAGCCTTGATGCACTAATCAGCAAAATTCCATCAACTGTTGAGTTCCTGCAGACTGTTTTAATGAAGCACTGTGTACAGAAGCAGAAAGATGTTGGGTATTTAGTTTTTGTTACAAACAAAATATTAGGGAAAGGGTTTAACAGGGCTTCATACCAGTACAATTTTCTCTATAAATATACAACTTTGACACCCAAATTGTGGTTTTGTATAGGTTAGTGTTCAAAGTTTTGGGTTTGCCTTCCATGAAAATTTACAAAAAATATTACGGATATTGGCTTTTTAAAAATTATGTATATCATAATCAACTTAACAAGGATTTGTTTCTGATAACTGCAGTAAAAATTACTATTTATTTTTGGGATAGGCAGCCTACCTAAAAAAACATAGTTTGTAGATGAGGTAATAAAATTTCACATTACCAATTTACCAAACATCCATGCATCAAAAGATATGTCCTTAATAAATATTTAAAATTTTTCTTTTTTTTCAGCACTGACACAATGTGCAGTCTTCTGACAATAGAACCACCAATTTCACCTTTAACAACAGAAAGAACAGCAATTTACACTTTAGAAAAAGCCTCACCTTCCCACAATTCAATGCCTGTAACAGATGCTGAACTTGTTTCACAAGTAGAAAATACTCCTGTAAAAGGAAAAAATAATGAAAAATCTCTTCAAGCTGTTGTTATTCGTAGACCAATGCCCAGTGGTATATTCACATCACCTCGCCGAAAACAACCAACACCAAGTAAAAAACCATGGGTTCAAGAGCGCTCGATGGTGTTCCGAGATTCTCCCATGGCTAGTTTGCAGCCATCTTGTAGCAGTAGTCCAAGTTTTCTTGCAACAGATTCTAATGTGTTTTCCCCTCAACTGTTGAATGTCAAATTCCAGCCAAAGAAAACTGTAAGCAGATCATTAATTAACATAATAGATTTTAACCAAAAAACTACCTCTGATACCACTGAAACTATCTCTCAAGATGAATGCACCCAGGCAAAACTGGAGAATAATACAAGTCCTTCTGTGAAACTAGCAAAAGAGGCAAAGTGCATATCTAATTTCAAGCACAACTCAGCAGATGAAATTGGTAAAAATGAATTGCATGACGGTACATGCCAAAATAATTCAATGAATTGTTTTGAAGAGAATGAAAGTACAAATCTAGGTAACAATACTCTACATAAAACTCAACTGGAAGACCATTTAAGTATACCTGAGCTAATATCTGTTAACACTGAAGATGATTTGACTGTAGGAAACAACTTGAAAAGACAAAAGTGTAAGAAAAAGATGCATATAAAACGGGACAAAATAAGAAATAAATTGAAAGCGGAAGTTGTAAAATCTGACATAATTGTTCCTTGCATTGCTGACAGAGTGAAGAATAGAAGTAGAAATAATAGTGAAGTAGCTAATATTGTTCAAGATGACATTCATAGTGCTACTGAGATCCCGCAACTAATTAGTTCACCTCAAGCGCCATTGTCATCACCCAATATAAAAACATGTTCAGAACAACTAAGTAATAAAATGAACACAGATCAAAACCTGGTTTGTAAAAACACTGGTAATGAAATAATTATGACAACTCCATTTGAAATGGATACAGAAAAAGTAACATGTCAAAATAAAATAGATGCAAAAATGGTTGTAGTATCGTCTTTAAAATGTAGAAACAATACAGAAACTATTGAGACAACTCAACATAGATATAAAGAAGAAAAATCTATGCCTAGTCACAAGAAAACTGAAACAGACAAATCATGTGTAACCCAGCATCAATTGAAAATAAGAATTGATACATCTGATGTAACTCCAGTAAAAAAGAACATTGACTCAAAAATATTAGCTGGATTAAAGCATGATTCAGAACTATCCTATACCCCTAAGAAAATTGAACTAACAACTGAGTTTGTGCCATCATGTAAGAAGAATATTTTTATGGCAATACAATCTTGTAATGTAGAAACCGCCTGTAAACTTCAAACAACTAATTGTAGTAATGTGAAATCTGTTGAAGCAGATGAAGCACCTGTGAAGCATCAAACAGCATTGCATAACGAGAGAATAGATATTGGCACTGATTTAAGTTTTCCTGTTATGTCTATTCAGGAGAAGATTCATACATTTAATGAAAATACACTTCCGTCACAACAGGAAGAGAAACTGAGTCATTTAAAAGAGCAGGTTCCTTTTAATCAGTTTGTGCATAACAAAAATGGAAGTCATTGTCTCTATCCATCTGTTACAATGTGTCATTTGAATATTTCATCAATGAAACCCAAAAAATGTTCATACTTAGAAAAGTTAAAAAAGAAGCACTGCGTCGAGGTTGGACTAGATTCTCCTAACCAATTGTCTAATAGACAATTAACTAAAAAGATGGAAGGTGCACTGAAAGAAATTGTAACCCCTTCAAAAACTAGTTTGAAAGCAGTAGAGGTGAAGCATAAAGAAGACAAAAAGAGTAACAAGACAATTTGTGAAACTGAGTTATGTACAGTTAAAATGTTTCCAGTTCCAAACATTGCTGACTGTGTCAAAACTCGATGTCGTAAGCAAACTACTGATATATTTAAATACAATGAAGAAAACAACAAAAAAACTGAGAATCAAAAAGAAGAGAAACATTCCTCTCTTAACTTCAGTAGACCAGACCTTGAAGCCAAATCTAAGAAAAACAATATTGAAAAAACAGAAGAGGAAACCCTTACAGTTGTGCCAAACATTGCTGAGTGTGTTAAAAAGAGACGTTCTTGTACTATGTTCAATCATGAAGGGCAGTATACTTTAAACAGCTTGTTCAGAGAACTAAGCAGCAGCTCTAAAAAGTCTACTAAAACCAAGCGGGGTGTAAATCTCTCAAGCTCTGGAAATGTCAATTCTGAGGCTGAAGACAGTGAAATTAGTTGTAATCGTGGTAGTGCAGTAGTTATTAGAAGGAAGAATCAAAAACAACTGATTGATAGACGTCCTGTCAGCAGAGATTGGTCAATCGTTGAAGCAGATAGTTCAGAGCATTCTTCTTCATTAGTACACAATGAAAATAATGTATCTAGTCAGCAGATTTCAACAGATATAGATAGGCCTATTTCAGCTATGTCATCAGAGAATAGTATTCTAAAAGATAATCATGCTCATGCAAATTCAGTTGAAAAGACAAAAGTTAAAATTTGTGAAGGTACTTCCAGTAGTCCTGGGATTAAAATGAAGATAAAACGGCATTTTAACAATATGTTCTCATCTTTTTTAGAAGATGATAATTTTTCTCCTACTGGTGCTGCTGTAAAACGTAGAAAATTGGAACATATAGAAAGTAAACATGAAACTGAAATAAGCATTTCAAGTTTAAACAGCATATCTCTAAGCTTAGCAAATCGAGCTCCTAGTCCAAGATTTTCCTCCCCTAAAGAAAACAAGTTTGTTAAGGCAGCAGTTGAAAATGTGCCATATGTGTCCTTGCTTAGGTCACCATCACCTGTATTCACTATGCCACAGCACTCGAATAATCCTCAGCCAACAAACAAACACAACACGAGTTCTAACATTTTTAATAATCTGAAATCAGCATATGATTCCAGAGGGGAAATAGATTCTTCTAAAATGCAAGCTATGCCTCTAAGCAAATTACCTATTAACAATGTTGGACAAATACATACCAATACCATTGTCAAGTGTAGATCTCTGTCTCCTGAAAGAATACACAATTCCCAGCTCGACTCACCTTATAGTAATTCAAGCATCCAGGATACTGAAGAAGCTTTAGAAATAAGTAGTACAGAGCACAGTGATAGTAGTTCAGTTGACTTACTAACTGATTCCACTTCTTCTTCTGAAACTTCATGGGATTCTTCAAACCATTGAAAAGTCTGTTGATCTGTTACTTGTAAATATGAATGAAATATAGCTCAGAGACTTATACTTTTTGAGCTCAATTAAATTAAATGTTTGACTGTTGGTTAACTAGTTTTAACCTATGTATTGTAAGCATCTGTTACATGTACATTGTACATTTCTTAGAAGTCAATATTTAAAACAAATGTGTTTGAATAGGCAGAATATACTTTTTATATTTAATGGACTGAATAGTTTTAAGTGTAAAATATTGTGACATTGTTAATGTCAGCTTGTTGGTATTTTTTATTGTTTGTAATTTTACCTTGTGTAATAATAAATTCTTGATTCTAAAAGTTTTGACACTTATTTTAATTTAAAATAATGGGAACTCTACTGTATTATACATCAAGCATATGGGCTTGTTTTTCTACTCAGGGCTTAATTTCCATTGGTCAGAAGTTTTAATAATAACATTTTATAGATGTTATGTATTAAAAAGAAGGAAATACTTTATCTTATGCTTTATTTTTATAAACGAGTAATTAAAAGCATCTTTGCTGTATGGTTATTTGAAAAAGATTAGAGCTCCTAATACTTATATAATTTATAATCTTTCCTTATTATTACTGATAGTTGATAGTATTTATTTCATAAGCCACTATTTTTTCTAATTTTATTGACTGGAGTTCAATTGAGATTAAGCTTGAAACAAAATAAAACCGGGAGTGATCTCCCCTAAACTTTCTCGAATATTCTTATATAACTCTGAATATAGGCATGATTTTTTAATTACTTAAACTTTTAAAAATAGAATTACATGCGTTTTTTGAGAAATCGGGAATAGCATAAAGTAGTACTTCTGGTCAACAGAAATTACTCAAAATTTGACAGAAGGTACTTGTGAAATTTCATTTATCTATATGAAATAGTAATCAAGTTATAGACTTTTTAAAAATTCAAAGTAGAAAAAGTACCACTTCCAGTTATCGGAAATCGCTCAAAAGTTGATACGGATCTACGATTTTGATAAAATACTTATGTAAGAAATTTCATCAACCTAGCTGTAACGGTACTCAAGTTATCATGTTTACAGACATACAGACAAGATTGCAAAATTATGTTTTTCGTTATCAGTGAGGTGTAAGTTACAAGACTTTCTCTATACTTCGTATATACGAGAAAGTAATAAAAGGTGCAATAAAGCATTAACAGAATAGCTTAGTTCTTCAATCCTTTGCATCTCCTTGTATTTGTAAAGTAGCTAATAGTGTACTGCCATCCCCACTGCCTAGAGAAGTAAGTAGTTTGATGCCCTTTATTTCTGACATTCTTGCTTCAGTTTACCTTTTGTAACAAAACATCTGTGGCCTACATAAAGTTTTTACAGAAACACAAAACTACACTTTATAAGAAACATGTACGATTTAATTTATTCACTCAAATATTCATCTTAGGAGCCATAAAAAAATTTATTATAAATTTTTATGTTTCAATATCAACAGATATTATTGGTGTACAATTTTCTTTCATGGTTTATCTTCATAGGAATGAAAAGATCCATTACAAGATGAGAATGTTTTTTTACACTATTTACAAGTATAAATATCCACAATTTGACTTCAATCAATATTTTAGCTTACATGACGTGGTAAAGATTTTACACATACATACATACATACAATAGTAAATTAAGCAATTACCTTATAATATAGAGATGTATACAATTCTTCCAGCATTTGGTCAGAAAAATAGAAAACAGACATTTGTTATTCACAAAGGACCACATCTAGCTACACTAGTATCATGAATATCAAAATTGAGTGCAGTGATAATAGTATGACATACCTTTACCACTCACTCCATTTAATTAGATAATAAATAATTTGTGAACATTTTATTTGGTAAATATTGTACAAGAACATAAACAGGTACATATCAAATCAAAGAAAATTAAGCTATAGCATTTGGTTTGCTGATTTCTAGATAAAATTAGGCTTTTACAAGTGCTACAAACACATCATGCTTGTACATTATTATCTAAATATTATATTTCATTACAAAAAAAGAACACACATTTTTAAAAAAATACTAATTGATGGTTACAATTTAGTTAAAAGGGGCATAAATATTAAAAATATTAAAAATTTGATTTAAAAAAATTTACTTGCCACTAAAATTAAAATCACTGCCAGAACAATATTTGGATTTTAGAATACAGGCAGTAATATTTGAAACTAGATTTTAAAAACTATTTCCAATTAAATCAACAACTAAACACATAAATGGAGGTAAAATAAAACATTTCTAATAGATCTTTAACAACTGACAAGTAGCAAACTCTGGGCAAGCTTGTAGACTAAGATATATTTTTATTTTGCTCATAGAAAGCTTTGGCACTATTCATGCTTTAAAAAATGTAAATATCTTGGCTGAGGAAGCAAATTCGTGTTTGGACATATGCTTTCTAATTCATTGGTAAAATCTAAAAATATATTGCAATACCCAAAATGCAAAGAATTCAAAATAAAATACATTACATTGGTAATGGAAACAATTATGTCTTCATCTGAAATATGCTGAAACAATTGGTCATTAAAATATATATTTAAATTATCTAGATTTGCATTACAAAGCAATCTGTTTCTATCTGTATGATGGCTGAAGAACAAATTCCATTGCAGAAATATTTTCACAAAGCTATTGATTTAACTTTCATAAGAAAATGTTATTGGCAAAGATGTTTTTTTTTTCATTCCAAGAATGTAGTGTCATGCTTATTACTTTGTACAACTTATTAAAGTGCATTAGTTATTTGTATATTACACTGGAAAAAAATTGTGTCACATCACCTTATGCTGAAATGACAGGGTTTATAAGCAATGTTCCTCAATTAACCTGATGTGTCTCTCAATTTTAATGGGAAGAAAGCTGTTAAGGCTTGATAAATTATATTATAATGGCATGTGACGGCAAGAGCAGTATAAAATTAAAAGAGGTCAGATACGATGAGTAGCCTACCACAAAAAACTTCTTGATGGTAATGATAAACTTTTTTTCAGAGCAAAGATCAATATAAAGCTACAATTCAATACACTGATCATGATTTACAGTAACAGTGAATGCTTTGTGTATCTGTCTACTAGTTAATCTCATCCAATATGAATGAGCAATTCATTAACTTGTAGAAGAACAAATAAACATTTCTTGACAAAATGAAAATAATACACACAAAAATTCTTACAAGCCTTAAAAATAATAGTCCATTACAAATTTGTTGAAATGATGAGTATCACATTCATGAGTTTGGTGAAATTATTGAAATCCCCCTCCTGACATTGATGTGTTTGGTAAAATAGTGGAAATCACCTAAAATGGGTTTATGGTGCATACACTTCTTGACGTCTACCATGTTTGCTAAAGAGCAAGTATCAACTTTGACACTAAGTTCAGATAACATTAAAATCAACTGTATTCAAATCTTATACTTTTGTATCTACTACACAAAATAAATCATTTGTTCATTTTAGTCTAAAAATATTTTCATCAATGTAAATATTTTAACAAACTTAAAACTTGGTTTGTCAGTAATGTCAAACAATCAGGCAAATAAAACTTTTTTTTACTGCTAGACTAGGCATGATTCCTGAAAATGGGAATATTCCAACTTCTGCTTTTTTTCATTTTATGCAATACTTAACATTTAGGTGTTTATTATAATTAATCTATTGGCTTTCTTGAAAATTATTATGTGGAAAAAACAAAACACATTACTAGGAACAGTCATTTTAACAACATTTCCAGAATTACCATGTTCAGCATGGTTAAGAAAAAAATGTTTTATCAAATAAAGTTAATTCAGCCTGGCTCCAATAGTTGCTTGAGGAAAGGCTCCAACCAAAGAGACAGCAAACTCCTTTAGTGTTTGTTAATAGAAAAGCATTCTGCAGAAAGAGGCTTCATTGTTACACAGCTTTACTTCAAAACATTGCTGGTTTATAACTAGAAACTAAGAGGAGAGACAGACACCTTATAGGATTCACACCTGCATTAGAAAAAGAAAATAGTTTTGATGTCTGTTCAAAAGGGTTACAAGCTAATGTTTTGTGGATTGTTACAGCACTGAAACATCTGCTTGGAATGTTTAATTTTTTATTCCAATAGCTGGATGAACAAAATTATAATATTAGTGATGACGTAATTGCTTGAAATGAGTCACCTAATTTCTGGGGTTAAGTATGAGAAGTTTTGAAAAGTCAGTACAGAGTTATGTAAACAACAGTTGTGTTTTTCTACCTGCTGAATGCTGCAGCTAAAAGAGAATTACCGGTATTGATCATTAAGTGTTAACAATGTAACTGGCACTAACATAAAAACTAAGGTTTGAAGCATTCTGCACAATCATCACTGTGAGAATTACCAGTATAGTCTTTAGAGTATTGGAAAATACTGCTGTAGCAGATTCTGGTAGGTAAAAAAAGAGAATGTAGGAAGAAAACAAAAAAAAATTGAAGGAAGAAATTCAACATAAACAAAGCTGAAGACCAAGTCCTCTAACCTAAAGTAGTAAACATCACAAGAAGTATCACATAACTGGAAATACTTAAATAATAAACTCTTGGTTCATGAACAAAAATCTACTAGGAGAAATAAAGCTCAATAACCAATTAAATAATCCAGCAGCTAATCAATACAAGAGAATCCTTTAAGCAGTGGTACTCACACTCAGAGTATAATGCTTCACTTTTGACAAAAAAAAAAGGTGCCTCCTTACTACATAAATTATTTAAGGACATAAAATACCTTAGTACAATGCATTCAATTCTATACACATAAATACTGTACAGCGACTTAGTGTTTTCGTGATCTTTAAGTTTGAGGGTCAGAAAAAAAAAAGAAAAAAAAAGTACACAAAAATTATTTACAAAGAAATATGAAGGTAGTTCTTAGATATTCCAGCTGTACCACTCATCTTCTTTTCTTGAAAGATAAATGCTAAGTGATAATTTAATGGCACTTGTGATTAGGAATACGTGCTGGCTCAGTCCAAATTATCACTTGTTAACATTCATGAGTCTGACACCATACACCTGGCAAATATTCACAGCTAAGGGATCTGGACTGGATAAACATGAGAAGCAACTTCTGATCAACAGCTACCAAATCCTAAAGCAACATCCATCAGGTCATCATCAATTTCACAGGGAGAGTCGGAACATTTGGGAGTCTTGGCCAGTGCTGGAGATCTTGTCGCTGACACTGTACCCCCCTTGGGAGAGACTGGCACATCAACATTGTTCAAGGGACTGGTCTCTCCAGTAAGCTGGATACTGGAATCTTCTTTAGGCAGGTGTGCTTTCATGAGGGCTTTATCTCCAGATGATACAACTTTAGGAAGAATATTATTACAAGTAGTTGACTCTTCATCATCTATGACCAGACCATTCTCAGGACTGCTTATGTCACTAAGGGGACTAGATAGGGAGGATGCTGAGTTTTTCACTTTGGAATCTTTGTTTTTCGTAGCATTACACTTTTCAAGGAGGTCCACTTTACCAGTTTCACTAAGTTCATCTTGTTTCACAGATGGAATTTTAAATATTTTATCATCAGAATCTTTCTGTTGTTTAGCACTGCCTACAGTACATGTGTTGAGAGGTGAAGAATTGGGAGAAGACTGGGGATGGAATGGTGAAGCAGATGGTGATTGAATGGGAGAAGGTAATTTCAGAGGGGATGGTTTATCTTTCTTACTTGAATGCTTGTTGTCTAAACTCAAGGCTTTAGACGGCATCTCAATTTTATGTACATGACCTTTTTCTTTAGGTACAGTCAGATCAAGACCATGGTTCAGTTCTGAACTTTTACAAATGTTTATAGACCTATCTTCTAAAGTTTTAGCAGCCTTTGTTTTGGTAGATTTCTCATTTTCTAAACTGTAAGTTTTTGTTGATGAATCACACAGTTCATGAGCTTTATTAGATCCAGGAGAGGATGAATGATTGAATGGACTGTTGACAGAAACACAGTTCATGTTACCTTCTGGTTTATTTTCATCCTGTTTTTGAACTTCCACACATTGGATACCATTTTTGGAATCTCGATTTGACTGTTTTTGACTTTCTGTATCTAACAAGGACATACTGTTAACAGCACTGTGAGATTCTGTTGGTGTGTGCAAAACACCAACAAGATCTATTCCACTGCCCACAGCATTGTGTTTCAATTTATCTACAATAGCAGACAATGAGTTCTTTCTTCCTCTTGAGGCTGAAGGAAAACTAAACTTAGTTTTACAATTGTCAGCACTCATCGGAGTTGTTGGAGTACTAGAGGTAGATCTAGCCATTGCACAACTAGGTAAATCACTGCTGCCTTTGTTTATGAAGTTATGCTCAGATTCATCAGGAAGAGGTTTTTGCTGCAATGTACTGGGAGGCTGGTGTGCTGGCTCCACTGGTTCTATGCCGGACAAGCTGACACTTTTGCTACTGGATGATGAGAGAGAAACATTTTTATTGGGTTGTGCAGCAGGTGATGGTGTAGTTTTCATCACATTCTTGTTGTGTGAGACTTTGGTGGTGCCACCAGGATTGAAGTTAGCTCCAGCATCTGTGGCTTGGCTTTTACTTACAGCTGGTTTGCTGCTAGCAGAAGAATGCTTATGAGACTTGCCACCAGGAGAGGGTCTACTGGGAGATCTGTTTGGGTTGATGTTAGGTGACTTGCCTGAGCTCATGTTAGGTGACCTGCTCACATTGGTTATGTTGGGGGATTTATTGGATGATGTCAAGCTTGGAGATCTGCCAGCACTGCTGATATTTGGTGATTTGCTGGAATTGGATATGTTGGGAGATTTCCCAGAGCTGGGAGATTTGGTTAATCCTGATGTATTGGGTGACCTACTAACATTACCGGGAGCAGAGCTGCTTCTGTTATGTGCAGTGTGACCTGCTTGTCGCAGCCCGCTGTTGTTTATACCTGCTGAAGCTTTCTGCGCCATGTTCAAGTTTGTGTGAGTTAATTTGTTACTGTTATTTAAACCAATTTTAACAGGTCCAAAACTTTTACCACTGCTACCTTTAGAGGTAGCATTACCAGTTGAACTTGAAGAAGTCTTATGGCTATTGACAACCTGTTTCTGACCAGTTGGCGTGCTGCCACCACTGGATGTATGATGAGAACGAACACCGCCAGATCTCTGTTGGCCACTTTGCCCAGAAGTTATGTTGGGACTAGTCTGCCGGTGTGTGGGGCCTGGCAATCTGTTTGTGTGTAAATTAAGTCTATTAGTGCCATAATTAAATGAAGCACCACTGCTGGCTGAGGCTCTACCACTCCCTGCAGCAGAGCTACTATTTGGCCTGCCTGCAGGACCAACGTTGTAACTGTTGTTATCTTTAGTTCCAGAAGGGGCAGGGCTGGCGCCAGAGGCAGGGTCAAGACTTGATGTACGATTGATGGAAGTAGTGGATGAGGAGGAAGACAGTTTTGGAATTCTTGGCAGACTGGCAATTTTACTGACAGTAGGTGCATTGGGTAATATGCTTGAGAGGGAAAGATTGGCTGATGTGGTTGGTGTTACACTTGTGGTGGATGCTGTGTTTGTCGTGCTGGTTGAAGATGAAGACAATGGGGTAGATACAGAGGACTGTATAGAATTTCTACGATCTACAGATGAACTTTTCCTTTCCCAGGAAGTGTTTAATGCAGTTGATCTTTTTTCTGCAACTGGCGGTGTTCCAGTTGTGGAACTTCTACGATCTGTTTTGCTGGTGTTGGTACAGGTTGTAGATGTCTTGGACTGGCTAATATTCACCGTGGAATTTAGCATAGTCAATGGCTTTAGCCTGATAGTAGCTTTAGTCACCAGCTTGGGATCTGGTTTGCTACTTATGGAGACAACCTGATTTAATTTTGAGCTGACTGTCTTGGGAGAAGGTTTATGAGCAGCTGAAGGTTTTGTGGAGGAGGTGCTAGAAATGGACTTGTGTGAATTGGTTGCATTTAAATCCTTTTCTTTTGGGACCTCTGAAGAAATTGAAATACTAGTAGTATCTTTCACAGCAATGCTTTCTTTTGAGTCTTTATTAGAGTTGTATTTTTCATTTGGACTAGGTAGTGACTTTTTAGATATTTCATAACTTTGCTGAATTTTACCATCAGAAGAAATGTCCGATTTGTCATTCAATGGTTTTTTAGCAACTCTGATTTTCAGTTTAATGTCAGTTTTAGAATCATTTTCAACCGTTCGATATACAGACTCCTGGATCACATGTTCAGCTTTTTTCCTTTTTTTTTCTCTTTTGGATTCATCTTTATCTCTTTTTCTTTTGGTGGTGTTTCCAGAACTTCTTTCCTTTTTCTTAGTTTTTTCTGACTTTTGGGAAATGGATGAATCACTCCCACGTTTTTGCTTATTGGATGAAATATGAACACGAGGTGGGCTTGACGAATACACAAATCTATCGGAAAACCTTATGGGATCATCTTCATCCTCATCACTTTTAAAATCAAAAGTTCCTATATTGTTAGATTTGCTATAAACCAGATCTGATTCATCAACAGAATGAGCAGACTTGAGTGGCTTCACAGCATTTTGTTGTTTCAAAGGCCCCACTCGAAGCTTCAATGAAACCTTACCTTCAATAGTTTGTGATTTTAATTCATTGTTACTTATATCCATTGCTACATTCTGTTGCTGCCTTGTTATATCAAACTTTTCAAATATGCCAATGTCATTGGGATGATCAACACTAGAAGATTGTTGTAACAATCCCTTGCGTAAGGATGTAGGAGTGGGTTTAACATCCTGTAGCAAAGAGTTTATAGCAACTGTCCTGCCCATTACAGCACCAAAAGTTTTATCACTACCAAGCTGCCCATCAGAGAAAAAATGAGAATTAGCTTTGTGGGGTGGGGCACTGAGAATCATTGTGGGGCTGTCAGAAGAAGCCAACAACAGACTGCTCAGCTTGGATAAATTGGTGCTGTTATGCACACTAGTAACATCACTTGGGTCGAAGTCCTTAGCCCTGCCTACCTCTCCCGACCCTTTGAGGATGACCTCAAGAGAGGTAGAGGCGTTCTCGTTTTTTGAGCCCGATGGAGAATTTTGTAAAATATTAGGGATTCTACTTGCAGCCTCTGTCTCACTTAGCAGCATGGATAAATCTTGCTCAGATTTGACATCTTTGTGGATAAAATGCTTGTCTACACTTTCAGCTAACTTCTTTAAAGTTGACGACTCCACAACCAAATTGTCTTCTGTCAGATCAATAACGTTACCTTGTGTACGTGATACATTTGCAGCATGATTGAGCATTTGGTGGTGGTGGTGGTGATGGTGACTGGATGAGCCCATGATGGGTGTGCCCATGTCTAGTTCCATGGAGCTGAGCCTGTCAGATGAATCAACCTCACTGAAACGATGTTTTGGGCTTGGCCCACTTATCTCTGACTGAGATCGCCTTTTACGTGGACGCTTTCCAGTAAGATTAGGTGTGGGCTTACAATTCATAGGAATGACTGTGGTAGCCACAGAAGTGTTGTCATCAAGAAGTCTAGATAACATTGGGCTGTCATGTACCTCAGTCTGCACTCCTCCCGTCATTTTATCTGCATCTAATAATGTTGACAAAAGAGGATTGTGGCCTTTCTCAAGCTCTGGAGACATGAGAAGGGCATCTGCACGCTGGCTGTTGGTTTCTGTCATATTCCGGAACTCATCTATTACATTCCTTGGATCAGACAGGATCATAGGCATAAGAGGAGTCTGTCCATTGCTGCTAATGTGACCATGAGAAACGTGCATGGGAGAGTAATGATGAAGGGGATAACTTGGCGGAGGAGGAAGAGGCGGCGGATGAGGCGGCTGTGGCGGAGGCCTGCCTTTGGTAGGCAAAGTTGTAGCTTGAAGTTTAGCCTGCCGCTGCATTTCTTTTAAGAATAATGCCTTTTCTTTTCGTTCCTTTTCTGCTGCAAGTGCAGCCTCTTTTAGTTTGTCTAATTGTCCACGACCTTTACTGATTAGCCAGCGAAGCAAAATAGGAATGGACATGCAACTGCAAAAAAATATTTAAAAATCAATTATTTAATATTTCTTTGGATTATCATATTTTGCAGATATAGTTGGTAAATTTTAAGATGCTAAACAAAATATACTAACCGCTGAAAAATCCTGGAAGCCAATTCATCAGAACAGAGAATTTGGTCTGGATTAGAACATGCCACGCGGCATTTGACATTGGTGATATCAGACAGATCAATATCCACTATGAGAAGAAATTTTGAGAATAAAATATGTCCTAAGATCAAAAATTAAAACTTTTTATTACAGCATTAATTGTTAAGAAAAAAAATGGAACAACTTTGCTAATAACTGATAGAAAATTATTACAGGTTCATGGTACAGCTGAAAGAGCTAAATATTTTTTTTTTTATAAAAAGCATGTATTTGTCAACAGATTTATAAAGAGTTACAAATGCAAATATCTCTCTCTAATTTTGAAAGATATTCAGAAATATTAAGTAAAGAACATTTTTACATGGGTAAGAAATTAGTTCACAGACTCACACATTATGTTTAAGGAAATGGCTAAATATATAGGTAACTCCAGATCAAAGGCAAAAATCTTGACTGAACTAAACTACTATTAATATTGACAGATTAAGTGTTACAATGACTAATTGCTTGTTAATATTGACAATGGGCCCTTGGAAAAATCAATATTACCTGTGATTAAAGAATCATAAGCAGGATGTTCAAATACTATGGTAAGTTGTTGCAGTGAAACAGCAGTTATTTCAAACACTATGGTATTTGTTAAATCTGAAAACATATTTACAGTTTTTGTAAAACAGAATAATGGCTGTAAGTAATATTTATATACATTTTACTATGTAACTAAATTTAAGTATCTGTCAAATAAATGCAAACAAATTGTTTTAAAATGCAGTTAAAACTTATTCTGATGTTTTATATTAAAAATGTTTTAAAGAGAAAACTGTTTTATAACAAATTACATCTAATATCTAACAAACACTGTGTAATAACAACATTTTAAAACTCTTAATGGGCAGCTTTTCTAGAAATTAATCTTTTTACATGAGCTGAACAAATTAGATTTTTAAAAAGTCTATTTTTTATAGATGGCTAAGATACTAGTAAATGGAAGTAAAAAATATTTTACCTTTATTTGCACCTGGCCGAATACAACTTCCTATTACGATGTTAAATAAAAGTTGCTGTCTCAAGCTGTTAAGGATTTGTGGCACATGTGTTGGATGAGTAAATGGAATACGAGACACCATAACTCCCTGCTGATCAGTCAAACCACCATTCAAGCCGTCCAAGATATAAATATGCTGTTGATCTGGCAATGACTGGAGAAAAAACAAAACCTTGATGTAGCTATTTCTTACCATACAAAATACAATTTTAATAAAATAAAATTAATTGTTTCATACACAATTCTTAATTCACATAGAGAATTTTAAAAGGATGTATTACCACATATAACTTCTTGTTGTCCTTAATTTTACCACCAGAAAAAGACTCCAATATCAATGAGCGTAAACTTTTGATTTCTGTGTCCTTGTGAATTTCTAATGCTAAACATAAAATGGATCATAGCATTTAACACCAACATGCTGATAAATTAATAGAATTAATCGTAAAGTTGTATAAACAAAGATTCATGAAACAAGTATTATCAAAGAGAACCAATCAATTGCGTTTAGAATGAGATAGTGTATACAGTATACAGTGCTATCAATAAAAAGTTACTGTGCCCAATGGCTAGAAGTAACTAATATTTGTAACATGATCTGCATTTATTTTCAGTATAAATAGGGTTTACAGAGATTTATATCTTTTGCACAGTAAATCTTTAAAACACTACCAGGGTTCATGCTCAAAAGTTCAAATAAAATTCCAGGAGTTTTCCAGGACTTTTCCAGGAGTTTAAAAAAAATTCAAGGAGATTTTAAAAACAAAAAAGAAACTCAGTTTGTACATTTAAAAAAAAAAGCGTACTTAATAATACATTTAATTAGCTAAGCCAATGCAAAAATTTAATTTCAGTAAAAGTAAAACAATATATTAGGTACATATTAGGAAAGAGGCTATCAATCTGACTACAGACCAGTTTGAATTTTCAAAATCTGACCATAACCAAAAAAGTTATGACTTTTTTTGTCGTTAAAAATAAATAGCAGATTTTTCAGACAACCGGGATAGACCCTGAAAGAGGAAAAATACTGGGAGGGTATGGACCAAATTTTAAAGAGTTTTTCACTATAAAAGAAGTATAAATGCAAGCAGACTTGACCAATTAATATCATTTCGTGATATTTTATTGATTTTTGGATGCCAAATCCAATGATGCTAGGCTAGTTGGCCAACCCGATGAACGTGTCAGACGAATATTATGTAATTTCAGAGACAAAAGTCTGGCAAGATTTCTTGATCTATGCCCAAGGATTAGTAACATCAACTCCACAAAGAGAAGGGGAAGGGAGGTGGGGTATGAAACCACCGTACCATTGTTACATAACGTCAAAGGCGACGATCATCGGCTTGTCGCGTCACGGCAAGGAGTAGTGGGGGCGGGTTAAGCTATGGATGTTACATTGGGTGTTACATACCGTGTAGGATGGTCAGTGTCTTCCCCCACCCACCCCATTTTGGTCGATTTGGCAAGCTAGTATTAAGCGTATTAACAATTTTTAGTCAACCGAAAAAGAGCCACTGGAAACATTTAATTTATTTTCTATAGCCATTTTTACGAAAAATTAATGTATAAAATAAAATAATGAAACGTTACGCGAATCAGCATTGTTTAATCGGGACGCAGCTATTCGGGTTTTCTAAAGAAGAATAATTTTGACGATTAGTCCTGAGCCTAAATACCACTACAACTTTTTTTTGCTGTTTCAATAGTTTAAGACAAAGTTATGAAACATGCCTGTCTACTTTAAAAATCCAAAAGCCGACAAGTCAAACACAGGAACACATGTAGGCCTATCTATCTTTAGAAATTGTTTACAGTATCATCCAATCGGGTCAATCGCCTAGCGCCACGTGACCACACACTCGTCTGTGCCACATGATGTGTAGATCACAGCAGTGCAATTCAGTCGGATGACGGCCGATGCGTTTATTTTTATTTTTGTCCCTTTTAAAAACTACTATTCAATTATTGGCGGAACAAAATCAAATAATTTCTGTCGGGTTTTGCGCCGCGGGTCAATAAAATTTCATGAGATTTCAGGAGAATTTTTAAAATTTAAGGAGAATTCCAGGAGTTTTCCAGGACTCCTGGAATTTCAGGAGGCCGCACGAACCCTGCACTACAACAATAAAATAAAAGACAATATGTCATTTTCCCCTGGTTTATATTCAGAAAGGCTGAATAGCAAGAGGATATGGCTAGAAGTGGTACAAATATTGTATCAAAACATATTTGCTTTCATTAAAAAAAGATAACTTACTTGTGAGTGTGTTGATTTTCTGAAGAAGTTGAATGGATATGGGTATGCTTTGAGGTAGAATAAGAACAAAGCTAGCAGGTAGCATCATGCTGTTGATTTTCGTTACAGCAGAAAATGTTGGCAAGCTGCAGGTAAAGTCAAATTAAACTATAAAAACACTCAAAACTCTAAGAATGTTTACATTCACTTACAAAAGCATGCCTTATCTGTTCTTTTACTTTAAATCTTAAAATGTCTACATGATCACCAAACAATTACAAAACCAATGTTTACGCGCACATACTAGTTACAATATCATTGCCCCCCCCCCCCCCTCCCTTCTAGTGAAGTTGTATTGCATTAACACAAGTAATACAATTTTTCTTCACTAAATTTTATATACATGCACACACACACACACACCTTTTTAAAAAATGTAAATGTGTCGCTGATTTTATATTATATAGCCTTCCTTTCTGTTCTGATGTATTAAAAATTGTCATGGTTACCTTTTTCCATCTGGAGTTTTACTAACATTCATTAGCGGCATTGTTTGAAGTTTGTTGGGACCTGCAGACTCTTGGACAGGTTCAATACACACAGTAACACTCTGTCCTAGAAAGTTTTCTGTCACAGCTGTGAAAAGATTTTTAAAAGTTAAAAAAACTAAGATTATATATGTTTTTAGTTAGCTGTGACAACAAACCATAATTCTATATTGTTTTAGAAAGTAAACCACATTATAAATGCTTATCATAATGGTAAATCATGTGCCTTACCTTCGACAGTTAGTGGATGTGCTTTAAGAGACTTTTTGTCCAATAAATCATAAGGAGATACAAAATATATCAGCTTCATGGGTTTTCCTAAAAGAAAAAGGGGATAATTTGCCATTTAGATTAAATAGAAGATTAGAAACGTGCAAATATGTATTCATTAGTCAAAACTGAAATCTATAAAATAGATAATTCTTTTTACCAGCAAGTCTTGGCAGCATGATACCCAGAGGGCACTTATGAATGTAATTTGCGACCCCATTGATGGAACTGAAAATAATAAACCTCTTATGAACAACAAGAACTTTATTAAAAATTTATATAAATAAACTACACAAAATAAAATCATTACAAATTAACTACATACAAATATTTTATTACTGAAAATTTTTATAAAAGAATAAAAATGCAACTACCTTTGAAATTGTGCCAATTGATTGAGGTCTTTTTCAAGTGCTTGTAGGACTAAGAATGCTTTTGATTTTAATTTCCTAGGATGCAAGATAAAGTTTTTTAAATAGGCAAATGGTATTAGTAAAATATACAACTTACATGGAAACTTGTAATTCTTTCTCTGGCTCAGGGAAAGTTGGGGTCTGTGTGTACTAATTATGTTAAGTAAGTTAAGAACACTTTACTGGTGGATAGGGTAGATAGTTGTCTAAAAGCCATAACCTGGTGGTACTGAGTTCAGGACAATGAATTTCACAATGTGCAACATGGAGCTCATCAGAGCAGTTGAAGGTAACCAAGCCAATATAACTTCTAGTTACACAGTTTTAACATGAAATCCTACAAAAAAAATGTTGGACTAGCTCCACAGCTACAACATATATCTTTATAATTGAAAAGTACATACTCATCGTTTGTGACTTGATAAATGCTCTGTAGTCCTTGTAAATGCTCAATAAACTCTGTAAAATCTCCTTTCCTGAATAAAAATATTATCACTGTTAATATTTAAAGAAAAATTACAAAACAGAATTGTTTAAAATTGTAAAATGTTACATCCATACATAAAGATGGGCTTATAGTTTACAATGCATTTATATAAAAAGCACTTACTTCAAAATGTCTCTAAGGTCTGGACAGTCCTATGGATATTAATCAAATGGAAAATTAGACAACACAATTTTTCTTATACCAAGAATTTTTTTCTTAGTTCTTTGAAAAATAAAACATTTTCAGGGAACCCAATAACAGTTACAAATCAGGTAAACGGTTAAATTGTATGGAGAAATAAAACATGCATTACAAATACAAAGTTTTAAGCAAACAATTAGCTTATCATGTTATTTTTTTTAAACCAATGTTTATCAGCAAAGCAAAACACTTGTGATGCTTAATAATATAAAAACCTAAATTGACTGATTGTTTAACAGATACTTATTTTGAATTAAACATGACTTACAATAATATCTCCTTGATTGGCTAACTTTACATTGGATATGGTTCCTCCATCTAATATAACATCCACTTGAAAGGCATCAGTTCCAATAGACACCTTCTGCTCCTGAATATTTGTTGTGAGCCCCAACTGACGACCAATTAAATCTAATCTTTCTTTTAATGTTTGTGGAGATATAACTAAAAAAAAATATTTTAAAATTTAAGGTTAACTCCAGCACTATTTATAAAAAATTAAAATAAAAATTTAAAGTATAAATAGTTTAAGTTTATCAACATACCCTTCATTGCTTTTTGTATAGTGTCTAAGCATTTTTTAACACAGGAGTTTTCCATATTATCTGCCTGCATACGGCGCTCCTAAAAAAATTGTATGATCAGAATCAAACAAACTATATGAATATCAAGAAAACATGCAGCAATATTTTTTAAAGCACGAACAGAACATCTTTACCAAATTAAAACCTTTCAATTTCAACAACAAAATCTTTGAGAAAAATACAGCTTTCCAAAATACAATAACTACTGTTTTACTTACTGCAACAGCATTGCGCACAGTTTTTATGCTATCAGTCCAAGAACGATTTTGAGCACTTCGGTGACGAAGTTTCTCAATAATTGAACCTTGCTGTCTTTTGGTAGCTCGACCTGCAATAAAAACATTTCTTTAATATTTTCCAGTAGTAAAATGTTATCCATTGTCAGAAGAAAAAAAAGAATTAGTTTGTTATTATTAAATCGGAAAACAATGTTAAAATTGCAGATACCATAAAAACACATGAAACAATTGAAATGCAAATACCTAAGTGAAAGTAACATTAGTATAGATCAAGACAAGAGTGCAAATATGCAATAATTGTTTGCAGAATTAATTGTGTTTTTTAAAAACAAATTGCAATTTGGTCAGCTTAATTTGTAATAAAAAAATTTTTATTATTAATAATGACTTAAGCATTTTAGTCAAATTTTAAACTACAGATTAATATTTTTATCAGTTTTTTTCCCCAAATGTTCTTACATTACTTACAACTGCCTCTCTGTATTAAAACTAGTGCTAAAACAATTATTTCATGAAATAAAAATAATGTGATTTTAAGATACATCAAGTGAGACTGAGTGGCTGAACAGTAGAATGCACAAGTACTAATACATTGGTCTGAAGTTATTTGGATTGGAACCCATTAGATGCTTCTGAACTTAGAAAAAGTAATGGCAGCTCGACAGAGAATTGACAGCACCAAACTATCCATCCATAAGCTGAGGTCTAAATAAAACAAAAATAAAAACCTTTATAACAAAGATTTTAACTGCACTGAAAATGAATAAAAAATACAACAAACTAGTAAGAGTTCTCAAGAATGTCGAAAGCTTTTATTAGTAACTAACATGACAGAAAGGTTTTATACTTAAATTTTATGATTACAATCACAGCATTTAATTTGAAAGAACTGACATTCCCAAATTGAAAATAGCTGCAAAAGGTATTACCAACACATGTCTTTGGGTAATACTTATGTATAACAATCTAAGCAGTCTTACATGTGGCAAACTACTATACTTACTTTTTCTGAGCAACTTCAATCTAAATGAAACTTGAAAATGAAATGACTCTACTACTCTTAGATTTACATATAAATAAATGATACCTAACCAAATCAACCTGAAATGTTGGCCAAAAACCATTAAATTTTAGATATATTTATGATTCAATCTATTCCATTGTAAAGAAAAGTGTATCCATTATAAGGTAACAAAAGACCAAATGTTAAGCTCAATTTACTGTTATTTAAGGACTTTTAAAAAGTCATTATAAAACCCCGGTAAGGCATTATCTGGCTGATATAAACTGAGAAATAATCAGGATGGTTCACAAGTTTTAACTTAGGTTTCCTGTCCATTTTGTTTCAATGCTTTTTATATCTATATTATTAACTATTTATATTTAAATAGCAATAAGATATAACTGATTATCTTTATTTTGTTATGTATGAAAATATACCAAAAATAGAAAAAATATAAAATTGGCTCACTTTACTATAAACGTAAAAAAAGACCTTAATTTTTCTCAACCACCTGTTATTTGTTTCTAAACATTTATTATAGACTCCTCAGTTATTATATATTCTACATGGATGCCTGCTTACCATTAGAAAAGAGGTGCTCCAACTGTTCAGAATTATTCAAGTACTATCCTACAAAATTCATTTTTAAAAATTCTGGCATATGAATATCATTTTTTCAGTCTCACATTAAAATAATAACAAGACTCAGCTAGACTTGAAAACTTTTCATTCGTCTTTATGGATGAAACAGAAACTAAGATACAACCAAGCCAAATTGAATCGGAGGTCATTTACACTCAGTGGCCAGGTGACATGCAAATAAATATAGGTCTGTAGCTTGAGCACCCACAGGAAATGAATTATAAAACCATTTTTTAACAATAGAAAATCAATCATACCTTGTATTAAATTAAAAGATTTAAAATACAATATCAATATGTCAAATGTGCATTATATCCAGTCTTTATACAGTTGACAGCCCACATGACTAAGATTATTGGCTTTGAAATTTGATTAGTATTTAGTGACAAATTAGCCCATCCACCTCCTACTCTAGCTCACCTGATTGCTACCAACTTTTTCCCTACTGCTGTACTATATAGTGATCTTAAATTTGAAAAGATTAATTTAAATAGGTTAAAAATTAGACTGTACTGTTTAAAATTTAAGGTAGCCTATAAGATTTGACCACAAACCCAGACAGCAGGGGGAAGAAAAATGTGTACAATTATTACAAAATAGCCTAAATTTTTGGTTTGGCTTCTATCTTAATTTGAATCTAGATCTAAAAAACTCGTTCTATTTATGACTACTACATAAAATAACTTTCTATATAAACCAAACAATAATTCCAAACATTGGTCAATCAATAAAAAGATGTAGGCCTAAATCTATAAATAACTTTGGAAGATAACCCAAGATGTATCATAATATCCTTTTGGTTTTTAAAATACATAGAATCTAGGCCCTAGGCTAAATTTTAACATGCGAAAACTTTGGCATTTATCTAGAAAATTAAGATCTAAGATCTAGAAAAATAATAAAAATTTTAGACTTCGTAAAAAACTAGAACTATCTACTATCTAGATCTAGATCTAGCTCTAAAAATCAAGAAAATGACATCTAACCTAGATTAGCTACAGTCTAGAAATGAATGGTCCTAAGCTAGAGTTAGAAGAAACAAAAGGCCTAGATACTAGATCAAGATAGATCTAGATCTAGATCTACATCTGCACAACATTTCAGTTCAGTTAGGCCTACAGACCTGCTGTAAAATTATAGGCATAGGCCTATTAAATAGGCCCATGTTTTAATATCTAAATCTTGAAAATATAGGCCTACATCTTGAGCAAGAATCTGGACCATATTTAGATCTAGAATTCGGATCTAGAACCCAGAGTTGAATCTAAAATGTACAAAAGTAAAGTTCAGTCAGATGAAAACTGAAAACAGCCTCAGTCGGTTTCTACTACAGTTCAGGTTCTGACAACACTCAAGTCAACACATTCATTGTTTTTAGACTAAACATAGATAGATCTACACGACATATGGGGACATTTCTAAACGTACTGTATTGGGAAAAATACAAAACAATAATGTATATTTGTTAAAATGTACCAAAACGAGAAAATATACATTAATAATTACCGTGCGATAATTGGTGCTCCAAATAAACAGAGGGTATCCCTGTTTCCGCTGCCATCTTTGATTGTGCACTCAACAATCCTCAGCGGCCTCTAGTAGTGGCTTCTCATTAGTAAATTTGTGAGTGCCAGAATGTGTAAGGTCATTGTGTTTGTGGCTTTAATTTTTAATAAGTAAGTTAATCTCTAAGTATTTATTACACAATACAGTAGGATCTCCATTTTTCGATGAAAACATTTCAAGTTATGCGTACATTTGCATCCCAAGCATAGTAAACGCACTTCCCCAGCCGGGGTCACTACGCAGGGTCACAATGACGTCATCAATCCCATCACACCTTTGAAAGTTATCGCCATTTCCAGTTTGGGAAAAAAAGTTTTCCTACCAATGAGTTGCCTTTAATAGTTTTCTTTATTGTTTTTGAGTAAGTCCGTTTTAGTATTTAGACTAGACTATAAATAAATTGTATTTTTAAAATTAACCTGTTAATTTATTTAGACCTGTTTTAAATTATTGCTAATTCCTTTTTAATTCTAATGTATTTTTATTTCTTACATTAGACCGGTGTGTTATCAGCCAGTTATCAAGTAAAAGTAAAATGATTTTTTTTTCTTAGGTGTGTTACTTTAATTACTTTAGTTTTTTTGTAAGTTGTTACTCCGACTCCTCATCTAGTTTTCTAGATTCTAAATCTAGAAGTCATCTAAACTCACTTTAAACTGAGTACTAAAGACAAGGACTAGGCTAGATCTAGTCTAGGAGTCTAGAGTCTAGGTCTAGGATATTAAATTATTAATAAAATCTAGATCAGATCTTTATTTTAATTTTTAGAATGTAGTCAACTAAGTTCACTAGCACATCTCGGCCTACATAGTAGATCTAGTATAGTAAGTTTAGTATAGTCTAGATCAGGGTCTCCAAACTTTTCAGTCTGAGGGCCGCATTAACAAACAAATGTCAGTTCGAGGGCCAGTTTCTTCCAGGCATGTCTTTGATATTTCTGGGAAAAGTTCTTCAGCCAGCACCAACAAACGTTTTTTCCGTGGACAAAAAGATCTCTGAGGCCGGATGAGAGGACCTCGCGGGCCACATCCGGCCCGCGGGCCATAGTTTGGAGACCCCTGGTCTAGATCTAGATTCTCTAATTTAATCTTGACCTAGATCTGGATTATAGTATAAGAATTGAGGAATAGAATTAGAATAGGAGATATAATTCTTGCAATCTAGATTGAGTAGATTCTAGATTTCCTTGGTCCTAGACTACTTGACAGTTGACTAGATTTAGATCTAGTCCTGGATTGCAGATCTAGATATTTTTCATTCTCATATCAAACAGTGTTTGCACTTGCGACAAGTATACTATTCATGTCTAGAAAAAAACAACTAAGTATAGGCCTGCATGTGTAACACGGGAAAGATGTTTTCATATACAATTAACTTGTTGCTGGTTTTTTTCTAGACACGTAGGCTTATTGTATAGGATAGGCCTACATGTTTCAAGTGTAAACACAGTCACACAGTGTTAGAAAGATCTAGATAATTGTGTTTACTATATTCTGATGTATATATAAAGACTATTATGTAGGTATATAAAAGACTATTCAGATAGTCGAAATACATATAAGTGTGCTAGGTTATCTGCAGTACAGTAATCTCAAGTATAATTTTATTGTTAGAAATTAGGTTTAGGTGTATGGTAGGACTACGGTTAGGGAGAGGGTTAGCATTGACATAACCAAGTCACAAGTGTATCAACTACCCAGTAACCTAACACCTCTCTTTTAGCTGACACTGGTATAACAAATACACAGAAATGAATTTTATTTAGTTATTTCCAGATTCCATGTATGCATAAGAATCTCAGTCTAAATTAAATACTCTTGACTCTACCATGAGAAAAATTAAGTCTAGAATAGAGTATAATGTAAAATAAATGATAACAAATTCTTAGTCTACATATAGTATTATTATTATACTATTAGTAGGCCTATTACTAAAACTACAGAATCTCAATCTATCTAGTCTGACAAAAATTCTTTAGGCCTGCTAATTTATATAAATTAATATAAATAATATGCAATAGACTATGTTTATAATGATGAAAATGTTAATTGTACAAAGTAGTCTATGTGGTAATTTATTTTAGCTAATGGTCCAATATTTTCTGTCTAAATTGTTTCACTTATTTCTATTCTAAACCGATTATGAATCATTATTTTCAATTAGCACTTTTTAACTTGTTTTCAGAGTTAAACATCCACCATGTCAAAAGCAAAGACCCAACAGCCTGCTGTTATACACAAAGTTATAATGGTGGGTAGTGGTGGTGTAGGTAAATCTGCTCTTACTCTGCAATTTATGTATGATGAGGTAAGAATTTTAAAAATATTTTTATTTTGAAATATTCTATAGCCATTAATTATTCACAATTGGTCATTGTTGTTCTAGCTCAGTGGTTCCCAACCTTTTTCGAGTGGCGACCCCCTTTTGTAAAAATTAAGTGACCAGCGACCCCCATAGAATTAAAAAGCCGAAATTAGTATGGAAATCAATAAGCACTAAAATAAGATTCTCTAGTAGACTTTCAATATGAACTACTCTTGGTAACTGTTTTAATACCATGAGTAAAATTGCATACTATTCACTAAACATTTTTATATATTTTTTTTAAGTATTTTTTTTTTGTTAACGCCAACCTATGTCATTATCATTACCTTAATTTTGTTTTTAATCGAAAAATCGTGTTCAAAATAAAATTATATTCTCGAAAAGTTAATCAATTTTACGTTTGGATATAAATGGTTAATACTACACCAAAATGAAGTTTTTCATCTTACGCGGAATCGTTCTACAAATCAAAGAATTCATCTTGTAATTCATCGGGAATGCTGGCAACATCAAGGGAAGAATAGAATGGATAATGCGTCAATGCAGATTCTTTTTTTTTCAGCTCAGAGAAATAGCGATGCAGTTCGTTTTCAATAGATTCAAAATGCCCAGAAATGTCTTCTTTCAAAATTTTAATTATCTCACAATTAGATTCATCTACCACACTGAAGAGTTTCTCAAATTTACAATATTTCCAAGATTTATTTTCTTCGCCAATTTTGCAGCTTTGATCAAAATGCCCCAAGATTATCATGGAAAGTGATAATATTCGTTCATTTTACCTGAAGCTTCAGGTTATGCTTGTGTTGATGTTCGAACACATCTGCTAGGTATGATAATCTCTCCGACCACTCTATGTCGTTTTAAGTATACCAACAAGTCTTGTTTCCTTTGCACTTCCAAGAACAATTTGATTTCAGATTTCAATTCAAAAACACGATTCACAACAATTCGTTTGACAGCCAGCGCACTGTAGTGTAGAAGAGCAGAACCTCGTGATCTTTATTCAGGTCTTTGCTCAGTTCTTTGAAGGCTCCAGATTTTATATAATTTACGACTTATACTAGCAATGGAGTCTTGATGGCGATTGGTGAGGGCAGTGGTTAGGGAGCTAAATCTTTTCTGCTTTCTGAAAGCCCGATTTTGACCTAAACATAGATGGTGGACCATCCGTACAAACCCTCACAGCCGTTTTAACCTATTTTAATCATCCAATTTAAAAAAAAAACGTATTTATTTTCTCCATGCTATCTTCACAAAAGAGCAACTCTTCTTGCTATCATCTGAATAAATATAGACAAAGACCAGCAACTGCGAACACGAACTCGCGTCTGTTGATTTATCAACTTGAAAAGCAAACAATGGTGAAAGCTTAATTTCAATAAAAAAAAATATGTTATTTAACATCTACGGACATGTAAGAATTAACTTCACCATCTTCAACATGCAGCGTTTGATGAGATTTTCTCCTATTGTGTTTTTTTTTTTGCTTGGCATTTTCTGTCGCGACTTCATGTGATGCTTGCACTAATGCTGTGTTTCCTTGGTGAAAACTTCCTGTTCGGTCAAGTCTCTGACGTTTGCAACTAGCTTCATACCGAGGATAGAACTCCATATCATTTTTGGTGTGTTTCGAATGACTCGTGTCAAATGACGTTTTAGTTTTGAAGATTTCATAAACTCGTGACTGAGAACAACTTTGTACAGTAAACATTGCTTCTTCTCTATTCCCTTTCCAGTGATGTTAGTGAAGCCGAATTTCAAAAATTCTTCTAAATATTTATGTTTTGTTTCAAATTACTAAGGTATAGCATACCAGTTGGCGACCCCCCAGAAAGCCCTTCGCGACCCCCAGGGGGGTCGCGACCCCCAGGTTGGGAACCCGTGTTCTAGCTTTTTTTACATACATAAATTCCTACTGACTATATTATTTTCTTCAATAGGCTACTTTATATGTCTTATCTTTTTCTTGTAAGTTAGTTTTAAAATGTCCCCATTGTTATATATGTATCATATATTTTACATGAATCTTTATTTTTACAGTTTGTTGAAGATTATGAACCAACTAAAGCAGATTCATATAGAAAAAAAGTAGTTCTTGATGGAGAAGAAGTCCAGATAGATATTTTAGACACAGCAGGCCAAGAAGACTATGCAGCTATTCGTGACAATTATTTTAGAAGTGGAGAAGGATTTCTTTGTGTATTTTCAATCAAAGAGCAAGAATCCTTCCAGGCAACACAAGATTTCAGGTAAAGAATTAATTTGTTTTCAGTTGAAAGAAAGAAAAACTTACTGTGTGTCTATGACAGTGTGTGATAAGTTAAATAAATCAAAGTGAACAACTCTAATTTTTGTGTGTATAGATCAAATGAGACATTTATATATTTATTGTAAATCACTTTGAATTAAATGTCCTTTAATTATTTTTACAATATTTCCTCAGTTGAATTTTTTAAAGTTTAAAATTGTGGGAGTTGAATTAATGGTCATTATAATAATAGCTATCTCTTTTCAATAGTTTTGTTGACTTCTCTTTTGCTAAACTAATTTTTTTTTTTTTAACCAAGACTGGAGTTTTATTGCTTTAATTTCAGGGAGCAAATTCTTAGAGTGAAAAATGATGAAAACATTCCCTTTTTACTAGTTGGTAATATGGTGGATTTAGCAGATCAGAGACAAGTTAGTGTTGAAGAAGCAACTAGGCGAGCTCAGGAATGGAATGTGAATTATGTAGAAACATCAGCAAAAACTAGGGCTAATGTAGATAAGGTAAGAATGTTTTCCTAAGGCGTTCAGTAAAGCATTTCTAATGATTTATTCGCAGGATTTGAAAAAAATTGGTTTTAGCACTCACAAGAATAATTTCAGCTATCTGTTCCATTACTAACTATTTCACATGTTTGATTTCTCCTGTAAATTGTCTGGGCTGTCCTGTAATTAATTAACAGCTAATTTGTCATCTAGTATTTTGCTAACATTTTAACTGAAGCTTTGAATTCCAAAAATCTTGTGTATTATTTCCCATGTTAAGTTACTGTAGCCATCATCTGTGGTTTCATAAGTTTTTCTCCCCTGGGAATTTAAATTATTTTGAACTATTGAATTGCAAACTTAAATTTTTGTTGTTTACCACATCCAGGTAGCATTTTGGAAACTAATCAAAGTGCTGATTTTGCTAATTGAGGTCAAATTATAGGCGCCATTAACATCTATAGATTCAAGATTGTTAATTTGTAACTATTTTTTAATAGATTTTCACAGAAAATACACTCTTAATATTTTATAGAAAAAAAAAGATATTCAAACATTGAATAAAAACCAAATTCAGTTTTAAATTTAAAAATGTTTGTATTTTACAGGCTTTATAATTTGTTTCTTACATCTTTCGATTATATTGTGAAAAATGCTCAATTTTTTGTTTAGATAGTTTTACATTGATTACATTCATTCACTGCCTATCATCCCTTTAGGGTTAGCCCATCTTCAAGTTACAATTTCTATGAATACGAACTCATAAAAAACAATCTATATATATAATTTTCTTCTGGGATCAGTTAGAAAACAAGCTGCAAGCGCCTCCTTGCAGTCCCCTCTCTTCCTCTCTATCACTACCACCCCCACCCCACCCCCACATGATCTGGTGAGCGGTGTTCACTCTGTTTACATTTTACAATCATAGAGACGGGTTTGGTGACGGCTATTAGGGGCAGATAATTTAGTTTGAAACGATTTTAAACTTAGGGGAGGTAACTAAGAGGAGGCTGCTTTCACGTGGGGGGGGGGGTAGTGTTTTTAAGCAAATATTTTCAATGGCAGCATTGGTACTGTCGAATTCACAAATTATAAATTACTGAAAAGTAGAAAAAAAACAACTAAATAGCGGCATATGATACGCAGCGGGTCGGCTCTTTCTTATAATTGATTTTCCCTATGTAAGCATATTTTTCCCCCCAAAAAAATTATCAATTTAACTAATTATCTTTCTGCAGTAAATAAATAGTTACTTAAAATTAATATTAGGGTGTATGGCATTCAATTATGGTTAATTTATATTAGCAATGTGTGGTTTTAAATCAGTGGTTTTAAATCGTTTTGCAAAATAGGTAGGCTGCTGAATAAAGTTTGGTGAAACAAAAATAATTCAGTAAAAAGTGAAAATAATTAAGGGATTAAAGAATTAAGTTGGTTGTTATTTTCAATAGTTTATAAAGTTCTCTCCTTTAAAATATTATTTATGTAACCTATCCAAAAATGTTTAAATACAAATATGAAAATGAAAAATTTCTAAATTTATCTCAAATGAGTATTTTAAGTTGAAAGAAAATTTATATTCCAGGTATTCTATGATCTATTATTAAAAATTGATCAGTATAAGTCATCGCCAGCTGGTCGACGAGCTAAGAAACAGAACTCAACTCTCTCCCCAAAGTCTAATCAAACAACTGGGTGTAATTGTGTTCTAATGTAATGTTTATGCATTGCAGGTATATTTCAGTGATAAATAAGGACTGCTTTTACCAGAAACCTGATTAACCCACACCATGCACTTTTGACCATATTTTCCTATGTGATAAAGCAAAGAGTCTTTAAAATTAAATTCCAATTAGCTTAGATGTGATATGTTCTGTTCCTTCTTCCCAAAATTATCTGCTACTTGGAGACATATTATTCCCTTAGCAAACTTTGGTTTTATTTCTGTTTGGACTACAAATCATTATTTGCCAAAATTAGTATGTAAATACTATTAGATCAGTAAGTTATTTTTGTTTTAAGCTGGATATAGGTTTGTGACATCCCCACTCATTAATTACCCCCTTGGTAATTACACCATTTTTTATAATACCTATTATTCATATTACTAATGTCCTGTAGCACGCCTAAAATAGGCAAGAGGTAATATATAGTAAAGCTTATGAAATTGTTTTATGGTTTTGCCAAATACCTTCACTTCTCACCTATTCTTTACACATCCAATTCCCAGGCCTTATCCTCCTGAATTGATTTGTTCAATGTACTTAACCATAAAAACACTGTGCATGATTATACAAAGTAAAGCTGCACCTAGATTTTTGTCTATGCAGCTTATGGGACTGTGTAAATGGATTTTTCCAGAGTATTTAACTGTATATTTAATAGTATATATTGGTAATTATTAAATCTAACACTTTTTAAATTCACTGTTACATTATTGCTGAATTAGGCATATTTTTTTCATTCTGATCCAAAGTAATTATATGCCAACTTACTGCTCTCTTTTAACTTAATCCCATCCTAATTATACCTTGCTGATTTGAAAAATGAAACTCATTTATCTTATTTGTTATCAAGAATTATATCAATTGCAGACAGCACCTACACTTTGATTTTATAAAATTGTGTTTTACCCATTTTCCATGCTTTTATATTTTGAAGAGCTTAGATGCTTATTTAACTGCTCAATTCATGTTGGGCAAAATGCATGAGAAATCTCAGGTGTTGCATTCATTATTTTAAGAAAGTCAAATTGAAAGGTTTTTTTTCATTATGCTTTTCTATATTATTTTAATTTGATACTAACAAAATTATTACTTAACTTTGTTTTAATTACAATAGTGCAGACCTGTAACACTAACTGTAAAGTTTTTGTTTGTGTTTAAAAATAACTGCCATTAACCTTTGTACATTCTTATGAGAATGCATTAAAATCCCACCATGTAATTCAACAGAAAATGCTTTTTAATGCAGGTTTTCTATGATTTGATGCGCGAGATTCGTTCACGTAAAATGGAAGCCAGCAAGCAAAGCAATGGGAAACAGAAGAAAAAACCAACAGGTGGAAAGAAAAAATGTGTCATCTTGTAGATCTTTTCATCTTGTTGACATTTTTATATAATATTGAATTTTACAATGAAAGGTTATACTTTAGGAATCAAAATGTTGCAATATTTAATGTGATGTCATTTTTAAGTATGCTCATGGCAGTGTGATGTCCTGAAGGCTGTAAAGGATCATATTTCTTTGCAAGGAATTTAGTTCATATTGCTGGCTATTGTTTTTCTTATGTACGGCAGCGTTTGTTCAACTATGCTTGTGCAACATCATTGGCTTTTGAAAGTCATGTTTTTTCCATCACCATTTTTAAAAATAAATAAAATTGTCTACGAAGAAAATGTTATTGTTTTAACTATTGAAACCTTTGTGTTTTGTGAAATAGTTTTTTATTAAGTTCATTAAACATAATGTTGATAGACCACAATGTGTTAAAGTAAACAACTTCGAGGCCACAATTTACTTTGTTTAACTCAGCAGTTTTGCCACGTTATATGGTGACAACAGTAGGTCAATATTTATTATGCAATAATGCTGTAAAATATAACATTTTGATGGGTGCTGAGGCATTAGCTAACCTGTACTACAAAACATATTTGACCCTTAATTGCAAAACTATTAATATTCTAATTATGAGAAAAAATAAGATGCATTTACTTAATACATTTTGTTTCTTATAAAAGGAAAAAAAATATTTATTATAATTAGTAGAATATCATTTGCTTTGTAATGTTGGGATTAAATATACTTAGTAATGCCTGCAATGAAAAATACCATGTGTATATAATTGTGCAGACTGTAATAACACATTGCTTAATATTTCATTTCTTGTTTTGACTGCTGTGAGTTTCAACATATTTGTGATTAATCTTATTGTTTTGTAACAAAGCATGATGCACTATTAATATTGTTTCCTGACCAGTATTATGGCAGATATAGCTGTTCAACGTGACCATACATTTTCCCTCAAACTTGGAAATCCCTAACCTTTAAAGTGGTTTTATTGGAGTCATATTAGTTAATGTCATTCTTTTGTAATGGTTAGTGTTATCATTTTCCACTGTAATTATGCTCCAGATATTGTCCAAATAAGGCAATCCCTTAATCAGTTATTTGTCTCAGAAAAGCACACCCTTAGCCCTTAATACACAATTTTAAAAAATGAGAATACTATAGCAAATATGAAACCTACAATATTTTAAATATTCATGTTCACCACAGTGCTACATAACTTCTTTCTCTTTTATGGAGGCTTTGTTTGTAGATTTTTATAAATAAGTATTGTAGGCTATAATAGTTTCCTCTGTGTTTTTTTTTTTGTGCCTGATATATTGTACCATACATTTTTTTACTGTTACTTAGTAGTAAAAAATAAAGTTAAAGCATGTCGTTTTACTTAGGGCCAGTAAAGCTTCCTAGCACCGACCCAGACAGTAAATGGTGTTCTGGATATTGTGGTCCAATGTCACCGCAAAAGGATTCAAAATTATTCCATTATTGATTGAAGGTGTGTTGGTTGCAAATATATACCTTTCTTATTGGAATAACGAGCTGGGTCAATATTTCAATATATTTCTTTAGCCTGCTTTGACCATTTAATTTGTACAGAAGATATTGTTTCCTGTATATTTGTTGTGAAGTATGTATATTCTCAAAAACAATAAATACTTTTTCTTGTGTTATATTTATGTAATGAATGAAATCTGTTAGAGAGCCTTAAAGTCTTGTAAAAATTGCTTTGAAATGTATATATATACTAGTGAACTATCACATTGTATCGTGTAGAATTACTTTAATTTTCAGTTAGTATTAACTTTTTTGCATATTGTCTCTTGTTTTCTTGTGTCTGATGGCTGGATTTTAATTGATTACTTTAGAATTACAAATTATCCATAAATACACATACTTTATTTTGCAATATATTTGTGCCACTTCTGAATATACAACACAATAACTACCAGTTGTCAGTCAAAAAGTATTTGGTTTACTGTTTGATAATAATGACTTGGCAGGAATACAAAATCTACTTTTATGCTTAAATCCACATCATTGGTACCTTATTTTCTGGTAGGTTTTATTGACATGCAGATTGTTTGAAAATAATTTGAGTTACAAACTGATGGACTCAACAAATTTGACCAAAAGTGAGAAAGTTGAAGTAATCTGTGAAACACAATGGGACCATTGTTTGTATTTTAATACAATTGTATTCTTTTAGTCAATTTCATAATTCTGTTTCTAATACACCTGAACTTTTGATTACTTTATACTCTGTTGGTAAATTATTTTCAAAAATTTAATATTATGTTTTTATAGTTTGATATTACTGATCCATTCACAATATTAGGTGGCTAAGGCACAGGTTGTAACACATTTTTGCTTTTCAGTAATGGCAGTATTTAGCTCTTGAAAACTGAAACATGCAGCTTAAAATGTGATCACTGGAGTTTATTTTTATCTTACAAATCTGTGTATTAATACATCCCTACAGTGACAAAAGCTATAAAAATGGTAGGACTAGATGATCTATTTTAAACTAACTGGATTTTTAAAGCTGCACAACTTAACATTCAAAATGGGTATCATTTGATTTTTATAAATATGTGATATTTCAAATTTTAGATATTTCTAATTATTTAAACTTGGATCTTTAAAAAATAACATGCAAGATCACCATATTTGTTCTGTATCAGTTGTGTTAACAATAATGAACAAACATGTTTGACTCTTTTTACTGATGTAATCATAGTAAATTTTAAAAATAAGTGTCTTAGCTGCAGTTCCATTAGTGTAAAAACATTTTGTGGCTCTTTATTCTTGTAATACTTATTATCCCTGAACCTTTATCTTGAATTAATAACCCTTTAAGACAAAGAATTAATCGACTCCTAAAGTAGTGAGTATGGTATGTATGCCCTTCACTGTAATTATCTACTTACTTTCTGCATGCAGTTAATTTATGGTTTTTGAAATGAAGAAGGAACTTTTGCTCCAGCTACAATTTTCTATTCAAGACCATGTTTTTTTAAAATAATTATGTATGGGGTTTTGCCATTTCAAAGAGTTGTTCTGAGTTTGTCACCCACTGCATTGTTATCTAACTGTAAAAGTTATTAGCCTCAATGTAACTATTATAAACAACATTTAATTACACTGTTGATTGCTTTTAAATATTTGTTTTGGCTTACACTTGCTTCTTTGGTATTGAACTTAGCTAATTATGCACAAAATAAAGGTCAGTAATTGAAGTAGTTCATTACAAATTAGAAAAACTGACCTAGGTAACATTCACTTTTGTAATAGAGAATGAGTGTCATGACAGTGGCAATGTTTAAATAGCAAGAGATGTAAATAAAAAGGAACATTCTTATAGTTACAGTGTACAATGTGTGCTGATGCATTTATTTGCATTGTGTATTCTACATCCTAGTTGAATATTGCTGAACCTTTCATTTTGAGAGGACCATTATTGAATATGTGAAGTGTGAATATGATTTGAAGAGAGCACTTATCTATGTGGCTGTATTTTATTGTTTTGTACCTCTTAAAACTGGTTTTTGTATTTATTTCAAATACACACATGACAGCAATCTTGTGTTAGCTTTCATTATTTAATAAGTTATTCTTAATAAAGTAAAATAATTTTTTATTTATTTTTATTGTTAGTATATCTTAACATCATTTAAGAGCTAAGTCATGAAGAAGTTTGCAAATATTTGAATACAATGAATTGAAAATAAATACTGTATAATATTAAAGTTGGTAACAGCACCTAGAGGCATTGGCGAGTTTTGTCAACCCATAGATTTTACTATCACCACTTTCATCCTGTTGTTTAGTTTAAAGAAAAAAAGAACACATTTTATTAAGGCTGTTTATTGATTAACTTTTTTTGGTGAGTGACAGTACCAACACTTGAAGAGAAAAATGAACATTAACTACAGCAAAAAGACAACAGTGAAATTTCACAGGTGCTGTTCCTGAAAATGTATCACTAGAAATGAAGGCATACGAATGTTTCGATGGCAACAAATATTTTGTATTAATTAACTAGGTCATGTGACCACAGGACAGTATTATGCACTTCAAATTGGTTTAACAAAATTTGATCCAGGTAGGTGTAGTACAAAAGATTTTACACTTAATTTTGTGTACATAAATGGATAAAAAAAAGGTCTAAAAGCAATCATCCAGAGACTACAAATGTTCATGTACAAGATTTAGTAAAGGTTTTGATCAAGTCGGAAAACAGTGTACACTAAAACAACCCACCATAAACTCAAGTAAAGTTAAGCTTAACTTTATCACGTAAACTTCGTGCTAGTCCAACCTAAGCCAGGAGTATAAACTAACACTAATACATAAATGAAAAACCATAACATCAAATATTAGCCAACCAATGAGCACAAACCTTCAACTTATGTAAAACAGAAAACAAAAAAATCATAGCTTAAACCTAATGCTAACCATAACCTTTACAGCAAATTCAGCAACATAAAACATACATTGTCTAATCAAACCCAATTTCTGACATTAAGCACCCATCTAAACTTAATGTCAATCCAAACCAAAACCAAATAGTCTAGCTGCATTATTTACCTTGGCTTAGAGTTTAGTACTTTTTTTTTTTTAACTTTAATACATTAAAATATACTGCAATGCTTTAGGTAACTAAAATCTAATGTAAATGCTTTTAATTTTTTTTTAATTACAATCTTTTTATAGCTGTATTCACAATCAGTAGCTGGACAAGTTCTTACTTGCACTACTAAATCACCTCCCTACCCTAATGATGCTGCTGCCTTGGCAACCACCTACTTACATTTTTTAGAAATGAGCTTAACTTTTCCTGAGCTGTTCATCTCAAAATAAAAAAAGTGTGACATTGATAGTCATTGTCTAATAAAATACTATACACATTGAGCATATATTTGAAGTTTAATATTGAATACAACTATTAATATTATATGTCAAAACTCAAAATGTTTTGAGACAGTAAAATCTTATATTCTATTAAAAGGTAATATATCAGAATGGTTAAAACTCTATTGGATAAATAAAGCATTTAAACAGTATACAACTGCAAACTTCAAATGGCAAAATAACACAACAAGGTTGGTAAGTTTCAGATTTTACTTATAATAGTTTGTGGTCAAACTTTTAAAATTGATTATGACCCATGTTTACCAATGTCAATCATTGAACTTAAATTTAATGGTTATACGATATTATAAATAAACAAAAGGTGAAATTACTAGGTGCTAATAAGAAGTCGGTGTTCACAAGTTTAATAGCCAAGCAGTACATTAATTAATAAATTGCAGATACTATGTGAAATGGCTTTACTTGTGGCAAACTAGTTTGGGATAGGAAGGAGTATGTTAGTATAAATGGATTGTAAAGAATTAATGGTAATAATGGCTTTTAAAACTTGATAAACATCAACTTACTATTACAATTTTACAATTGCTAAATGTTACAAAGAAGATAGTGTAAATATATTTCCTTATCTTCAGTAAATTTAAATGATTGTTTATTTTAAACTTTTAAAATGTTTTATTATTATAACTTTTCGTATAATATAGTCCATTTCTACTTAATAATATGGTTATATGTATTATTTTTTCTTCTTTATGTATTACGTATAATTTTTTTTCTCTTTAAAACGTAACAAATATCTAATATATAAAAATACGTGTAAAGAATACAGAAATAAATGCAATTATATTTTTAAGTTAACTGACACATTTTTTAAACATTTTAAAAATATTTTTTAAATTAACTTTTTTGATGCCAGCATCATATGAATAAGCTTTAAAGCACATATATACAGAAATAACACTATCACAAATCTAATTATCAGGCCAATGCAAAAAATGCATTCTCACATCATATTTTCTGTTGTTGATCCTTAAAAATTATTAAATTGCTCTACAACTTAATACAGAATCAGGCATACACACATTATATATATATATATATATATATATATATATATATATATATATATATATATATATATATATATATATATATATATATATATATAAAGTATACATTTTAGTATACATTTTACACTATATATAATAATATATAATATATAAAAACAACATAATACTTTAAATCTAATATTTAAACAAACTGTAAATAAGTTATATATAGTCCAATAAATCTCAGAGGGCTAACATGCTGAGTCAATATTTGTTTTAATAAATAAGTAACTTAGATTCATGGATAAATAACTTTACATCGTTGTAAAAGTTCCAAGACAGATTATCAGGTAAGAGTTATTTTTAATTTTAAATATGCTATATATAAAGTTAGTAGAGAATTTCTGAGGGTCATTTTACTAATAAATTGCTGTTGTTTTTAAAAAAATATAAATATGTAATATGTGTTAGTACAATCTTTGTTCCTTTAGTGCCAACATTTTTTTTTACAAAAATTACAGTGATACAATACCAAAGTTAGTAAAGCTTCCATACATGTGGTGACATTTTAAAGACTTTATGTAACAGGGTAATGGTTTATATAGAAATGTATCATGTGTTGCATAATCAAGTAAATTCATTTTAAAAAGAGTACTATTTGCCTAAAAAAAAACTTGTGGAAATTCAAATGCTTTTTTTCCTAGAAAGTTTGTTTATCTGAAACTTTAGAACTTTTAATAATAGAGTTTTTCTAAAATGAGTTAATAAAAAACAATATTAATAACATTAAATAATATGTTCATCATCCGCTGAATATAATGTACATCAAATACTGTTATTATATTTTTGGAGGGGTTAAAATTTGTTTTTGGAGACTCAACTTTTTTTAAAGCAAAATACATTTTTAATTTTAAAAATGTTTAAAATAAATCTTTAATTGATCTTTCTAAAGATGTACAATTGTCACAAAAACTGTTTTAAAATAGTAAATGAAATTTAAAAACTAAATAAAGTTTTATCCACGTTTAAAAAAAAGCTAGCAAATATTGCACAGATAGATAACTGTTAAACTGGTTAGAAACCTTTAATAAAACAGCTAATAGTTTTACAAAATGCCTTAGTGGAAAATTATAAAATATAGAAATTGCCAGTGTAATTTATCGTTACATTTTTAGAAATTTAAATGCATTTTTTATTTTAATGTGGAGAAAATTTGAATAAGATAAATGTAGTTTTCCATTAATCGTGGTAAGAATTTAATAATCAAGTCTTAAGCACATCTAGAATTTTCAGGGCATCGCTATTGCAGCGGTAAGCAATAATTCCTGGTAGGCTTTCTGTACCATCAGATATAGATGCCCTTCTATTACTGATTGCACCTCCTAAACTTACATAGTTAACCTGAAGTTTTATTAGATCTTCCTCAGTCAAAGCTGACTCAGACTTATTAGCTGCCTCCAACGCATGTTTATAACTAATAATCCCCCCACCCAGGGCTAAAAGTATGGCATGACCAGCACAGCAATCCCACCTGTAGACAGAGCGATGAGAAAGAACATAAGCATTTGCCAAACCTAGAACAGTGGCTAAAATTTTGTATCCAGCTCCAGAAGCATACAGAAGTCGGAACTTTGATGAAAGTGCATCAAGGACATGCTCAGATTCACTGTTACTTAGCACTATTCTGGCTTCTTCACTGGGAATATCTTGTACTGGTTGGAGTGATGTCAGTTTAATATCTTTGTAACATATTCCCCAAACGGTCTGTGAGGACCAACTGAAAAATAATTTTTTTAAATAATAAAATCACAAGTTTTATGCTTTTAAATGTTAATAGAAATATTGTATTACATTTATATTTAGACACATAAATACATTAGCAGATGATTAGCTTTCAATTTAAAAAAAAGCTAGACATGAAAAGCCTATAGTGTATAGAAACTGTCTGTTATTCCCTTTCACCAAACTCGGTGAATAAAATAGTATACACTTTTGTGTCTTTTAAATGTCTTACTAGTACCAGGTGACAAGTAAAACATTATAAAATGTGCAATGTTGTATATATATATATATTAAAATTTCAAAAAAATCCTAAGGCAGAAAATCAAGCTTTAACAATATTTATCATACTCATTTGTTTCTTTACAGTATTCTGCAAAAGGTTGAACAGAAACACCAATAATGGGCTTTCCAGTGGATTTTTGAAACATTCCGATTAAGATTGCTACACACTGTAAACCATCAACCACCATTCCATACTCATCTTTAACACCAGTGCTTCCTTTTATGTATTGACCAGTTGAATCTTAAACAAATATAAAAACAAAATACATGGGTTATATAATTTTTCTAAAAATTAAAATATATTAAAATTATTTACCTTTGAAAAGTAGCTAAATTTAGTTCAGTTGTTCTTCATATAGTTAACACTCATCCTTAAAGTTAATAGCTATTTCCCTTACAAATCTATTAAAAATTAATATAGATTTTTTATAAATAATACAAATTTCAAGACTGTGTTGCAAAATTGTGCAAAATAAAACCAACATACGTAATTATACTAGAATTTAAAGATACAGCAAATTCCATATTATTTTTAAAGCCTCTAATTTTAAATTTAAGATAAGAAATAATTTGTTTGAGATTCAGGGCAATTCAATTCTGAGAATGAATATATCTATTTTGTAAAACAAGTGATTAAAAATTAATGTAAATATTTGTTCACCAATTGGGTCAATCCAAATCCCACAGTCACTGGTATCTACATCAACATCACAAGCCACATCAACTAGTGAAATATTATTCACATTTTTGTGAACAGCCTTTGCTAGAAGTTCAGCTGCTTCAATGTTTCCATTCAAAACTTTACCTGAAAATATCAATTTTATCATTTATTCAACATAGAGCCTACAGTTTCAGGAAATAAATAATGCAGTGATTAATGCACATGTATTGTCTTTAAGCAAGGTTTTAAACAGTGCACTTCATAGATGTCCATAGTTTAGTTATAATACTTATTAATCATTTAACATTAATAACAGTCTGATGAAATTATATATTGATTTTTTTTTTTTTTAAATTGGTCTGTTGTTATAAAATCAGACATGTCATTTTAAAGTAAATATGTTTCTGTAAAACAACTGTAAAAAATGCTTGCCGACAGTTTTTAATACAAAAGACAGATTATCGTTCATGTTTTATGCTTTTAAATCTCAAAGGTATCAAAATGATTTATTATGTCTTTAGAAAAATAATGCATAGACTGGACCTTACTAAGTAATCCTTGTGTCTCCTCACATGTATCACATACTTTCACAATCACTGAATCTCCAACCACATTTGTAAATTGGTTACTTTCTTCACCATATATATGTGCACCAATATTGGGTACCTGAAAGTGTTCAAAAGTTGACTAAGCAAGAATTAACATGAGTTTAAATACATCAACCTTTTAAAATTGTTTATTTAGCAATGACCTGTCATAATGCCTGATGTTTACTGCAACTTCACCTAACATGAAGTCTCAACCCTAACCATAATTAAAATTTAATTATACCTAAAAACTTAACCATGTTAAACTCGTTATGTGCATTTTATGGTAAAGCAAAACTTTTCAGATGTTTAAAAAGGAATCTTGTAAATAAATGAATTAAGCAGTTTGTGTGGAAAATGATGTGGAAAAAGTGTTATATTTATAAGATGTTGGCTGAATATATAATATTGTAAATTATAAATGCTACATATAGAGATTAAGGAAATTTAGTGAGCAACAAATTCAACAAAAATATAATGAACCTTTTCACTGATATAATGGCGAACAGTTTCTTGAATTAAAACATCTGCTAATGTTTTAAAATCATGAAAAAATCTACAATTTTTTTCAATGCCAGTCTTCTCTTGAATTAGCAGCTCGACAAGAGGTTTCTCTTTCCTTATAATGATGGCAATCTGTGCAGCTTTGGAAGCCACTTTCAAAAGTAAGTTTAAAATCTCAGAAACTTGCATTCTGGAAAACAAACAGAAAAATTACATAATGAGTTGAATGTTTTATAGAAAGTACTAGCATATCCATCACCCCATCTCGTTATTCAATGGGTTTTACACAAAACAAACACACATCTCATTACTCAAGGGGTTCTACATGTGTACTAATTGTAATTTTTAGGAGTGTAAAACATCAAAAGAAACATAACATATTACAAATCATGTATTTTTACAAATGTGACCTTGTTTTCTAAAACGGAGTTGTTTAAATGTAAACAAAGAAGGTACTGTATTTTTTTTAATCATTGTTGTTATTGCATGGTTTGTATACACTACTGCCCAGACACCCCGAGGCGTGCTGTATGAAAAACATTGACTGCCCAGGTGTCAAGGGCATCACTGGGTGCTCGCTGGGGCTTCCAGTTACACTGCCGCAAGTTGATTGGTCCTGTTTAGTCATCGAATGTCATGGGCTACCTAGTCCCTATTGTAGGGTGCTCTTTAAAACTAATGTAGGTGTCGTAATGCTCACTAGGGAGCCCTAGGCACCAAATCAACCCCTGCCAGGGCGCAAGAGAATGCTCCTAATTTAAGAAGTCTATCATATTTATAGTAGTCTGGCTATAGTTAGTATAAGTATAGTTACAGTAAGTACTACATTACTTTTATTATTTTAAACTTTTTATAATAGGCCTACCCTACACTTTTAAAACATTTTAGAATTTTTTGGTGATATTAAAATTTAAAATAATTAGGCCCTAGGCCACTAGCCTAGGCTATTATTACATTAGTATTACTATTAGTATTAACTGTATTACTATTAGTATTAATATTATATTACTATTAATTATGTTAACAATTTATTAGGCCTAGATGCCTAGATCTAGAAATTTAGATCTAGATCTAGATTCTAGATCTAGATCTAGACTTAAAGTTAAATCTAGAGACTGCCGCAAATTCTAAATAAATTCCCCATGGCATAATTTTTAATAATTTATTAAAAATTAAAATTATTTAAAATTATTAAAATTAACCATGAATTTAATATGATTTTAATTTTATTACATTGAGATTGATTGATTTAAATCTAGAATCTAGATCTAGGTCTAGATCTAAAAATGTAGCCTATACAAAATAAAAGATTTAAAAAATACAGCTAGGCCGACTTAGTACTTTACTTTGAACAATCCTGGGTGACCTCGATATAAATAATATATGTCTAAAATATGCTAAATAATACTAAATAAGTTCAGAGTTATCCCCGATGTAGAACAGCTGATAAGGCAAAACTTCCTGGCAACTACAGTGCTAGATCAGAGATCCAGATCTAAATTCTAGATCTAGAGTCTAGATCTAGATCTAGACTAGATCTAGTCTAAATAATTCACACATTAAAACATTTTAAGAAAAAAAAGGCTGTTATTGTATTAAATAAATCACAAAAAAAAAAAAAATCACGAATGAAAAAGTGTACTATAAAAGTTTTTAACAATCATTTGCTTACAAATTTTATTATTTAGTAATATTTACCCTCAAAATAGGCATACTCTTGTACAGATTCATTTAATAAAATTGTCTTTCGCTTTCTGCATGATTTTCAGGGTGTAACCAGCCCTGTAACCTTATTAAAGCTAGATTTAGATATGTATGCTGGTATGACTAAAAATAAGTAATATTGAAAATTAAGCATATCTATATATATAATTCTCTTCTTGGATACCCTAGAAAACATCAAGCTGTAAGCGCGCCTTGCAGTCCCCTCTCTTCCTCTCTAAGCATATCCCTACTATTCCCTACCACCCAGAGGCGTAGCGAGGGCGGGGCGGGGGGGGGGGGGGGTGCGGACCGCACCGGGTGACACCATAATAATGGCAAAAAATTGCAAAATGTACAGAAGAAAAATAATTTTTTGCCAGTTCCATTAATGATTAATTAAACTTAAATAGTCTTTTAAGTACAGATCGTCAATTATTATAAGGGTGAGGGGTGACACATGACGTAAACGTGCTAACTTTAAAGAAAACAATGCTACACCCAACTGTATTATTAACAGATAAACGTTGTTACTATTACGTCTGCAGTGATTAAAGCTTTTACACATACATGTATACGCGTATGTGTCATATATTTAAATTATAGGCCCATGTAGGTGTATATATATATATATATATATATATATATATATATATATATATATATATATATATATATATATATATATATATATATATATATATATATATATATATATATATATAGTTATATATATATAGTTATATATATATAGTTATATATATATAGTTATATATATATAGTTATATATTGTTTGGGGGGAGGGGGGGTGACACCACGAAGTGCCGCACCGGGTGACACCCTACATAGCGACGCCACTGCTACCACCCCCACCCCAACATGGTCTGGTGAGCTGTGGTTCACGCTAAATGTTTACAATCGTAGAGCCGGGTTTAGTGACGGCTATTAGTGACGGCTATTAGGAGCAGATAATTTAGTTTGAAACTATTTTAAACTTAGGGGAGGTAACTGTAAGAGGAGTCACGGGGGTGGGGTAGGGGGTGGGGAAAGGAGGGTGGGGGGATGGGTATCGTCCTTAACGACCTACTGATAGTGTTTTAAAGCAAATATTTTCAGTGGCAGCTCCCTACAGTGGCAGAACTAGAAAAAAAGGGCCACCCCGCAAAAAAAATATTTTTGTGCCCCATTTATATATATATATATATATATATATATATATATATATATATATATATATATATTCGTGGGGGGTTTTGCAACATGAGTTACACGATTTTTACAAAATATTCTCGACAAAAAACTTTTACGCAAGAGTGTAGGACTTTATAGTGGTCATATCTAGGGGAGTAACTAAATTAATTTTTTTCACAAAATCATCTAAGCTTGGTTATATATCATTTATTTTTATGGCCCGAGTCGTTGGCATTATTTTATATAAGAACTTTTTTTCTTTACATCTATGACACGTTTTTGTTTATATATTATTTTCAAAATTTGAAAAGAAACAACAATTATTAAGGCGATCCAACCTTAAAATTACCTAATAATAGAAAAAATGTTCCTTCACCATTGCGAGTTGGGCTCCCGGACATAAACCCTGGACAAAAAAACCCGATTGAGGTTTATATAAGGAAATACTAATGAAGATGATAACTAAAAGTTATAATTAAAAGCGAGAAAAACATAGGCATAAAATCAGCATTTTATTATGAATTGAAAGTTTTTAATTAATTAACATTTTATAAAAAGAGATTATGAGCTATGCTCTATTCTCTATTATGGTATACTTATTAAAACCTTCAACAGCAGTTGCAATTCGAAATTGGCTAACAATATATTTTGTATGCGTTTTGCTAAACAGTAGCCTTTGCGTAATGCACATGTTGGAGCCTTGCTCCTTTAGTATAAAGTCAACGAATTTCCACAAATGGGGATGGTAACATCAGAGGCGTAGCGATGGGGGGGGGGGGGCAGGGGGGGGACATATGTCCCCGGGCGCCGACCTTAGGGGCGCCAAAACGGGTTGGAAAAGTAATTGAAAGTTTGGAAATCAAAAGTTTGAGGGGGGTGCAAATCAAAAGTTTGAAGGGGGGGGGTGCAAATCGAAAGTTTGAGGGGGTGCAATTCGAAAGTTTAAGGCGGGGGGGGGGGGGGTGAAAATCGAAAGTTTGTCCCCGGGCGCCGGGAAGGGTCGCTACGCCTGTGGGTAACATCCCATATTGAGCTGGAAAATTCTATGCCATTTTTTTGGCATATCGCCACATACAAAGTAGGGAAAATTTTTTGTCTCCGGTCATCACATTGTGACAGTAGTCATCCAAAAAATCTGCAATTGGCGACGTTTCTAGGATAAAAGTTTTAGATAACTGGTCAAAATCATTACCAGAGTTTCTTCCAGTCTTCGCCCCCCCCCCCCCCCCCCCCGAAAAATTTTTACCGCCCCCCGAACAAAATGAAATTTATATAATTTATATAGAAAATATATACTTTTAACAGTGTCCGCCCCCCCCCCCCGAAGAAAGTTTACCCCCCCCCCCCCCCCGAAGATTTCAAGTGCCCCCCCGGAGAAAAAAGTCTGGAAGAAACACTGATCATTACTATTATTTATTTTGGCACAAAAGCCAATGCTGGCTGTAATAGATTGAAATAATTGTGAGGTCAAGGGAACTCACTCTTCTGTATTAGTTATATTTATAATATTGTTATCTTGAGTGATGTCCCTTGTGCATTGTACTTCCGTCCTTGCCGGTTAACAATTAAAGCTGTTTACATACTCATGGCTTCTGTCTCCGTTGTATTCATAATCTACCTCAACTGGCGACGAGGATAAACATCTACTAGAAAGAGCACCTACTTACGCAAAAAAGAGGTTTGCTAGAGCTTATTAGCTAATTATTTCTAGAATTATGGCGCTGTATGGCCAAATAAAAGAATTTGATGCGAATGATGAAATCATTCAAGATTACCTAGAGAGGTTAAGCTTTTACCTAGAAGCTAACGACGTGACGATAGAAGCCAAAAAGAGAGCTGTTTTGTTAACAGTCATAGGGCCTCAACAATTTAGGCTACTAAAGGACTTATGCGCACCAGCTAGTCCAGATACCAAGAGCTTTAACGAGCTGAGCAAATTGCTAACAGACCACCATGCGCCTACCCCATCAAAGTTTCTATGTCGAGCTAGATTTGACAGTAGGACTCGTCAACCAAACGAGTCAATATCAGAATATGTTGCTGCTTTACGTCATTTAAGTAGATTTTGTGAATTTGGAGACACGCTGTCTGACAGATTATGTGAAAAGTTTGTGACAGGTGTAAACAGCCCTGATATTCAAAGAAAGTTGCTGCTCGAGTCAGATCTAACATTAGAAAAAGCAATACAACTTGCAACTTCAATCCAGCAGTCATCAGATGCGGCGAAATCTCTAACGCCTTCAGGGATCCATGCAGTAAACAGCAGGTTAGTCAGTAAACATCAACCCCATCAGAGCATTCCAACTTATGCTAAACAGCCTGCTCGTTCAAATCCTAGATCTAAATCTAGTAATAATTATCAAAAATGTCATCGATGCAAAGGTCCCCATGCATCTCATCGGTGCAAGTTCAAGTCTGCAACTTGTTATAAGTGCAGTAAGCAAGGTCACATTGCCAAGGCCTGCTTTGCAAAGTCTTCGTCTGTTGCTAAATCTAGCCAGTCAAGACAGTACCGCAACCAAAAGCAGCACTATGTTAACTCTCACCAAGACTACCTAACCCAACAAATGAACCACTCTACCTGTGAAAATGCTCAAACTGATTCGCAGCCGGATTTCAACCCGTTCTCTGTGAAATCAATAAGTCATGCTCCCATCAATGTACCAGTTTATATCAACGGTAAGAGCATCAGCTTCCAACTTGACACTGGAGCATCTCTAACAGTCATAACAAAGAAAGATTTTGACGCTGTCACAGGAGGATCAGTGTCTCTACAGCCATGTCACAAGTGTCTAACAACATACACTGGTGACAATGTTCCGGTAATAGGAGAGTGTATGGTTCATGTAAGTTATAATGGTCAAAGTGTTAAACTTCCTCTTCTTGTGGTTGAAGGAAATGGACCGCCATTACTAGGTAGGAACTGGTTAAGTGATCTTAAGTTAAATTGGGAGAGTATTTGTTCATTGAAGAATGTAAAAGAATCTAGTCTTACTTCACTAGATAAAGTAATATCTGAAAATAGAAGTGTTTTTGGTAACTCTGGATTACTAAATGATAGAACAGTGAAGTTAAGCATTAAAGACACAAATCCAAGATACTGCAAAGCTAGAGTTCCACCTTATGCAATGAGGAATAAAATTGAAAATGAGCTAAGTAGATTGGAATCTAATGGCATCATAAAGAAGGTAGACTATTCCGATTGGGCAACGCCCATTGTGCCAGTGTTAAAGAAGGATGGTTCTATAAGAATTTGTGGAGATTATAAAACTACACTGAATAAGCAAATAGAGCTAAATAGGTACCCTATACCTAACATTGAGGAAATTTCTTTGAATTTGGCAGGAGGAGACAAATTCACTGAATTAGACTTTAGTCATGCTTACACTCAACTAGAACTGCATCCAGATTCAAAAGTCTATACGATAATAAACACACATAAAGGACTCTACCAATATGAAAGACTATGTTTTGGTATATCATCTAGCCCTGGAATTTTCCAAGCTGTCATGGACAGTATTTTTAAGGACATTCCAAATGTTTGTGTTTACTTTGACAATGTGTACATAACTGGTAAGAATGACACTGAACATCTTAAAACACTTGATAAAGTATTAAAAATTGTTGGTGAAAAAGGTTTAAAGATAAACAAAGATAAATGTCAATTCATGTTGACAGAAATTAGTTTTCTTGGTTATATATTAAGCAAGCAAGGTATCAGACCTCAACCTGAGAAAACAAAAGCCATTAAAGAAGCACCCAAACCTGAAAATACCCAACAACTAAGAGCTTTTTTGGGCTTAATAAATTATTATGCAAAGTTCATAGGAAATCTGTCTGGTAAACTATCACCACTGTACAAGCTGCTACAGAAAAATGCAACTTGGCACTGGGGTAAACAACAAGAAGCTGCTTTTAATACAGCAAAAGAGGCTTTGTCTGCTGACACCTTACTAACTCACTATGACCCAGGGAAAAGACTTATATTAACATGTGATGCTTCACCAGATGGTGTAGGAGCAGTCTTGTCCCACATGGATGAGAAGGGTGACAGACCCATTGCTTTTGCCAGTAGATCTTTGAACCAGGCTGAGAAAAATTATTCTCAGTTAGATAGGGAAGGCTTAGGCATCATTTTTGGTGTTAAGAAATTTCATAAGTTTCTGTTTGGTAGGAAGTTCACCATCTTTTCAGATCATAAACCATTGCTAGGTTTATTTGGAGAAAACAAAACCCTACCTGAGCATGCCCCACCAAGAATTCAAAGATGGGCTATCACACTAACTGCATACAATTATGAATTGAAATACAAACCTGGATCTGAGAATAGTGCAGATAGTCTTAGCAGATTACCTTTAAAAAACCAAAGCCTGAGCTATGTACCAGAAGATGTATTTGTTCTCTTCACTATCACGGATAACTCCAATATAAATGTGAATGATATTAAAAGAGAAACACAAAAAGATGAGTGCTTAATAAAAGTATATGAGCACTGTATGAATGGTTGGCCTGAAGAGTCTGTGAATGATGACTTAAGGCCATATAAAATAAGAAATTAAAACCCTTTGTGAAGATAATATAAAAGATGGAGAAGATGCAGTCCATTATCAGTCAGAGTTGCCTAAACAAAGTACTTGTAACTTAATAAATGATTATGGTGATATGGCAATTTTAAATACATTAGTAAGAAGGAATGTGATCATCAAACAACTTTGCTAACATCATTAGCACTTTCAGAAACTAAAAGGGTAACATCAAAAGAAAGAAAAAGATTTTTGCCATTTAATACTTTCAGATGCCAATTCAAAAAGTAAATCATGACAGAACACCCATTGAAAGAGAATTTGGTGTTAATGATAATGTGTATCTGAGAAATTATGGGAGAAAGGAAAAATGGATACCAGGTCAAATTGTTCAATGTACAGGACCTGTGTCTTATAAAGTAAAAACAAATGATGGACTTATTGTCCGTAGACATGCAGACCAGTTGAAAATAACTTGTGCAGATAATAAGTGTGAATCTGTCAATCCCACCAAATCTGATCAGTTCACACCAACTCAGTTTGTTCTACAACCAAGTTCTGTTGATATGAGTGAACCAAGTTGTCTGGAGTCAGAAAATGTAAATTCTGGAGTTAATGATTTAAATACTAGACCTCCTGAGATAGAGAATCCAGATGGTCAGAATCTTGAGTCACCAAATCAGAAGCCACTGAGAAGGTCAAACAGGACAATCAAAGTCCCAAATAAGTTAGACCTATGATTCTAAAGGTCAAAAGGACTTTGACATTATTGTTTGTATTTTGATTATGTTGTAGCATATTGTGCATTGTTTGTAAGGATGTAATCTACCATAGTGTTCATGTTACAATATAATTGGTGATTTTAGGATACTATCAATTGTTCTATTGAGAGATGTGTTATTGTGTTCTAAGGGTAAAGGGATGTAATAGATTGAAATAATTGTGAGGTCAAGGGAACTCACTCTTCTGTATTAGTTATATTTATAATATTGTTATCTTGAGTGATGTCCCTTGTGCATTGTACTTCCGTCCTTGCCGGTTAACAATTAAAGCTGTTTACATACTCATGGCTTCTGTCTCCGTTGTATTCATAATCTACCTCACTGGCAGCATACTTAGCGTGATAATCCGCTTTAGATCAAATATAAGTATGGTCACTCTTTGGCGGCAAAATGGTATTCTTTTCAGTAAAAACTTTTTTCTGTTATTAATTAAAATAAAAAATAATTAAATTAAATACCAAATTATATATAAACTATAAACCTTTATATGGCTAAGTTTAGTTCTCGTTAACGTTAGTATTTCCTTATATAAACCTCAATCGGGGGTTATTGTCCAGGGAGCTTAGGTCATAAGGGATTTTTATCCAGGGGTTTATGTCAGGGGCTTTATTTCCGGGGTGTATGTCCAGTGGGTTTATGACCGGACCCTTCGAGAAAGGTATGGGACATGCTGATTGCTAACCGCAAAGTATTCAGCCCAGTTCCTCACTCAAGTTGAATAATTACTTTCAGGGCAGTGGCGTATTAAATACGATATTTATTGGACATTTATTACTAAAAAAATAAAATTAAAATAAACTACGACGGTCAGTAGTAATGAGAATCAATTTAGGCGCCCATCTTTTGAGACAAAACAGAAATCACATAATTGTATAATATTTTTTGAGCCATATATATTGGCCTATACAGATATAGCTCAAACGAATAGAGCGAAACTTGGTGCTAATGACGCTCTGCATGAAAATAAAAAGATGAGCTTCAATTACATGTCCGTCATGTCTGGCTGAATGGTAGAAAAAGGATTTCACGTAACTGAAGGTAGATCAACTGTTGTGTATGCCCCCCCCCCCCCCCCACCCAAAAAAATATTATTATCAAAGCAAATTGAAAGCGTCGATGTAATTGCATCTTTATAATTTAAATTACACATCAACACACACACACACACACATATAATGTGAGATGCAATAATAATAATTTTTTTATTAAAAATGAAAGCTAAATTAGTCATTAATAAAAACCTTTTTAAAAAACGTTATAATAATTAGCACTAATTCAAACTTCCTTTCTTTTATCAAAGAAAAGCATTGATCGCTAAAATTAAAGAGAATTCACGAGCGACCAATAGTTTTATTAAAGAAAACAAGTTTTTAAAATTTCCAGTTCGTGTCCAAGAAACATGACAGATAAATTAATTAGAGTTCTTTTTCACTATGCTTGTAGTTTCGGTAACGTGAGTCAGGTACACAACATAGCAGGGTGGATTTAGGAACCTACTACTGACTCGATACAGGAGAACAAACTTGACACTTTTGGCTTAGCACTATCGGAAGCAGACTGGTATTCATTTCTCTAATGGATCCAGGAAATATCTACAACTATTAAGCAAACGTCTTTAATCTGCAACATATAACTTGAGAGAAACAACATTTAACGACATTTTAAAATATTTTATAGTGAATTCATAACATTTTTTAATTTTGCGAACACATTTTATATTTGCACAATGGGTTTCTTTTGTAGTGTTACTAATCAGATTAATCAGATGAATTACGATGTCGAAAAAGCGCTTCCCACAATTTACCGATTACTTGCCCCTAACCGTATTCATTTAGCATACGTTGAGATGCATAAAATAAACGCTGGTTAAAGGTAGTGTATCGCAGTCTAACGGTTGGACTGTATGTAATACATTATTACTGCTCAAATGTAACCTACCATTTTTTCAAGCTACTTTTGGCGCCCCAAGGGTCGGCGCTCGCTGCGGCCGCCCCACTTGCCCTCTCTAAGCTACAGTACCTCTGGGCGGATAGTTATCATTACACTTCACTCAACCTCCTTCCACACCCCACATCCTAAAGTCGAACTACGACTAGTCATAAAAACTATGAGATTTTGCATAGGCTGGTGAATGTCTACAAGACTAGCATTTCATATGCAAAACGTTATATAGGCTCACAACCAAATAAATAATTAGTTATTTTACTATTTTATTGCAAATGTTAGACCTAGCCTAACATAGGCTAAGAATGAAGATCACTAGGCTAACATTTCTAACGATAGAAATTATTAGGCCGAAAGCTGCTTGTTATTTTGTAGTGTACCTGGCCAACATTCAATACCCACAATGCATCGGTCGTTTATCGGTGACGAAGGCTAGGCGTATACACTTTAGGTTGGGATAAATGGTTTCTAAATTCAGATAAAATCCACCTAATTTTCGTCCATCGGCTTCACAAGCTAATATAAAAATATACTAAAAAGATCAAATTACAATGTCTCTTGTCTATTTTGTACTAAATCTAAAGATAAACTTGATACAAATAGCAATTTGACAGTAGAAGTAGGCAAAGAAATGAAAGGGAAGAAATTAAGGGAAGGGTTAGGCCTACATTGGAAGTTAATACGCAGGATTTCTTATAGCAGAACGAAGCTAATAAACACTTAATCTTTTTTATTCTATAGATATGCCAAAGAGCAGAAGGAAGCATTTGTATGACGATGAATATGATGCTCGATCATATTCCCATCTTGTTCCCCAAGGACAAGCCACACAGGCACAACCTCACAGCAGTTACGGCAGCTCTAAAAAGCGACCGAAGAAAAAGAAAAGTCACAGAAAAAGATCTAAGGATCGCGAAGAGAGAACTCAACCCCAAAAGTCATTAGTTGATTACGACGACATCAGTTCTGATTCAGATATTGTATCATCGAGCCCACCGTCAACAACTGCATCGTCGTCAAAACAAAATGCTGTTGGACAGACATCTGCAGGTCGTTCGGGAAGTCATAATTCACATTCAAGACTAAGCCATGGTTCGGGAAAAAGAGCCGAATCACCAGCGACTGCTCTGCGATTATACCGGGATGGACGAAGTCGAAGCAAATCACCTCGTGAACAGATTGATAGTCCACGATCGCGACCACAGCAATCTCGTTCGAAAAGTAGTAAGAAACTTAAAAGATCACGACACGTCTCTCCGGATTTTGATAACGGTTCTCACAGGGATAACAAATATAATGCTAGACTTCACCCAACCACAGAAGCTAGAGATTTTCCCAAAGCATATGCTGATTTGCCCAAAGCTTATAGCACTGACTACAAAGAAACTGCAGAGAAAAGACACCGTAGTCCAAGCCCATACAAATATGACAAAAGAGAAAGGAAAGCATCACGAAGTCCAAGTAATCGGTAAGCAAATTCATCATTAGCCTATTATTGTTAATAAGATATTCGCCATTCTAGGCTGCTTTTTAAAATTTATTTTAATTTTATAGCGAAACCAATTACTCTCAAATAGCAACAGAATATCGATCTAGATTCTAGATCTAGTGTTCACTCTTTTAGACGAGATCTAAAGTACATCTCTGTACTTCAGTTAAAAACTGTTTCCATACCTAAACATTTTTTAACGTTGAGTATCGCATAGAGGTTTTTTGTTTGTTAATCAGTTAAGGACGGTAAACATGTGTAATGTGTAAACTACTGATTTTAAAAATATAGGCCTATTTATTATGGCACTTACTTAAATGAACGCTTTCAGGACTGGTGCGATCTTTTTTTCAAAATATAAATTGTCAGAACAATTTCTGCATATCATGTACTAGCAAACAAAGAAGTTAGACTTCATGTTGCAGCCATATTTTGATTGATGTATAATTTTCAGTTTATAGTTTATATCTGAACTCTTGCTTTAACCATAACAGCATATGTAGTAGGAAAAGACTTGATTTTTTAGGTTATAGACCTAGATCAGTCACACACACACACACTCTATTAATAGGCAACAGTTTAACTTCTGAGTTTAAGCAAAATTTTGAAGTGTAATTGGACAAACTAAAGCTAGTAGATTATTTAGTTCTCATCAATTAGTCAGTTACTTATGTCCATGTTTGTTTTTTTAATCCTTAGAGTTAAGAATGGTGAAAGTTGCTCTAGACTTATTTGATTGACAAGCTTAATTGGAAAGAAAAGGCTATGTTAAATGGTTGCTAGTTTGAGTTAAAAAAACCCACTGATTGGTACAAAATCTTAAATTAAAAGCTTGTTTTGCTGCCTTGTCGCACTGCTTATTTCATAATCAAAACTAGATTAAGATTATAGATTTATGTGATTTACAAATTACAATCAATAGCATTCTTGTACCTTATCAATGAAAAGGTCAGTACATGATAATTTCATAGCTAGAGGTTATGCATGTTAAAACTTTTTTTATCGATCTTAATAACTTTAACCATCTCAATAGTCTTGCCAACAGCTAAGTTTCATTATCCTAATTTGATCATAAAAAATAATTTAAGATCTGAGAAGGAATTTTATTCATAAAATTAAAAAATAGTTGGTCTCTGTACATAAGATTCAGTGAAAATACAAAATTTAGCCTCAGTCTGGTAGTTTTTAAAAATAAGTTTGTGCATATTATATAGTACCTATAGTTTTGTTTTTCTGTCAGTGTAGCTATAAAGTAGTAATAAAAGCAAATAAAAAAGACCTACATGCCTGTTATGTGATAATCACAGAAGTATCTTTTTAGTCTGGGTATTTTAAAGATGAGTACAATTATTCAAATTTGAAGCCTAGACATTTTTAGAGTTTGTATTTTGTTTTATGTTAAGTGTTAAAATTCTTTACATGGTTGTTTTTTTTTTTAGATAATAAATTGCTGTTCCATAAACTTTTACAAAAAGTTTTTATTTTTAAAATGATAATTAAAAAAAAATTAAGTTTAATTTCTTGTCAAAGTAACTGAATTCATTATTTTAGTTTTGTGAAGTCAAGGTATAGGTTTTGAAAATTAACAAGCTTAATCATAAATAGTATTCTATTTGGATTTGGCATTGAGTTAAACTTTAAAATGCTCTGTGGTGTGAAGTATGGTGTTATAATTTCTAGTCAAACATCTTTACGGTTAAGCTGCATTTCTTTTAATTTTTTCTTTTTTTTTTAAATATAGGAAACATAAATATGTATCTTCATCAAGAGGTGCAGGCAGTCCTTTGCGGTATTCAAAAAAGCAACTCGCCTCTCTTTCACCTGGGCGTAGTCATAACAGACCATCACCCAGTCCTTCTAGGACAGCAACTTCGTCTTTCTCTTCTAGAACGAAACTTAGCAATACCAGGACTTACCAGTATGCCACTAGTTTGGCTGCTGAATTAAGTAAGCATCGTAGGGCAAGGGAAAATAAAAAACGAATGTTTGGTCAAGAGACAAGTTCATTAGATAGCAAGACAAACTCTCCAGATTTAGAAGTAATTAGTAGGTCGCCAACTCCTGTTGGTATCAAAGCTTCAGCGTATACTGGGTCTAAAATTGAGTCACCCATGAAACACAGTCCTATGGTTCAAGTTGGTGTGCAAGAAAAGACACAAGAACATGCACGAGGAAATATAGTTCATGTTGAAAATAGACCCCCCAAGACAATTGACTGGAGTTTGTCAGAACATCGGACTTCTAAAGGAAACGTATTAGAAATCGATCTCAAACCAAAAAGTAATCCAATGTCTACACTACCTCAGCTTCCTCTTCCTGAAATTGATCCTGATGAAGATATGGATCTGGAACAAAGTCCTTACAAGTAATGATTTCTTATAAAATCACTAAAACAATTTTAAAAAATTAAGATTAATCCTAGTTTAATTTAAAAAATGTTTTTTCTTTAAGTGAAATCAAAGCAGAAGAAAAAGAATCTCGGCCACGTGGTATCCGTGATCTTCCTCTGCCACCTATCGTTGATGAACCAGAGGTAGAGCCTGAAGAACCTTTGAGAAAACCTGCAGTTAAAAAAGAAGAGGGTCCAAAACTTAAACGGCCAAGGTATGTTTATACCTATGTTAGAACTTAGGCATACCATTTTTATTCTTATAATTCTATAATCAAAGCAATTAAAAACCTTCTTTGACAGAATGTGTCATCATCGTCGTTACAATGACCACCAAGGTGATTGGGGTGAAAGGTGTGTTGATGTATTTGATATCATACAGATAATTGGAGAAGGCACCTATGGTCAAGTGTATAAAGCAAGAGATATCAATCTAGGTAATTTTTGATTTTTAAAACTGATATAATTACTTTGGTGTAAATAAGTATCAATATTTCTAATTGTCAGTTTTATTTGTAATAAAAAATTTTGTGAACTTTCAGCTTCATATTTATTTTATATAAACATCTATATTTTTTTACCATTATTCATTGTTTCAGGGATTTTGGTTGCATTAAAAAAAGTCAGGTTGGAAAATGAGAAAGAGGGATTTCCCATCACAGCTGTCAGAGAAATAAAAATATTGAGACAGTTGCAGCACCCCAATATTGTTAATTTAAAAGAAATAGTCACAGACAAACAAGATGCACTTGATTTTAGAAAAGACAAAGGTTTGTATTCCTATTGATTGTTCAACTGAGTAATAGACATTTGAAATGCATTTCCCGTATTGATGAGCTGTCTGTTTTTTCATGTTTTCTTTTTCATTTACACATTTTAATGTTGCAATGCAAGTTTGGTGTTGTTTTCTGCTTTTAATTTAGTTTAAAACCAGTACATTGAGGTGTTGAGTATAGGAATCCTATTTTTAAAAAAATATGTTGATGATTGAATATAGTTCAATTAGCTTAATAAAATGAACTCATTAATAAATATAACTTTTGACTTATAAGTATGCATCATTAATAAAAATGACAGCTTATTTAAATACAAGTGCACCTTGACATATACGAGTGTCCCTATAAACATTTTTTTAGGATACAAGTTTTTTTTTCTTGCTTTTGAGTTTGAGCAAATTTTGAGTTACATGGAACTAGGTTCGTCCCGTTCACAACAGGTTACATTTTAAATGGCCTGTATGTAAAAGTAAGTCAAGAAGTGTGGCGAAAAAGTCAAAGGCCAGTGAAAAGAAAAGCAATCACAAAATTTAAATGAAAGTAATAAATTATCAAGTAGCAACTGTCAAATGAATTTTAGTAATGTTCCAATACGTTTATGGATAAAGTGTAGCATTAAGAGTATAACGGAGGTGAATTGAAGTGACCGAAAGAGTTAAGCATTAAACCCTACACCAAAAAGAAAATACACTTTATGAAAGTCAGTTTATTTCTTTACGTTCTCCCTTGTTATGCTATTACAAAAATCTATAAATACATTTTCTTACTAAAAAGATGGATGAAATCAACTGGGGGTGCATTTTGGGGGCTGGAACAGATAAATGGCATTTCATATAATTTCAGTGAAAAAATTGATTTGAGATGCGAACAATTGACATCTCAAGGTACCACTGTATTTGAGATTGTTAAAAAAGCTTTACCTCAGGACCCATATTTTGCTTATAAAAAAGTTAACATAAACTTGTATTGATCAAATCAAATGATAGTGATTAAAAACTCTTACATAATTAATTCACTTCAAACATTATTTAAACCTAATTTCCGATTTGCACACAGAATGTGACTTATGAATTTACAGATTCCAGAATTTATTATCAGATTGGAAATTTAGGCCTGAAATTTTAAGCTTCATGAAAACTTGTTTATTAAATGCATGTTTAATAATATTCTAATACTTTAAAAATTTTTTAGGATCTTTTTATTTGGTGTTTGAATACATGGACCATGACTTGATGGGCTTGCTGGACTCTGGTTTAGTGACTCTCAGGGAGGAACACATAGCATCGTTTATGAAACAGTTATTATTGGGACTGCAATATTGCCACAAGAAAAATTTCCTGCACAGAGATATTAAATGTTCCAATATTCTTTTAAATAACCGGTAAGAGGTGAAATTAAATGATTATTTTTATTGAGTAACCAGTACATGTTGATGTTTTAATGCTTTTGCTGATTTCTTTCTTTCAGTGGTCAAATTAAACTTGGTGATCTGGGACTTGCAAGATATTATCATGCTGATGACAAAGACCGTCTCTATACAAATAAAGTTATAACTCTTTGGTATCGTCCTCCAGAACTTTTGCTTGGAGAGGAAAGATATGGTCCTGCTATTGATATGTGGAGCTTAGGGTAAAACATTTTTAAATTTAATAGTTAATTGAAAGTACATACTTGCTTACCTGATTTTCTTATAAGTGTTCTCTTTTTTATTTAGGTGCATTCTGGGTGAACTATTTACCAAAAAGCCAATATTTCAAGCAAAAGAAGAATTTGCCCAGTTAGAATTGATCAGTCGTACTTGTGGCTCACCATGTCCTGCCAACTGGCCAGAAGTGATTAAGCTGCCTTTATTTCACAGTTTTAAACCAAAGAGACAACATCGGAGAAGACTGAGAGAAGAATTTTCATTGTGAGTAATTTATATATTTTCTATGTTCTTGTATGTGAGAAAGAAATGAGTTGTTACTAATATGTGTGAAACATTATACTACTTTCTATTACAGAGTTGAAATATTTACAATTAGACACTTGGTTATGCAGTCTCCATGTTTTATCATTTGTAGAAATAACCAGCTTTACATTTGTTTGCTCACGATTGCTTTATTAGGGTAATGTCAATAGTTCTATAATGATTAAAAAAATTGGCCATGGGCAATTTTTTTGTTTAATTTATTTATATTTTAAATAAATTTCATTACAATTGATGGGGCAATAATATTTTGGTAACTTCACTCATAGCATTTTTAAGATACAGAATGTTTTGCACTCTTGCATGTTTATTTAAATCTTTCTTTTATATTTTTCATCTTGATACATAGATGGGTCAGATCATTCATATTACAATAATTGTTTTATTAAAATATTTCAACTAAGCCAGTCACTTGATACACACAGGGCTCTTTTTATCTCTTCAACTTGTTTTTGGCTTACCCGTTTTTAGTAGTAATTGGGGAGTTACAGGGAAGCCAAGTCATTGTTGTATAAATTTCAGCCTTCCTAAACTGGCACTCGACCTTATGGATCACATGCTAGAATTGGACCCAAGTAGAAGGTGTACTGCAGAACAAGGTCTTAATAGTCCTTGGTTACGAGATGTTGATCCTAATAGCATTCCACCACCTGAGTAAGCTTTTTTTTTATATTTTGAATATAAAGTATTAAAAAATTTTTGTTGTCACAATATAATGTAGATCTACTGACTTAACAGTAAATAGCTTGAAAAAAAATAACAAAGTAACCCACCCACCCCACCCCCCATTTACCAGAGAAGCTATTGGTACATAAAATTTCAAAGTTGTGATTGTTACCCATATACTATATTTAAATGCTAATTATGTAATTTTTAAAATAATTTTTATTGTATTTTTTAATAACCTGAAATTATTATTGCAATATCAACATTTGATGTTTTCATTTCTACAGTTAAAAGTTGAAATTACATCAATACTTTATTATTTAAAAGTTATAAAAAATAAATGATGTATTAAATAATATAAACCAGAATAAATAAGCAGCAAACATCGGGGGGGGGGGGGGGAAGCAAACAATGCTTTGGAATAACTAAATTATTGAAACTATTCAATCATGTTCAATCAATTTTTCAATTTTTGTTAGTGAAATGTATAATGGAAAAATGTATCTAATTTTTCGATGGTCTGGATTACCTTTTGGTAAGCATATTTTACCTGGTTCACTTGTGAATACTATTACTATTGTAAATGTCAATACACAATTACATTTCAGTTTACCCAAAGATCAAGATTGTCATGAACTATGGTGCAAAAACCGTAAAAAAGAAATGAGAGAATTACAGGTAAAAGAGCAAGATTTCAACCAAAAATCACTTCCGGTTACAAGGGTACCACCAAGTAGTCGACCTTTTGCACCCTCCGAAACAAAGCCATTTGCAACTAAGTCTTTGTCAGTAAATGATCAGAAAGAAGATAGTCTGAAGCAAAATGACATTGGAGGTGTTAGTGATAGTAAAGATGCTCAAATTCAACTTTCCAACTTAATTACACTACTGCAGAACCAGCAAAATCTTAGTGTTTCTCAGATAGCTAAAAAGCTTAATATTACAGTTAATTCTCAAACTTCAATGCTGCTAAACAACTTAAAGCAACAGTTAATTAATGCCTTATCCAGTGTTCAAAAAAGTTCGGGTTTAGATAAATTTGACCCACATTCAATGATACCCAATTCCCTATCAACAATGCAGAGTGTTTTGTCTGGAAGCAATAGCAGTACTTTATCGAATGTACCAACCAACAGTAACATTTCTTCACATCCTTCAGCAAGTGGTTTTCCAGATTCTGTTCAAGGTAGCAGTAAAAACAATTCAGTGAATTATTTTGACTCCAATCGTCAACAAACTTCAGATTACTCTAGTGGACCAGAGCACAGTATTGGTAAACATGCTGGTGTTAAAGTAGCACTCGCCCAATTGCTTTCTCAGCAGGGCATTGGAGTAAAGCTAGGAGGGGCACAATTTGAAAGTGTACCACCACCCTTTTCTCCTGGATCTGATCCATCTGTATATTCTAAACCTCTAGACAGTGCACCATTTAACAGTCATTCTGGGCAGGAGAACTCAACTTTAATAGATGAAAAAATGTCTTATAAGGAAGAACCAGTGACAGGTAGACATTCACAATATTATCCCCCTTACAGAGATAATGCTAGGAATGCAGCTGGTACTTTAAATCAAGAACCTATTGATCGAGAATATGTTGGGTCTAGCTCTTTTGATTCACGGCATGCATGGTAGTTTTTTTTTGTATCAGTTTAAATATGAAGTATTACAGACTGTGCCTTCACACATGCCATATTGTTAAATAGAAATAAAGTTATTTAATGCTTTCAACAAGGACTAATATTTAAACTGTCAATACTAATATTAACTGTTCAAGTTTGTACGATAAATTATCTTAGGGAAATCAGAGTTGGCTTGACAATCAATAATGGTGTAAGGCCTATGTTGTTTGACTTGTTTCCTTCCACAAGATTTATTGGTGATAATTATCTTGCTGATTCAGATCTTTTGCATGTAACTTGTTTTTTTTTGTCATTGATAATTAATTGTAGTTAATTCAATGAATTTTAAATAAAATATTTGGTCTTCAAATTTTGTGTGTTATGAAATGTGACGTTTGTAAATAGTTTGAAAGAAGTTCATTGGGCAACAACTCACTGCAAAGATTTAAAAAATTTGTACAATTTAAATTTAGTTTTTGTGTTTTTTTTTAATTCCAGAACTGCTAGTATCATCTCTTTTAGCAAATAGTTTCATTACAAATAAGCTGTAATATTTTATTTAGGATACTTCAAATGTCTGAACAACTGTGATGTAGTGAGATTTGATCACTTGTATTTGTATGCATGAAGTGATATTTTCTGTATGACTCTTTGGGAAGCCATAGGGACAAAGTGAATAAACTCAACCTTGGCAGCATACAGATATTTACCACCTGGAGTGTTTGTGTTTTGTTTCCAAAGTTATTGCTGTATTTTGTTGAATTAAAGAACATTTTCCTGTAAAATTTGTTCATTGTTTTAAATAAAGATAGGTCCATATGATGGTGGTGGATTGGGTGCATTGCCAAGCAGGTTTCGGAATAAATTTTTAGGCTGTTTTTTGTGATAGTAGGTCAATTAGATTCATTTTAAAATTAAGAACTAATAGGTTTATGGAGTTACAGAATTTTTCTAAACATTTGACAAATTTTTTATTAATTGAAATACTTAAAGATGCTAATTAGTAATATTGTATTTTTTAAGTTTCCATTTTGTGAATATTTGTGACAAATTTTAACAGCTACCTTTTATGGACACTAGTGATTTCTTTGTGGAGTTAAAATTTCTCTTCAGTGAATAGAATTTATTTTAGCCGCCAAGTCTTTTCTTGTGACATTGGTGTGATATGAAATTCACACAAATATTTCTGCACTTGAGATAGTTTAAAGAAAAAGGAATGCAAATCAAAAATTACCAAGTTCTCCATCTCTGTGATACAAGAATAACAAGTATTTCATCCTCTCAGTACAAGAGCAAACAAGTATATCACCCTTTCAGTACTATCTCAGATTCGGTTGTGTTGCTGTATCATCGTTAAGTAATTGCTCAATTCCAGTGCTTATGCAGGTGGGTAATGTTTGTTTTGTTGGCATCTTTTGTCTTTGGGAATTTTTATTACATTGCGCCTCTTTGTTAAAATTAACTAGATTACTTCATTTGCAGTATTCTTAATTTAAAAAAAAAAATTAAACCCATCTGTGAAAATAAAAATTCCCAAAGAAGATTCAGTTTACACAAAACTACCCAACAAAGTACAATTGCTCAACACTTGAAGCTCCATCTCTGTTCTCCCTTAATTGTACAATGAATTTTACCTTTTTAACAGTTCTGAAAATTTTCTTCACATTTTGAAATATTCCTATATAATTGAATGATAGGAATACTTAAAAAGTTGCTGTCAAGGGGATATTTTGTCTATCTTATAACACATCCAATTCCTATATTTTTCTAGTACTTGTACACTTTGCATATTGTTATTCTAGTAATAGTTTTATACATTTTACATGTCAACATCAGTAAAGGTAAGTTAATCCCTGGCAACTTAAGGCTGCAATTCAAAAGAGCATTAAGGTAAGGGTTTAGACATAGCTATTTTATTTTGCTATAATCATGTTGTATAATGTGCAATAAAATAAACAATGCACACATTATTTGGTTTATTATATTTTGTCTTGTTGCTGAATGAAGTTGGGAGTCAGCATGGGCATTCCACAACAAGCTTGCTTGAAAATTTTGCAGGTTTAGCAAGGGTTTTCACAATTTTTCTGCCACTAGTCAGTAATATATATTTTTATTAGCCTGATTTGTAGGTTAGCATGTTGAAAAAATAAAACCTCAACACATTTTATTAAGTGAAGTGTGTCAAAAACATTTATAGTTAATACTTTTGTAAACAATCGTACTAAACTTGAATTAAATCTTGCTTAGTATGTGATGAAAAATCCAACAATGAAAAACCAAAGTTGCAAACTGGTCCGTTTCACATTAGTGTGTTTTTCATAACAGATTTACAGCTTTAAGCATCTACTGCTGCCTAGATAAATCTGCAGATTAGTATTACAAACCTTGCCTATCTTTTTACAATATTAAATATTAAGAGATATTTCTGTGTTGAGGTGATGAAGGCAAGATGTGGACCACAGTTTGTCATCTGACATTTTTCATACTTCAGATTTTTTAAAATTTATTTTCTTGAATCATTTATTTGGAGGGTAGATTTTATTTGTCCAGCTGTTTTTTGTTTAGGGATGTAAGCTAACGTTGAGGGTGGTTTTATTTCCTAGAGCTTTTAGGTGCAACTATTGGATCTATACATTTTTTAAATATGAAATATCAGAAAGTATTACTTTTCTTTGTATACTGTTACTTACACCTTGATGTATAGATTTGGCAGCCCAGAAAAAGTTTACTTAATATTGGTGTAAATTTCACCCATTGAATTATCCTAGTACAAAATGTCATTTGGGAATGGGGTGGCTTCCTTATATTAAATTTTGAAGTAAGGTAAGCATGTTCCTGAATTAGCATTTTTCCCTTGAACTTAATTGTTTGCAGTCTTATTTTAATCCTGCAATGAAATCACAAATGTGTAGTTGGCAAAATGGATGTGCTTGTATTAAAATAGGGCTTAAAAAGGAATGGCCATTGTTGTACTTAGTTGAGTGTTTAGCAAGTAAAGTACAATATAAAATTTTTCTCAAACTTAAGTAAGCTACCCATAATAGCTTCTTGTGTTCATTGATCCTTTGTATTTGAAATCTGGCATGACTAGTAAGTACAGTTGTAGGTTTTTATGGTTTAAATTAGCTGACACTTTGTACATTAATGCAGTATTGGAATAGTAGTCTCCCTTATAACAGACCAGGGTTGCTATCTAGGATTGAAACTGCTTCTATAAATCTGATTGTTGTAAAATTCAGAAGTAGCAGTAGTACTAGTAAATGTAGTAAACCAATTTTCCCTTGACTTAGATTATGCTTTAAAAGAGCTTTTACAATTAAACAGTTTCTGGATAATTTACAAAAATCAACTCTTATAGCCCACAATGAAAAAGTGTTAGCTGGGTATGAATTGAGGGAGTACATTGTGGCTTACACACTAAAGTAATAAAATTGAAAATACATTGAGATTTAATTATGATGCATTTCACACAATTTGATGAATGTTTTATGTTCTTAATAGTGCATCATATTAACATGTCAGCTTTTATAGGTAGTTAATAAGTATATTTTTGACTATTTTAGCATTTCTTATGAATTAGTTCACTTAACAGTCACTACACTGTTCAGTATGTAATAATGATGACCTGAGGTGTAATTTAAATGTATTCACAAGAATAAAGCTTACCAGTAATATTTTTTGCAAAATTTACTTACTTCTATTAAACCTTTTTATACTATCTTTATCTCAAATTTGTTAACATCTTAGTTTGAACTCGTTAAAAAAATAAATTAAGCTTTATTTATATTAATATTATGGTTTGTAATTTTCAAGCTTGAATTATTGCTCTTCTTTTTGGTATATATAACTAAACGATTCTTTGTCTTGTTTGTTAAAAAACCTATGCTAAGCCTTGTAATCAAAATATGTCTATTGGAAAGCAGCCCAGTCAGAGGTGGATGACATTAAAGATAATATTCTTTAAATTATGTGTCATTCTCCTGGCTAAGGCTGTTTGCCATGGACGCAGTCAACAATATATACAAGGAGCTGCACGATTCTCAGTCAATTCTGGAATAAAAATGAGAACCTGAAAAATGTTGTCAAGGAATAACAAATAATGGTGTTTTACACTTATTTTCTCTGCCTTGCTGATTATTTGAATAGTATTAAGTTTGTTCAGTTATAATATATAAGCAATTAGGTAGGTCACTTTAACATGGTAGATGTAAAAAGGGTCATTTGATTTTTGGCAGTTCACTTCATTCATGATAAATATTGTCACTTGATTTGTAGTTGAAGTAGATATTGTTGTAGATCACTTGATTTATACTAGATTTAGATCATCAGTTTTTTTGTAAAAGTTGTTGGTCACATGTTTGATGGTCGATGGGCTGTCTTTTACTATGTGGTAGAAGAGTTTGGGCTACCTTTAATTTGTGATAGACGAAGTTGTAGTATTTAATTTGTGGTAGATGAGGTTAGGCTACTTTAATAGATTATGTTGTACAGTTTTTACTTTGTGGTAGAAGAGGTTGGGATATCTTTAATTTGTGATAGACAAGATGTAGTCTTTAATTTGTGGTATATGATGTTGTACAGTATTTAATTTGTAGTAGATGAGGTTGGGCTAAATTTAATTTGTGGTAGATGTGATTGGGCTACCTTTAATTTGTGGTAGATGAGGATGGGCTACCTTTCATTTGTAGTAGATGAGGATGGGCTACCTTTCATTTGTGGTAGATGATGTTGTAGTCTATAATTTGTGGTAGATAAAATTGTAGTCTTTAATTTGTGGTAGATGAGGTTGGGCTACCTTAAATTTATGGTAGATGATGTTGTAGTCTTTAATTTGTGGTAGATGAAATTGTAGTCTTTAATTTGTGGTAGATGAGGTTGGGCTACCTTAAATTTGTGGTAGATGATGTTGTAGTCTTTAATTTGTGGTAGATGAGGATGGGTTACCTTTAATTTGTGGAAGATGAGGTTGGGCTACCTTTCATTTGTAGTAGATGAGGCTGGGCTACCTTTAATTTGTGGTAGATGAGGTTGGACTACCTTTCATTTGTGGTAGATGAGGCTGGGCTACCTTTAATTTGTGGTAGATGAGGTTGGGCTACCTTTCATTTGTGGTAGATGATGTTGTAGTCTATAATTTGTGGTAGATGAGGCTGGGCTACCTTTAATTTGTGGTAGATGATGTTGTAGTCTATAATTTGTGGTAGATGAGGCTGGGCTACCTTTAATTTGTGGTAGATGAGGTTGGGCTACCTTTCATTTGTGGTAGATGAGGATGGGCTACCTTTCATTTGTGGTAGATGAGGATGGGCTACCTTTCATTTGTGGTAGATGATAATGGGCTACCTTTCATTTGTGGTAGATGATGTTGCTGTCTTTAATTTGTGGTAGATGATGTTGAGCTTTAATTTCTGGTAGATGATGTTGTAGTCTTTAAATTGTGGTAGATGATGTAGTCTTTAATTTGTGGTGGATGAGGGTTGACCATCTTTATTTTGTAGCAGATGATGTCAGGCTGTTTCTAATTGGTTGTAATGTTAAGTTGTAGTTTTTATTCTTTAAGGGAACATTTTGTTGATTGAGAAATTTAAAAGTGAAAGTCTGTGAGGTTTATTATTTTGTGAGATCTGTGTATTTTTTGAAAATGTATTTCTGCTAAGATATTTGCTTATTTTTGTGAACAAGATGTTGAAGTTGTGGTACAATTTAAAACAACATAACAAACAATATTTCACACAAATTAGATTTTATTTTGGTCACTGAGCGTTTATACAATTGTTTCAGTATGTATTATATATATCAGAAAAAAATACAACACCACATTACTCAGTAACAGTGTACAGCTAAATAAAATAATCACAATTTTTAATGGTATGAATGTTCTAGATGAAAGCTAAAAAGGACCAAAAATTGAAAAAGTATGTAAAAGGCTTATATTTAGAAATGTAAATAATTTCCTTTATTTATTGACTATTGTGTTATTTGGAAAAAGGTATTATATCTAATCTTGATGTGAACTACTGTTCATTTTTATAGTTCACTCAGACATACACTTTTTTAAATTACCAGTGTAATTTTTTTTTCACCTGTAATCCCAACACTGTCAGACAATAAACGTGATAACTTTTTTACACTGACAAAACCTGTTGCTATGTTTTTCTTCAACCCTTGTATTAAATAGTTATGTGTTTGATAAATTTTGGCTTCTGGTTGCCCTCCAACTTTGGCTTGGTGTGAAAGGATGAGTTCAGGGCTGTGACATGTTTCCCACTGAAGACAGTTGTTGTTAGTTTAGGAATACCTGTCTCATGGTACAGATCACTGTCAGAGACAAAAAAAGTTGAAAATAGTTTTGTTAAATAAATACAACAAGGTGATGGTAGGTTAGGGCAGTGAATGTTACGTAGTATTCAAAGGTATAAATTAAAAAAAATGAAACTAGGGAATTATCTAGAAGTTTTTGGGTGTGAACAATGTATCTAATCTTAAACCGGGTACATGTTTTATTTAACAATATCAACATAGCTAGAAAACTAGAGTGGCCAGTTTTTTTTTTTACTTGTTATATCTCTGTGTTATAAAAAAAGTCAAGGAAAATGTATAACATCCACTACAGCTGATCACTAAATGATTATGGTTGAGAAGTCATTTTCATAATAAACTAGCCAAGTCACAAACACCTCCACACTCTAAGTACCAAAGTCAATCATCTCTACATTCAAATTACTAAGATCCGTAGCTCCACATTCTAAGAATTAAAGTCAATGACATCCACATTCTAAGAATTAAAGTCAATCACCTCCACATTCTAACAATTCAAGTCAATTACTTCCACATTATTCCAAACTTAGCATGTTGGTAATTTCAATACAGAAAGACAACTTACTTGCTGTTATATGTTGGGTGGATTCTTGATGCATCAATAGATATTTCTTGTTTTTGTTTGGCTTCCTGTTAAATAATGTACATCAATTTTAACAAACTACATATTGCTTTTCATAGAGTAACATATACAACTTCAATAGTTGCTGAAAAACACTTATATTCTTTTTGTTCACATTCAATACAATTGTATTTTATTTTTGTGTAGCCTGTATTAGAAAATAGTGTGAATTATTATTATGTAAATTAGATTTTTTTCCAGTGTTCAATCTGTTTTATTATATTAAATGTATTAAGTTTAAAGCAATTCAAATTAGCTTAGCATTTTGAGAGGTAAATTTATTTATTGACCCCCATCTGGGTAGAAAATGTATTAGCCTTACCTTAAGCGAATTGAAGTTTGATGTTCTAGCCACAAACTCTGTGAAATCTGCTATAGCTTTTTCTTTCTGCCTTTGGTTTTCTCTAATCTAAAAAACAGAGGAAAGAAGTGAATTATAAGATTCATAACCACTAGTATTCGTAGTAATCAATTAAAATATATTTACTGTAGTGGTGTTTACCCATCAATTTTAGTATAGCCTACCTCTGCATAAAATTCTTGCTCCTCCAATACATCCTGATTTTTCTGAGCCTCCACAAGTTCCTGTTGAGTTGTGGACACAATCATAGCCCTTTCTTCTATAGCTCTGGAAATGGCTTCTAACGCCTCTTGATCTGGGGTCACTGGGCGCACATTTTCTGCCTGCAGTTCTTGAATAGTCTCTGACCATACCTCACCCATTTTAAAGTCCAGATACTTCTCTAGAATCACAATCGCATTTCATTCTATTACACAATTGGGCTTCTATGTTAGTTCATAACAGTTTAAGAAAAAGAAAGTTGTAAAAATTTTTAAATTTAACTGTTGTGTTGTGCAAGTAAGTTAAGGTAACTTAGATAACATTCAACATACCAATAACTGCTACACAACAAAAACTGATAACATTCAACATACCAATAATTGACACAACAAACACTGATAACATTCAACATACCAATAAATATGACACAACAAACACTGATAACATTCAACATACCAATAAATGTGACACAACAAAAACTGATAACATTCAACATACCAATATAACTGACTCAACAAACACTGATAACATTCAACATACCAATAACTGCGACACAACACTGATAACATTCAACATACCATTAACAGCTTCACAACACACACTGATAACATTCAACATACCAATAAATGTGACACAACAAAAACTGATAACATTCAACATACCAATATAACTGACTCAACAGACACTGATAACATTCAACGTACCAATAACTGCGACACAACACTGATAACATTCAACATACCATTAACAGCTTCACAACACACACTGATAACATTCAACATACAAATAAGTGACACAACAAACACTGATAACATTGAACATACCAATAACTGTGATTGTGACATGATCCTCCACAGTGAGCCCCAGCAGGTCACTGAAGCCAGTTTTACAGAAGATAGAATAAACTTTGGCCCTCATATTTTCCCCAACATCCGCTATGGCTGGGCTTACGTTGGATGCTGGAAGTGGCTTGGTCCCTATTTCAGCTTGTATGGCTCCCATCAATGGTTGACGTACATCTGTTACAGAACAGCAACAAAATATTAGGGAAATACAAAATAAAAGAGGTGAGCCTATATTTCCTAAAATGACACTTAATGTTAAAAGCTTTACCATTTATACTATAATATAGCATGTTCCTTTACTTGCAAAAGTATTAAATTTATTTAATCTAAACCATAAATTTCAGTAGTATTTTTTAGCAGTAAATAAAGTTAATCATAGATTCTAAAAGTTGAAGCTTTGTTTTTTTAATACCAAAAATGGCTCCTTGGTTATCCCTTTTAACTCCAATCTCATTCTCCTCATGTCGCCAAATCTGGCACAAGAGATGTGCAGCAGTGCACCCAGTCTTGCCTCTCCATGCCAGGATGTGGTTGACTGTCTTAGGGTTTTCACACAAATCAAGTAGACACCCAAGGATGACATTGTGCATGCTCTTTGGACATACCTAAAAATATTATAACAGCGTTAGTTAAATGAAGGAGGCTCATATTAAACTGTAAGTTATATTAAAAACAGGTAAATGAATGAAAGCTAATTCATTGTTATATTTACTTGTATAAGTCAAGATTCACAAGACAATAAATTAAACCAATCTCCTGACAAGTAAATTTGATAGTCTTGTATTTGTAACCTTTAGTTTCCACTTTACATATGCAATAGCATTAGTTTTGTATTTATAAACTTTAGTTTACAGACAATATCAGATTTACCTCCAATAAATCAAACAGCAGGAAGACACCCTCTTTTTCCAAGAAATAATCTTCTGTGATGAAACATCCAACAATACAGCACCTGAACAAATATAACTTTGATGATTATAATCAGACAAATTCAACTACATCTGTTTTACATTTATAAATGTTACTCATTTTCATGAGTTTGAAGTTTTTCAATGAGCTAATTATTTGTTTACATTTGTAGAGATTAATTTAAAATAAGTTGGAAGTATATATATGTAGACCAATCTATTATAAAGTAATATGAATTTATGTTTGTTATATCTGACAACAGAACTGTAAAAGTCGATTTTTTTTTATTCAGGTTTTTCTATAAATAGTTCTTGTAAATAAAAAATTCTATCTGTCAATCACTTTTAAAATTTTAAACAAGTTCAATCTTAATATTCATATATTCTAAGTTTTAGTCATACAATACTTGATGAGCCAAAAAGGTAAATGAAGGTGTTAAGCAGTGATTGACCAAAACAGTATGATTTATTATCATATTAATTAAAGTGACAATATATTCTATACTCAGTAAACAGGGTTGAACTGATTGGGTAGGCACATTAGAAGATGATAAGTTGCCAGATTTAGAAATGTGCCCTACATACCATGTGCAGTCAATAGAAGCTAACAGTAGTTTGTGGTGTCCTAACCCACTGTTTAAAAGTCTAGTATCAGTATGTAGATATCTGATGACTAGTTCCACGCCTTGAATACCAAACAGCTCCTAAAATATTGGTCAGATTCTCTTTAAACAATTATTTTTACCTTTAGCTGAGTGATACTTTTCTTAGTTAAAAAATCTTAAATAAAATAAACCGGTAGTGATCTCCCCTAAACTTTCTCGAATATTCTTATATAAAACAACAGGGGATGGTAACTGGGGATATAGTTATGATCTTTAATCCATTTTAAATACTGAAACTTTTAAAAATAGAATAGAATCTCAGTAAAAAACAATTGCGCACCAAGCGAACGCCTAATAAAGGTGTGTATAATAGTGCGCAATAGTATTAGTGCTTTATAAATTTACATTAGTTTTTTGAGAAATCGGAAGTAGCGTAAAGTACTACTTCCGGTCAACGGAAATTACTCGAAATTTAACAGAAGGTAGAGAATTAGATCTTTTACTTACATGTGAAATTTCATTTATCTATCTGAAATAGTACTCAAGTTATAAGCTTTTGAAAAATTCAAAGTAGAAAAAGTACCACTTCCGGTTATCCGAAATCGCTCAAAAGTTGATACGGATCTACGATTTTGATATAATACTTGTATATGAAATTTCATCAACCTAGCTGTAACGGTACTCAAGTTATCGTGTTTACACACGGACACACACACACACACACACACACACACACACACGGACACACAGACATACGGACAAGATTGCAAAATTATGTTTTTCCGTATCAGTGAGATGTAAAACGTCGAGATTTGCAAAAATCTCGATTTTTTTTTTTTGCACGATTACAAGACTTTCTCTATACTTCGTATATACGAGAAAGTAAAAAATTTGATAAGCAGCTTATGAGTTATTTCCCTTGATTAATGATTTAATACATTTTAGTTGTTTTCTTTATTTATTGCTTCACTTAGTATTTTGAATGGTTTAACTTTAATCTTGAATAGTCTAGATTGTGAGCTGACCTAAGATTTACTGGTTAGTGCAGTATAAATGTTTTAAGTACTAATGCACTTAATCCTATAATTTATATAAATCTTGAAATCTCTTAACAAGGTACAGGAACTGACATTTAAAAAATTCATAGAATATACCTTACAAATTCTTTAAGAAGATATTGTTTTAAACCTAAATGGAATAGATAATAAACTGCTAGCATTTCATAACCAACTCAAAAACTGTCAGCTTCAAATTACATTTCTTTTATCCTCTTTTAATCACTACTTCAACACAATGTGCTCATTATTTATGTTTTACTCATCTAAGATAACAGTGACTTTTTATGTGACAAACAAACCAACAAACATATCTGTAAGAATAAGCCCATACCTTTCTGTGTATGTCTTTCTCACACAGGCATGAGAGAATAAAAAGTATGTCTGTCTGCATCTCAATCTCGATAGCATCATGTTCCTCAATTCTCTGGTTAAATGCAGTATTCAAGACCCCTGTTGAAAACAAAGGCACAGTTTTGAAACATGTTTAATTGTTTTTTCTTATTTTTTTATATATCTAGTGAGATTGAAAGACTAGGAATAAATAATATAAGTGTTGTTTAATGACAAACAATATGATAAATTAAAAGCTACCTTATATTTGTTTTATTAAATGTATCTATGCTAATAGATCTCAGAATAAGCAACATAAGCCTTCTTTTTAATAAAAATCCTGGGAGACCACAGGAGCCAAAATGTTACAACTATTTGCAAAAACTAAAAGTTGATGGAGATCACTTTTCCAGTTGTATTTACTTTGTTAGGTATGTAATTTTTTTTTGAGTATGAGGTTATCTTGCAAAAATGCTGAGTGCAAGTGCAATTCAGAAAATAATTATTCTCAGATTTTTATTCAGTAAAGAAAACTTTAAAATAATTTTTATGCAAATGAAGTAAAAAAGGAAAGAAATAATAAACAGTATTTCAGTGTGGGAAAAATGTGAACATAAAACATGAAATTTCTTAAGATAGGCCTACTTACATTTTGTACATAAAGCTAAAGAGAAGAAATCATATTGACAATCCATCGTATAAGGCTGCTATAAAAATAAAACCAATATCAGAACTCTTCTGTAATTTTTGTACTAGTTTCTTAAAACCTCTAAAAATATTTGCACTGACCTATCATCTGGTTAATGGCGCCCTGATCAGTTAAGTCTTGTAGCAGGTTATCATCTCCCACAGAGACCACAGCGCGCAACAAACGAAGACAATGTCTCATCTGAGCTTTCTTTGTTCCTCTGCCCCCAGTTCCATGGAAGCTGTTACCTTGTCCACTAAATTCTTCTGTTTAAACATAAACCATTTTATCTTCAGTACAGTCAAAAAAGTGAAAGAAACTTTATTTACTGTAGAAAACTTTGAAAATCCTTTATTCTGTTTACTGTTTAAAATTTTGTAGTTTTGCAAAAAAAAAAAAGAAAGAAAAAAGAACCAAAATAATAAATATATTTTAACCCTTTAACTTTAATTCCTTGAATCATTTAAAAATCAATTATCTGCATCACCAGATTATTAGATTATTATCTCGAGCAAAATCTAAATACTTTAAAAACAAGTAATTTCATTTACAAGTAAAATATCGTTAAAAAGAATTATATGTTTAAGTGGGTGGTTTAACCTAACATTACCATTTAAAAGGCAGGTAGTTATCTACAAATATTTTACCACTAAATTAAATAAAGCAGTTCAGACCTGGCCCCACACACCACTCCAGTAACAGAAGCAACCTTGTTGAGCCTTGGCATGTCATGTAGTCCTCTAGCATCAGAGGACAAAGTGTGCACAATGATGCCATGGCGTGAAGCTGGAGTTCTTCAAACTGGGCTGGACTCCAGTCTCGAGGTTCAGCTTTCTGGTCATTAGCCCGGACAAATGAAAACAGGGCCAGCAGCAAATGACCTTCTGACAGAATCTGTGGAAGGTACAAAAAAATTATTAGTTAATTTATCTGATTTCAACACACTTAAATTTAAGTTCTAATTTATTTAGTATTCACACAAATATTTAACAGTATCTATGAAATGTACAAAAAATGATTATACAATCAGTGGCGGAACTAGAAAAAAGGGGCTCCCCCGCAAAGAAAAAATTAGGGCCCCCTATATATATATATATATATATATATATATATATATATATATATATATATATATATATATATATATATATATAGGGTAAAGGAGGGCGTTAAGAGCCACACTTTTTAGCACCTGTACATTTTTAAAGATTTCTACTAATCTAAGAATTTTTTAGTATTGAAAATATGGCAAAATTATTCTAACATATCTTACACAATATAAAAATAATAACAAAGTCTATTAAATATACTTTAAATGGGTTTAATTGAACATTTATTGTCATACCCCCAAAATCAGCATTTGGGGTGAAAGGAGCCGGGCAATGGGGCAATAAGTATTATCTCCTAGTTTAGACTAACTCCGCAATAAAAATAATTAATTTCTACCCCCAAAATAGTTAATGCTGTGTACACACACTTTAACTGATACTAGCTATCACTAGGCCCCAATGGGCCCAGTCTACAATTGATACAATTGCAGGTGTACATAGGGCCTAAGCCCTAAAGTCTAGTAGTTTACAGTAGGCACATTAGTATGCCTAGTGTGTAGCTAGTATACTAGTGTGTAGCTGTCCAGAGTTAACATTCTTGTATGTAAAAAGGGGTGGTACTAATCTGCCTTAATGCTTTCCCCTGATAAGCCATGTGTGCTATATTACATAACATGACATGGAGGTGAGAAATGTTGAGGGGAGAGCAGTTGTACTGGTTTCCCCTTTGTTCTCCTTGCTGGACCCTGAGGGCCATAAATTACATAAGGAGATGCTATCTCTGGTTGGCTGAGATCTAAGAACTAAGTCCATGCTACCTACAAAGAGACAAGTTTTATGGTGGGTTAGATACAGGTGGGGGCTGGGTATCATGAGGGTGAGAAATTGTGAGGGGAGAGCAGTGGTACTGGTTTCCCCTTTTTTTCTCCTTGCTGGACCCTGAGGGCCATAAATTACATAAGGAGATGCTATCTCTGGTTGGCTGAGATATAAGAACTTAGTCCATGTTACCTACAAAGAGATGAAGTTTTAGGGTGGGTTAGATACAGGTGGAGTCTGGCTTTCATGGAGGTAAGAAATTGTGAGGGGAGAGCAGTGGTACTGATTCCTCTTTGGTCTCCACCCTGCTAGACCATGAAGGTCATATATTACATAACATGCCACCCCCCCCCCCCCCCCCCCAGTTTTCTGAGATCTGTAACTGTAATCCATGTTACCTACAAAGAGATGAAGTTTTATAGTTGGCCAGAAACTGGTGGGGGCTGGGTATCATGGGGGTAAGAAATTGTAAGGGGGGAGCAGTGGTATTAATGTGTCTGTTTACTTCCCTGCTGGACCATGAGGGTCATAAATTACATAACATACCACCCCAGATTGGCTGAGACCTAAGAGCATTTATTCCTGTTACCTACAAAGAGATTAGAAGTTTTATGGTTGGTTAGAAACAGGTGGGGGCTGAGTCGGCTGTATTGCCCCTTAGGGGTAATAAGTACTTGTACCATTTTAAAAATTACCTTGCTAACATCAGATGGCTGAATTTTTACTTTTTAGCAGGTTAGAATTGTATTTCTATCATTTAGACACAAGTCTGTTTAACAATTAATACATTTTGTGTTAACTTTTCCTATACCAGTGTCATATTCAGTGGTCTAATAAATGAGAAACTTGCACTTAGGGTTTCAAGAGCCACATAACAGTATCTGTTATAACTTTTATAAACAGGCAAGCTAGTGGACAAAATTAATGTATTCATGTAGATTTAGTTATTATCTAACAAATAAAACCATTATGGTAATGATCAGTCAAGTTTTACTCTGATAATGATAAAAACTTTATAGCATGGTAAAATGGGACAAATGTCGGCCATTTTGTTTTGGCACCAATAATCACTGTGCAAAAAAAATTCACCAAAATAAAACTATTCTAGCCATAGCTATAAAAATAGTGTTAAAATGTACAACAACCAATGTTCTAATACAGGAACAAAGAATGGGCTTGAAAAACTCATTTGGTTTATTACAAAGTAAAGTTTCCTAAGTTATGTCTATTTGGAAAAAAAGTTCACAAAATGGTTTTATTGAGATAAGAAATTTTAGGGAAAGAGCAGTGGGATTAAACCCTGTCTCATCCTCTCCCTATTGGACCAAGTGGGTCATATATTACATAAAATGAATCCTCTGCTTCTCTGTTACCAAAGAACAGCAGTGGTTGTTACCTCAGAAGTAGATTAGCAGTGTTATTGGGGGTTTTGTGGGGGTGGGGTGTTGATTGGGGCTTAATACCACACGGCTCTTAACGCCCTCCTTTACCCTATATATATATATATATATAATCTATTTATATATAAATCTATATATATATAAAATCTATATCCTGAGTAATTAAGTCTACTTCATTGCAATAAATAACCATTCTGAGAAAACAAACCAGACAAATTTAGTCCAAACTCATCTTGGGTTAGAAATAATCATGGCCACTACAATTCATGCTGCTCAAAAATATATAAAGACGTAAGCTTGATTCGAGAATGGTTTCTCGCGTTATGTTTATTTTTTTCATTTTTGGCTTTTACAATATCAATTTTGAAAAAATTGATTTTATAGCTATACCACGGTTTATAACGTCTTATTTAAATAACAATTCAGAGAATCAATTGCTTTTTAATATACATAGTACAAAACTATTTAAATGAGCTTCGTGGGCATACCTATTTTAAAGAAGGGCAGTAAGTCATGGAAGTAGTGTGAATGTTTGCCTACCTTTCAAACTATAGCTCTTGTAGATATTAAAATATTTTTCTACGCAACAATCTCTGCTATAGTAGACCTGTTTTTTTTTATACAAAACCACTTTCAAGATGCATGAAAAACATAATTTTTGAAAAAAAAAACCCATTGTTTTTTGGTCGGAACTGGGCCCCTAAACGTCCTGGGCCCCCCCGCATTGCGGGGTCTGGCGGTATGGTAGTTCCGCCCCTGTATACAATAGTTAATATGATGCTATGGTTATACTCATGTTACTAAAAGAACTCTAAAAGTCAAGACTTCACTACATCATGAACCATGTGGAAAGATGAGATTTCACCACAAAGAATGAAGGACACAAAAAGTGTGAGGCTATTCATGAGTCACTAAAGTAATAATTTTGATTCAATACCATTCAAATACCATTTAGTGGGATGACTTTTTTGGTGCACTATTAAATCTTTGTTTTAAACATATCTAAAAAAAGATGTATGCCAGGTCTATTTGTAAATTAGATGTAATTAAATAATAAATAAAAACTTCACTAAATCAAATGCATTTATATATCTTGTCAAAACAAAAAAACCAAGGATTAAATTATTTTCTTTGATAAACAAACATTCTTACAGAAACAACTGTCCTGTCTTTGCTGAGAACTACTAAAATATTGATGAGTAGTTTACGGAGCTCAAAGTCTTCATGGTTTGTCTGGAGTTTAAGGTGGCGCACAAGAACATTGTGAGATTTCACTGAAAATAGACAGTGCTCATAATCAAACACAAATGGTGAATAATCCTCTCACATTATTTTTTTATTTAGGCTATTTATTTATTTAATAATGTACAAGATGTAAAATACGCTATAAGAAGAAATTACCCTCCTGAAAAGTGGCAAATAGTGTTAACTGCTTGGCAAATCCTGTTTCAACAAAGGGTGCTTGTGGGCATTGATAAGCAACCAGTGTGGCTATCACTAGTAGATCATTCCTTAGTTGCCTGTCATAATGGCTGTATCCTTGGGTCATTTCATACACAAAAGCGTCTCGCAACTGACTAATAAAAAAAAACAAAATCTTGCAGCTTGGGAAACTTATTTACAAGCTTGTAGAAATATAAACCAATACCATTTTAGACTTGATGATATAAAAAAGTAAAAAAAAACAAACATGAAATATAGATCTACATACATGTTGAGAAAAAATATCAAATTTATTTATCAAGCTAATCTGATCATTATTTAATAATTATTCAATTTGTAAAAATAGGCCTATATATTACAAATAAATGTCACTATATTAATTCTCAAACAAGAGAAGATATAATAATAATTTTAACCTCCCAAAAAAAAAAAAGAAAATTAGAGTAATTGATATAGTTTATATCATAGATGTTATAGATGATCACAAGGGAAGATGAAGTAGAACACCTGTTTGTATGACCTTGGCATGTAAATGGATAGTGTAGTCTGTTTTGTGCCCAGCTGCTTTACTTACTCTAATGCCACTAGAGATAGGTGAATTTATGGCTGTCCTATGGTCTTGAGCACTATATATAATTTTTTTGCTTGACTAGTGAAAAGGAATTTACCTGATGCATATTAGGTTGTTGAGTTGGCTGGCAAGCACAGCTGTGTCTCCTTTATCCATCAAGTTCCACAGAATGTCGACTGATCGAAACAAAAGTTGGCCACTAGGGTCAGCATCCATGAGGCGAGAACAAATCCTTCGCCCTCCATCAACATGTAAAATTTGATCACAGTTTTTTGCTACAATTGAAACAAACAATTCCACATTTACCAAAGATTCAAACAGAAAATATTTTTTTTAGCTTGATAAAACATATAATTGGTATAACTCCTTTATTAGATTGAAGATATTTAACTCTAAAAGCAACAACTGCATGTAATTAAAGCTGATTAGTTTCTAACACTGAGAATTGTATCTAATATGATTTATAGCTCACCAGAATTTTTAGAAAAATGCTGTAAGATTTCTAAAACCTTGAGTTTTACAGCCAAATCTGTTTCCAGCAAGGCTAAAGCCTGGTGACAAAAGAAAACTTGACTATATATTTTGTTTTGGGTTCAAACTTACAACTGTCTATAACAAAGTTTTACATATAAATGTTTCTTACTTTTATTAAAGTTTCTGAAATATCGCTGATTTCTATCATCTTGTTATTAAATTTTAAATTAGTTGGTTTCAAGTCTGAAAATAAAATTGATTAAAACTGTATAAACTATCCAGCATTAAATGTTTACATCAGTAAAAAGTCTATGGATGTCAAATAATAAGCAGACTTCCATTTATGTGAACAGTCAGAAGTTGTCTTTAAAATCTGTAAACATCAAACATGTTAAGATAATGAATTAAAATTATGAGACTTACTAATAAATTCTTGCTTGCTTTTGATAGTTGTAAAACTGAGCAATGTGCTGCATATTTGGTTTCTTACTTCAGAACTGGGAATTCTCATCAAGTAGCCTACATAAAAAAAAAACCAATTCCACTTGATGTTACATGATTTAAAAAATTCCCACAAATGTAATCAATCTGAAAATTTTACTTTTAAGTTTTTGTGAACTCTTGAACTAAGTGATAGTGTTCACCTAAATAGACCTACACTGTACGTTGGCAGTTGACTTGTATGTGTGTATGTAGGCGTGGAGTGTACTAGAGTCCACACTGACCAAGCAAGTTAGATGTTCGCACTCTCCCTGATATTAGTGCAGCCAATACAAAACAGTTTTGAAGGAATCATTTTTAAAACTTGAAGTTACAAAAACAAATTTGATTTAAAAACAACTCACCCAGCTGTGATATAGACTCAACCACTATCTGTTCATAAACCAATTCATCTGATGCTTTTTCCATTAAAAATGGGAGGCTACACAGCTTCAGAATTTCTAGAATTGGCTTTTCGTAAACAGGGTTAGCATCTACTCGATCAGCACAAATGTTCAAGATTTTAAAAAGCTGCACCAGATCTTTCATTGGCTGACAATGGGTTAAGTAAAACATGTATTCTAAAAGTTAATGAAGTGTTATTGTAGAGATTTTTTTATGTACGCTGCACAGCAATACCTAGTTACAAAAAAATTTCTTAATGCTCTTTACTCATATTAAGCAAATACATTTCAATTTACATCACAAAGTATAATAAACCGGGAGTGACCTCCCCTAAACTTTCTCGAATATTCTAATATAACACTACGGGGGATGGCAACTCGGGATATAGACTTCTAGACATGATTTTTAATCCATTTTAAATACTCAAATTTTTAAAAATAGAATATAATCTCGTAGAAAAAAGAAATGCACACCAAGTGAACGCTAAATAAAGATGTGCATAATAGTGCGCAATATTATTAGTACTTTATAAATTTACATGCGTTTTTTAAGAAATCGGAAATAGCGTAAATAAGTACTTCCGGTCAACGGAAATTACTCAAAATTTGACAGCAGGTAGCGAATTAGATCTTTTACTTACATATCAAATTTCATTTATCTATCTGAAATAGTACTCAAGTTATAGGCTTTTGAAAAATTCAGAGTAGAAAAAGTACCACTTCCGGTTATCGGAAATCGCTCAAAAGTTGATACGGATCTACGATTTTGATAAAATACTTATATATGAAATTTCATCAACCTAGCTGTAACGGTACTCAAGTGATCGTGTTTACACACGGACACACACACACACACACACAGACATACGGACAAGATTGCAAAATTATGTTTTTCCGTATCAGTGAGATGTAAAACGTCGAGATTTGCAAAAATCTCGATTTTTTTTTTTGGACGATTACAAGACTTTCTCTATACTTCGTATATACGAGAAAGTAAAAATGTATTAAAACTACAAAAAATAAAAATGTAAGGATACAAATCCTTTGGAAAACTGCTTGGTCATTTTGATAAGAGCATGGACATGTCTTTCAAACAGCATCTCCTGAAACATTTAAATTTATGAAAACTATTTGGAAAACCCAACCAATCATTAGGGTTAAGACTGGGTAATCAGCTAATTTTACCATTTAAATTTCATGACATTAAAAAATAATAAATAACATAAAAAGAAAAGACAATTTAGGTTTTGATGTGCATAGGTGTTAGCTGCCTACTTTAACTCACATACTTTTACAGATGAGATGACTAACGACTTTGGTTCATATTAGCAACTTTCCCAAACTCAGACCAGCATTTTTCTAAACCTAAAATCTAATGACTAGGGTATCAGCATTACTATTTATAGAAATATGTGTTATAGATGTTAAACCAGTAGACCTACTTGATAAAAACTGAAAAGCTAATACATACCGAATGTGGATCTGTAAGTAGTTTGACAATTCTTTTGAAGTTGACAGGCTGTTGCTTGCCATCCTATAAAAAAAACATACATAAACTCAATTTGTGTCATTACTTACTAATTTTCTTTTCAAACACTTACTACAATAGTATTTTAGTAGTCATTGCAATACCAAACATTTTTCAGTAATTTTTTTTTTTCAGTAAATCTGATACTAAATACGAGGCCATTCTGTATTGTATATATAGGTGTTTTCTTCTGTGTATATTATGGTGTCAAATTTTGAGTACTGATAATATAATTTAAAAAAATCCAGTACACTCTACTGTGACTAAAGATCATCAAAGCAACATTTTTTAAAAACATTAAAATCTGTAAATCAATAATAGGTCTAAGTCTATAGAAATAAATTATTATTTACAATGTAAATCAAAATCTGTAGACTAGTCAAGTACTATAACGAATAAGACCCAACTAGAATCACTTGCTTTAATTAGTAAATGAAATATGTATGTTTCAGTCAAGACTAGTGTAGTAGACTAAAGTGAGTTCACTCAAGTTTTCTGAAAACAGGGTTCTAATATTACTAATAATAGAAATAATTAGTAATAATAATGTATTATTTCTTACAGTTTAGTTTAGATTTAAAATATTAAATAGCACATTGCTTAGTATTTAATAACCTTTTTTAGCCTACTTAATTTTATTCTAAATTTTAAATGAGGGCATATTTTCTTGGTCTTAGGTCCCTAATAAGGAAATAGTAATTAGGCAAGCAATTACTATTTGCTACTTGAATTTATTAAATTAAAACAGTTTTCTAAAATGCAAAATAATGGCTAAATTAGTTCTCTAACATAGCTTTTTATTATGCACAATTGTGACATACCCCTCCCACTCATTACACACCGTCACAAAAATAGGCACCCCCTCCCCCTTCGAGTGTGATGTCATTTATGGACGACCCCTAATACAATAATAACTTATAAGTAAAACACCTAGTCTACTTTTAACTTTTAAATTATTTTTTTATGCTAATGACTAAATAGTAAAAGTAGATTTAATCTAAATCTAATAATTAATTCTGATAGTTAACAAACTGCAGGCCTACTTTTAACTCTTCTAACAAGTTAGCCTAATTAGTAATTAATTAAAACATATTAGGCCTACTAATTAATACTATACTTAATGTTGATATTTACTTATTTTACTATTAACCCATACCTTTAACTCTAATTCAGTTTAGTATTTATAATATTTTTTATTGATTTTAAAAAGTTAAGAAGTTAGTTGTTTTTATAACTTTAAATTATTTTAATTTTAGCAAACCTCTTTACCTCAACAATCCCCAAATCATTATCTGTGATTATATGTGTAGTAACAACAGGAATGGTCGCTCGTTCTTTTACCGCGTTACTATTAAGCTTTTTAAGGGGATAGTTTGTCTGAACTAACGCCATTTTAATTGAATGTTTACAGATTCATCAAAACAATATCAATTAGCCCAACTCAGTGAACTCCAGATTGTAACAACACAGTCCCCGCCATTTTGGTAAACATATCACTAAGGAAACAATATTGCATTATGGTTTAGTATAACATTGCTAATTTAATGTTTCATATCCACTTTTTTAAGGTCCATTAAGAAACATCGAAATTTAAAGGCTCTAATAATAGATATTTGGGTTGCGATTGTTTTTGTGTGTGTTTGGATTAAAAAGTCTAAAAATACTTAACATAATAGACAACTACGGGACTAATTTTTATTCTACAGACAGGGCAAAAAATGTGTAGTGACTGAAAGAAACAAATCTCTGTAACTCTGTGTAGGTCTACTGCTACCACTAACAAATATTAAATATATATTATGTACCGAACTTATTATAAGTTAATAATGTGTGCATGATTTAATTAAAAATGTAGTTTGATAGTAAAAATTTAAGCAAAGGTAGGCCCCTATATTAGAAATTTAAAAATATTTTGTTCACATTATTATAGACAATATTGAAAAGCTCAACTTATTGGTTTGTTTTTCCATAAATTTATTTGGCAAGTAGCGCGTTTTTTCAACAACTGAGTGACAACTTGCGTACACATCACAAAAACTTACTTCTCTGTCTATAGATTTCTAGATAGAACTAGATCTAGATCTATATCTAGAATCTAGTTCTAGATCTAATCTAGATCTCTAGATCTTAGCTATAGTCACACAGCGGTATAAACTATAAACAATCGTCCGCGTAACTAATTAGTAATTTTACACATTACACACACAAGACAATGACACACAACTAATGATTAATCCTCTTATCTTAATGAAGTTACACTTGTCTAAAAATCCCAGCAGACGCACATTTTGATTCTCACTCACAATGCAGCTCTCAATTCCATTCTATTTAGATATAGATCTAGATCTAGTCTAGATCTAGAAGTCTAAAATAAATGGGTAGCTCCAGCATCAGATCAGATGATCCAAGGCCATGGCCATGGGGAGCAATTCACTATTCTTTCAACAAACAACAAATAGATATAGAATTCTAGATCTTTCATTACTTTTGACTTTAAGCTAGACCCCTGTGTATAGTATAGTGTATATACTATACATGTGAGCTTTATTGTTGTGAGTGATCTGTAGTAAAGAATACTAACCATTTACAGTTCGAGGGCTGATAGTCAGATTTCATTCAGTTCATTCACGCTTTATAGTTAGGCGAATATTGTTAATAATTATTATAATTACACTAGTGGACACCAATGGGGGTAGAGCACCATTCTTTCAAAAAACATGTACCCCCACCTGGGGCATAAAACGTGTTCACCAACTAGCACAGTTAAAAAAATATATTTCCTTAGACTTTAGACTATGGGTCTACTGTAGACAACCATTCTTCAATTGAAGAAATCAAAGGATGACCACTGCAGTGTAATAGCTTTGTAACTGCTGGTAAAAAAGAATGCTTTCGGCTATGAATAAAACACTTGCCCTCACTGGTTCAGATGCTGCAGAGTTAGCTCTAAATAGGTACATCAATTTATTGTTATATCATAATAAAATTAATAACTTCTTTGATATTAGCTATAAGCCCACCATAGGCTACTAATATTGAGTCCTTGTAGATGATAATATGAAGAAAATAAAACTGACAATTAATTCACTGGAAATGTAGGCTAAAGCAAGATTTTAAAGTCAATAAGTAGCCAGGTTACTATTTGGAACTTAAAAGCTATTTTAATTTAAATGATTTCTTTTTTCCACAGAGAACATCTTCCCAAAGAAGTTTACTTGACAATTAAGGGTACACTATCATCTATTAGTAATATATTCAAGTAAGGATAAAATTAGTAATGAATGCATAGCAATTACAAAATCTCTGTGTATAATTTACTGTTTAAGATGATAGTAGTTATGTAACACCTTAAAAATCAACTTAAAAATAGTGATAAGTTCAAAAGGTTATAGTTCACTACTATCACTAAATGGGACGGGAGGGCAGAGAAGTTGAGTACTTGACTGATGACCCAAACGTCTAAATTTCAGTTCTCTGACTATGAATTCCACCCAGCTTATGTTAGGGAATGTAAAGCTGACTGGACATAGTGCTGACCACACTATCCCATTATATTTCATGGTCAAGCAACATGAACATTTGCCCAATGGGCTGTCAAGGTCTAAAAGGATAGCTTTACTTTTTGCTTTTAAAACACTGACAGCTGTAAAAATATTTTTGTATCTACAGAGTGAAAAATGATGCAATGTTTATAATTGAAATAGATAGCTGCACATATTTGTTAATCAAGGTAAGCTTCAAGAGAGAATATAAACAGCATTTAATGCATTGCTAATTAGTAAGTTTAAAATCTTTTTAAAAGTAATTGAAATAAAAAGAATTTAAATTAAAACAAAAAGAAGATAAAAATATATATATAAAACCATAGACTATCTGCTGCTAATTTATATCAAAGGTTAATTTTTGTAATTTGTTTAATATAAAATCTGTAGGTGTATTTGTATAGAAATGCATATTTTCAAAAATAGAGTTTTATTAAATGATTATTAGTACATCATTTTATCTTATAATTAACACCACAATAGCTATTACTGTATTTATTTACCAATATCAATGCTTTTTAGTTTTTCTAGATTTTTACCTTTAATTAAAAATGTAAACAACATTTATTTTCAGAATGTGCATCTTGAATGGCATGGAAATTTTGAAATAGGACAGCAGTATGTATTCCACAGTGTTCGAATCACAACACTAAAAAAGGTACTCGTGTCATCTTTGTAAGAAAACTTGTGAATAGGACCTAATGCAAGCAGGGGTGAAGCACTAATGTATGACTACTGGTAGGGGTCAAGTGCTTATAGAAGTGGTACACGCTGTACTGTAGTGATAAAATACTTGATGATTATTAAAAGTAATTACTAATTATAGGATAGATCATTTTACAGAGTTTTTACTATACATAAAACACATGGGTATTAAAGCAAAAAGAATGACAGCAGTTTTTCTATTGTACATTTCATTCTGACATAAGAATTTATTGATCCAAATAATTTTTAATCCAAATCAATAGATGCCATCTTAACGTAGCAACCTTTCTTCTAGGGAATCCTTCGACCCCAGACAATATATTGGGCATGCTTTGACAGCTCATATTCTCTTACTGGTCCGGGTCATCAAATACCTGTAGTTCCATTACAGGTTAGAGATTGGCCTATTTAATACAGTAATGGAAGTTCAAAAAAGAAACAAACTATATTTTTAAATGTAAAATTTATTGAAAGTTGATCATATTTTTACTACTGAAAACACAATTAGAATTAAGTATCCAGTAATCTTCAAGGACTTTGTATCTATAAACCAGGTATGGATGGAGATCAATCAAATACCTAAATCATGTTTCCATGGGAACAGAAAGCCAATTGAACTGAGTGACCGAATGGATGAGGAACCAAGCCTGATACACTACCAGGTTTTTAAAGAGTTTGACATCAGATACTTAAGCTACATTTAAACTATCTTAGATGATAGTAAACATTGCTTTAACATGAACTAGATAGTCATCAAAGTGAAATGTCTGAACATAAAAATGTTCAGCTTAAAATAGGTTTTTTTTGTTTAAAGAGAATAAGTTTTCTTCTAGAACAAAAATAATCTAAAGTTTGATAAATATTTTGATAAAATTCTTTATACTTATGTATATTTTTAGAAGTGTGTTTCATTTTGAACAGAAATATTCCTTCACAGGGTATCATCACATCATGCGATAAGGCTGGTCTTTACATACTTGATAATAATGTAAGGTGAGTTGTTCATTCTGTGTTAGTACCACAGACATTCTTTTTCAGTTATAATTATCCTTTAAAAACTAATACTTTTTTTGTACTGTGAATAGAATATTGATCTCCTATAAGAATACACAAATGGACTCAATTGATTTATTGGGACTTTATTTTTTATGCCACTGAATCATGCCACTTAATATGTTATTAATCCTCTTTGAGACATGTTTAATTATCTTCTTCTGTATGATATAAATTACCCATGAATCAACTAACACATGTAATTTACATTCCCAGACTTTACTTTGGTGGGTTTCTCTCAATTGAAAAACAGCAGATGTTAAAACAACATTTGAGGATATCTGTTTTTAATGTTCACTGTATAAAGGTAAATCTAGATTTTATTTAGGAATGGGTTACTGCCCCTGAATGACAAAAATCAGCACATTTGACTTCATGATGTAAAAAACAAAATTTACTGAACTTGATTACAACTGCTGGTCTGAATAGTTTTCATTGATTTAAGGTAGCAGCTCCATTCTAATTTATAAAAGTGGAGTGGTGATATAGTGGTAACCTCTTTTGGTTTACTATGCGCTGGATATATTCAGGTTAGTTGGTTATTTTAAATATTTTTTCTTATTCTCTAGGAGGACTCTGATCAGACTCTAGTCTTCTGTGTGAAAAGCAGCTACAAACTAGAGGACAATGCTGACTCTGCCCCAGTTCTATACATCACCAGGGAGGTAAGATGTTGAGTAGGTCATAGTTTGCACGTTTTATTACTCCTATCAACCATTTTTATGGTGCTTGTATTTTTTTTTTAATAATGCTCATCCCCAGGAGCAAGAACTGAATGTAAGTGAAAACTTTAAAAAATTCCAATTGAACTGGGGAGAAATGGAAACAGTTACAGCCATCATTAAAAAATTGTCACGTCTCGGATGGTAAGTCACAATCTTCACCATTTCATAGCAAACTTTGATTGTGACTACATTTGAACCACTCATTGATTTCTTTAATCTCACTGCCTAACTGTACCAGGGAACTCACACAATAGTACAAGTTTGACATTGTTTTCTGTGTACAAAATATTTTTTCTGTCAATATCAGGCAACAAAATGGGCGGTCAGCAGAGACCATAAAGATGCTCCAGAGGTTTCTCCTCTCTCATGTACAACTCCCTAGTCTCCTGGACTGCTTCATCAACCATAACCTGTTTTGTCCTTTTACAAATTTAAAGGTAAAATACTATGGATTAAAAGTTCTGTTCTTATTCTTAATGTTAGCTTCTGAATTACTTAAATACTTTTCATCTGAAACATCTTAGCATACATTAAGTCTTGGGTCAGAATACACTAAATGACAAAACTTCTAACATGAAGATACACATTTACATTTACTTTAACTACACATCAGTTTAATTAGGAAGTTGCTATTTAAAAAAAAATAATCTTGAAATTTTAACTGTTTTTTTTTTGCTTAAGAGCTAAACATTGTTGTAAATTTAAAATTGTTTCATTGGCATTTTAAAATTTATTATAATTAAAATTTAGCAGAATAGACTGCCAGTGCCTTTGGATCTTTTCACATTTAGAAAAGAGGAAGTTATAAATTTACATTTACCACTTTCAAGTTGCAATGCTGACAAAAGCAGCAGAAGATGGAGTTTTAAAAGTGGTCACTCAAAGGCAAGCACAGTTACTTATCCATAACATTAAATGTTTGAAAATTTAGTTTTTATTACTTCAAGAATGATTCAAGTATATTCTAGTAGTCAGGAATAAAGTACATATTGTAGTCATGGATAAAATAGTATGGTACTGAATTTATGTATCTGAAAGTATGTAACAGTAGCACTAGACGACTCATGCACTTTGTTTCACCTTTCAGACAATTGTTGGCCAGCTTGTGATTTCTGCATCAGGTCAGGTGGAGCTGCGTGATGAAACAGATGTGTTCCCAGTGCTGGTGTTAGCTAGCGCTGATGACAGGCAGCACTTGTGCTGTCGTGAGTGCTTGCTGCAGCCAAAGCCTGGCTGTAAGCTGACCTGTTCCGTGCTGGACACATGGATCATTGGCCAGTTTGTTTTAGTGCAGGAGTTTGATGTGGTCTTGGAGAACTGGTCTTCAGAGAGATACACCTCCAAAAGGTTGGACAAACAATTTGTGTATTTAATGTTTTCCTTGAAAGATTGTTTTTTCCTTGGAAAACCACATCAGGCCTCTGCTGTCTTGCAGTTGCCATTTCCGTTAAGCTTGCCTGGACACAAAACATCAGCTAATGAAAGCCAAATTCTGTTTTATTTTTATGTGTTTGAAAAACATCCACTTTTGTTTAGCAGTGTAGAGCACGACCAGGGTCAGTTTAAAATCACAGGCTACAAACTGTCCATTGATGAAGGGATAAAACACTTTGGATGGGGTGATGAAAGTAGATTAGTGGAAGCAAGTCAGACACCAAGGGAGATCAATCTAAAAGAAAGACAACCCATGATGATAACTTTTACTGAAGTGAGTCTGTATGGAGTGATAACACCGGGGCATGTGTACAAGTTGATGCTGAAAGACAAAGCTGGATTTGTTAATGACTTAAGCAGTGGTTTAGTGGATGGGAAGTTACAGAAAGCCATAGCGACCTGTAAAACATTGTTGAACATACAAGCACCTAAAGGTCTAATTGTGTCACGTCTGGCGCAGCCTGTGATAAAGTTCACTGGACTAACACAGTCTGCTGTGTATTCTGTTCATGATGTTTTAGCACAAAGGTAGGTTTTGTTTTGATAGTGTTGCATTTTTTATTAGCTGAAACTTCAGGCTGATACATTTCTTCATGCCATAGATCAAGTGATTAATTTAAAAATAAAAATTTAGTTTTACAGAAATGATTGTGTCCTTCCGTGGTATCATAATAGAGAGAGAAGTTGGGCCCTCCTTCTTCGGCATGTCTGCTAGTGAAAACTGTAAGTGTTGAAAACATTTTTTGTGACATCAAATTATAAGATGTTCCTATTTATTTATGTTCATTCATTTTCCTAGAATTTTCAAGTTTGAAATGTTTTTTTAAAGATATACTACATTTTTATCAATATTTTGATTCTAAAACCAACTTTCAAACAAAACAAACTTGATGCAGGTATCAGCTTGAAAGTGATAGATGTAAGCTGTAATACTGATAGGATTATGGTGTATTGTGATGTGCCAATGGTTGCCAGCCAACTGGGCTTAATCAAAGGTAAGAGGGGAGACTACTTGTGAGTTGTGTGATGTTAGCTAGACAATTTGTGTGATGTTTTATGTTAGCTAGATATTTGTGGGATGTTTTATGTTAGCTAGACAATTTAGGTGATGTTTTATGTTAGGTATACATTTGTGGGATGTTTTATGTTAACTAGACAATTTACGTGATGTTTTATAAGTTAGCTAGACATTTGTGGGAGGTTTTATGTTAGGTAGACAATTTGCGGGATGTTTTATAAGTTAGCTGTTTGGCATCATGGTTGGATGGTAGAGCATACAACTGCTTATCAGACAGTCTCAAATTTGAAGCCCGGGTTTGAGAGTCCCCTGACTCACGTTAGGGAAAGTAAAGATGGTTTGGCATAGTGCTGACCAGATTGTCCCGTCATATGCTGATGTCACTGAAACAGGTGAACTCTACTTCACCTGCCCTATGGATCGTCAGGCTCGAATGGGTAGTTTACTTATTACTGAGTTATATGTTAGTAGGACAATTTGTTACATGTTCTGTAATGTTAGCTTTTAAATTTATTTCATGTTGTATGATGTTAGCAAGACCATTCATGCGATGTTGTAGTTGTCATATTTTGTGATGTATAAGCTTCGGTAGACCATTGATGTAATTTTTCTCTGTCAGGATCTGAGATTGTCTTTGGTCAGCTGGAGAGAAAAGTGTCCAAAAACGGGTTTGTTTACTGTCGGTTGAATGTGACCTCAAGTGTAAAAATAGTTGCCCTTCACCCTGACACCAATAGGTGAGTTGCTGTCGGCCATATTTTTGTGAGAGAGCCTTTAAATCTGTGGTATAGAGCTGGTTGATTGTCTAAATGATTACTTAGGTAATTAATTAAGAATTATTTTGTAGAGATGAGAAATGTTGGATAAGGAATGGACCACTCCCTCTATAATTGTTTTGTTATTTGAATAAAAATGCATGTGTAATTATTTTAAGCACACCATGTTTGTTTGAGTAGATTGTGTAACACACTGAGCTGTGACACCACCACTTGCCTGTTTGACATTTGGTACCAGACTGAGGCTGACACATGCAAGCAGTGGTCTATCTCTGCATATGTCAGGACATTTTTCAAGCTCAGCTTACAGAATGGAATGGCTGCAACTAGAGGCCAGGGATGCACGTGTGGCATATCTTGTGGCATAGAAGCTCATGCAGTGTAAGTAGGTGTAGTGTGGTTTAAGAACTGTTCATGCATTAATTAACAATTAATTTTATTATATAGGTTGGGTATTGGTAGGGTTTTACACGATTGGAATGTTATTTTTATTTTATCATCCTCACACTTTCATAAAAATAATTTTTTTTAATGTCATCTGATAACCTATTAAAGTAAAGTAAAGTTTCCCTTTCAAACCTGATGGTCTATGGGGCAAGTGAAGTAGAGCTCACTTGTTTCTGTGACCTCGGCATATGAAGAGATAGTGTGGTCAGCACTATGCCCAGCCGCCTTTACTTTCCCTAACGTGAGTAAGGTACCCATCAGAGTTGGGTGGACTCAGGGACGGTCTACTAACTTGCACCCGGATTCGAATGATAACCTAGTGAGAGTTGTTAATCATATAGATGTTAATACCATCTGATGAGCTATGAGTTTTTTAGTAGAGATGTATTTTTGTTATCAGCTCTGAGTTTGTTCTATCTGAAGCAGAACTTATCCACAGAGTGCTGGTTGATGATGGAAGTAGCCAGGCACGTGTCAGATTTTGGGGCTGTAATTTGGTGCGCCAGTTGCTCACTCTAACGGCCAGACAGTGGGAGGATTTGGTCAGCGTCATTAAAACAGATGGGGATATTGTTCTGATAAAGGTAGTTTTTGTTTCATGCCATTGGAAAATATTGTTTTTAATTCAAGTAATTTTTCTCATCACCATTATAACACATTTAACAAAAAGACAACTTTGCTTGTACTAGAATTGAAAGCAATATTGTTTGCTAACATTTTTATATAGCAAAAAAATTTAATGAAGTAAACTTTGCAGAAAAAAAGTATTTTTTTACAAGTTTTACTGGGTTTGCAATGTTTGCTTGCTTGTTTGCTTTTTGTGGATTTGTGGCAAACCTTGTAGTCCAATTTTGATTAATTTCTAATGCAGCAATTTCATTCAAACTTTCCAGATAAGTTCTTTAAAACATTGTTAGTATTTATTTTTTAATCTATTTAGATAATGTTTGTTATTAAAAAGTAATTTAAAGATTACTATTTTGAATAATAAAAGGGAGAGAACAAGATAAATTACTAGCAATTCCGTTGGTGGTGAACTGTTTTCACGGTTGGCTAATTTCTTGCATGATGAGCTATCACGAACTAAGTAGGGAATTTTAGAGATCACAAGCTACTGGTTGGGTTTTAACATAAATATTTTTAGTCATTGTCTATGTAATGTTAACTTTCAAAAGAATGACTAAAATGTGGAAAAAAAACAAACTTTAAAAAAAACCTTTATAATAACAAGTTTTTAAAAGCAATGAAAATAAGAAAATAAAACAAACTTGCTTTCTTAAATAAAAGCTTTGGTCACTGAAATATGTAAGAGATCTCATGAGCGTCCAAAGCTTTATTAAAGAAAGCTAGCTTGTTTTTCCTTTCTTTTCAGTGCATTTAAAAGCTTGTAGTTATAAAGGTTTTTATATTAGTTTTATTATATGCATAAGACCTTATGAGGAGCTTAATTAAATTTTAATTAATTGCAGGTCCAAACAGCTGACCTGTCTTCCCCGACAGCTTTATTCCTGAACAGCCTGATTGAGTCACCACTGGTCTTGAGGCCTTGTAGATTGTTGGTTCAAAAGTGTCAGCGGTCAAGTTCTGCTGTGTTGGTCAGCAGGCTGGACTATCACAGTAAGTAATGGTTGGTTCCCTGTCTGTTTAGATTGGTTCTCTGTCTGTTTAGATTGGTTCCCTGTCTGTTTAGATTGGTTCCCTGTCTGTTTAGATTGGTTCCCTGTCTGTTTAGATTGGTTCCCTGTCTGTTTAGATTGGTTCCCTGTCTGTTTAGATTGGTTCCCTGTCTGTTTAGATTGGTTCCCTGTCTGTTTAGATTGGTTCCCTGTCTGTTTAAATTGGTTCCCTGTCTGTTTAGATTGGTTCCCTGTCTGTTTAGATTGGTTCCCTGTCTGTTTAGATTGGTTCCCTGTCTGTTCAGATTGGTTCCCTGTCTGTTTAGATTGGTTCCCTGTCTGTCTACTTATTCTACCTAGCTCAAAAGTATACCTGATCTGAGTACGGGTAATAACGATGACTGGGCATACTGCTGATCACACAATGCTTTCACATTTCACTCACTTTGCTGATAAATATGAATCAATGATGAACATAAAGTGGTCTTTGTATTTTTAAAAATTTACATTTTTAAATATTTTTTTAACTTTATAATTCCATACCAAAAATTCATGGTACATTGTGTAACAGTTTATTAATAGAGAAAACAGAAATATTCATGTTTCCCTTTTGGTATAATTTTTGTTTGGTATTTTTTAATTTAGGTTTTCCAGTTAAGGAAGAGAACATTTCTGGGAGACAGTACCAGACTCTGACATTACCTGTTATGGATCTGAAATGTGTGGCAGTAGAAGAAGCCGCGTGAAGAATTAATATATCTGTGTGGGTGGGGTCATTTACCCTTGGTCTTTCATTGCTGTTCCTGGTGACGTCACTTCATGTTTTGTGACTCTTGCATGGAAAATGTTTTTAACAGCATGTAAATAGCATTGGAGAAAAGTTAAATAAATTTACACAAGTACTGGGCTGTTGTGACATGGCACTGTTGACTGGAATGTAACTGTAAATTGGTGACTGGACTGTATTGGTTGGAATGTGACTGGACATTGGTGACTCTACTGTGTTGATTAGAATGTGACTGTACATAGGTGACTGAAATGTGACTGTACATTGGTGACTGAACCGAATTGATTGGAATGTGACTGTACATTGGTGACTGGACTGTATTGATTGGAATGTATTGGTGACTGGACTGACTTATGACTGTGTTGCCACATGTATGCAAGGTTTATGAGAAAAGCTATGTCAGCTATTTTTGTAGCTTTATTTATCAGTGATATTAAAATCTCAAGTACCTTACTCTAGATTTTTTTGTCTGAAATTTTGAATGACACTGGAACTGCTTTGCTTTGTGTAAATGGATGTGCTTATTTTTTTGTCATGTTTTGTTGTCTTAGGCTCTTTTTTTTCTCTATAATGATTGATTTTTTGAAAGATTATCAACACAGTTTTTCTAGGATAAAATATGACCCTTTTCAGCTGAATCATTTAGTACTTCTGCGTTATTCTGAGTTATTTTTAATTTAACCATAAAGAACAATATATCTTTCTTTTAATTATACAAGTCTTTGATAAATTAGGCAAACAGTTTTTGATCTATAGCTAAGCTTTATGCATGATATTTAAGAGCATTTAAAAAATTAATATTTTGAATTTTAAAGTTTCTAAAATGATGATTTATGAACTTCCTCGTTCTTAATTTTAGTGTTGGGATCCCCTCCAACACAATTTAGTATACATGTCAACTGGTTATGCCCCATTGAGGCCATTGACTCCGATTTCAGTCTGCTTTTCTTTTTTGGATTTGCTTCCATAGCCTTTGTCCAACCAAGAACAAACTACAAGGCAGCAGTTGTTTGATTTTGGAGTTGTCTCTCCTAGAAGAGTGGCTGTCCCCAGCTAACGAGCCTCTTCTGCCCGAGATTTATGAAATAAAATACACAAATCAGCAATATGTGCAAAATATATTGGGGGGAAAGGGGGAGTGTCAGGTGTGATGACTATATAAACAATCATTAAAAATCTATTCTAATGTAGGTATCTTCCCACTAAAACAACTTGTAGTCAGATGTAAGTTCATCTAATAATTATTTTGATTCTGTATGAAATCGCTCGCTATTCATAAATAAAAATTTATTAATTTCAGATTTTAAAATTATAAAAAAAAATAATCCCAATAAATAAACAAAAAATAGTTGTAGTACAAATAATATTCGATTTTTATTGCTCTAAAAATTCTCATTTATAATTAAATAATACCATTAGAATGTTGAGATTAGAGGTTGCAGGGCTCTGCATGCATATTTCTTGTTATTTACAGATGAGATGGTTGTTGATCTATAATACAGCAAGTTGTGTGTCACATGACCAGCAAGTTTCAGTCACATGACCGTAATAACATTATTGCAAAAAATGGATTCATTCATGAAAGATGAGTCATATGACAAATATAGAAAATAGTCATGTTGGTTCCAACTCTTTTGCCAAAGAGAAATAAAAAATGTTTGACATTGGTACAACAAGCAGATAGGAAAAGCTGCCTTGATTGACCTAATTAAATTTTAAAATTTTCTAAGGCACTTTTGGATGTTGGATTTATTTAAAATGAAATATTTTAAAACACTTGAGCTTTAATTTTTTAAATTTCGACTATTTAAAAAGAAATTTAAATAAACCGGTAGTGATCTCCCCTAAACTTTCTCGAATATTCTTATATAAAACAACAGGGGATGGTAACTGGGGATATAGTTATGATTTTTAATCCATTTTAAATACTTAAACTTTTAAAAATAGAATAGAATCTCATAAAAAAAACATTGCGCACCAAGCAAACGCCGAATAAAAACGCGTATAATAGTGCGCAATATTATTAGTACTTTAAAAATTTACATTAGTTTTTTGAGAAATCGGAAGTAGCGTAAATTACTACTTCCAGTCAACGGAAATTACTCAAAATTTAACAGAAGGTAGAGAATTATATCTTTTACTTACATGTGAAATTTCATTTATCTATCTGAAATAGTACTCAAGTTATAGGCTTTTAAAAAATTCAAAGTAGGAAAAGTACCACTTCCGGTTATCGGAAATCGCTCAAAAGTTGATACGGATCTACGATTTTGATAAAATACTTATATATGAAATTTCATCAACCTAGCTGTAACGGTACTTAAGTTATCGTGTTTACACACGGACAGACAGACAGACAGACAGACACACACACACACAGACATACGGACAAGATTGCAAAATTATGTTTTTCCGTATCAGTGAGGTGTAAAACGTCGAGATTTGTAAAAATCTCGATTTTTTTTTTTTGCACGATTACAATACTTTCTCTATACTACGTATATACGAGAAAGTAAAAACCCAAAAGCAACAAAATTAAGCCATTTTGTTTGAAACTTTTGAACAAAATAACTCATTACATGGACTATTAATCTTCTTGTTCTTTTTAATCGTTATTTGAATAATATGACTTTTCCTTCCTATTTATTTGTATACATCAAAATAATCAGGTAGGCAAACAATAGGCTTGATTGTACTTAAAACAAATTTGAATTCATAGAAAAAGTGCTCAATCAACAGATACAGACAGCCATTGCAATTTTAAAGGTAGTTATTCATTAAATATTTTAAATTCAAATGAATAAACTATTTTTTTTGGTTACAAAATACTCAAGCTGGTTAAATATATCTACTGTACAACAATGTCCAACAGATTTTAATTCTAAATTGAACAAAAGAGTTGGAATGTTTGAGACCAAATTAAAATCTGCAAAGTTTGCATCAAATGGGATGTTGACAAAAAACCCATTGGGCCCCCTCCAACCCATTGGGCCCCCCTCTTACATCACAACCAAAACTACCTATATTCTTTATTTACAAGCTAACTTATACAACAATTGAAATAGAGTAAAAAATATTTTAAAAACAAAACCCAAAACAAGTATTTGGTTATTAAAAAACCTTAACTCAGGCAGAACAAGAAAATGAATTCTCTAATCCAATGGCATACAAGGTTTCAAACATAGAACTTGAGCTGGGGGCTTGATACTTTCTATAGCACATTTATAGTCCTCACAATTCCTTCCAAAGGATTTGTAGTTGAAAATGTAAAAATATGGCAAAGACTAAATCTGTTATAAGAAAATTTACCAACTGGTACTATGCTATCACAAAAAACTGTTGCAATCATCACTTGAAATACTATCACCATGTACTCATCCATGATAGAAGTTTCCTGGCAGGCTGACGGCAATACATTTGTATGATTTATGACATTTCTTGAGGGGGATTGGATTGTGCATGATATTTATGTCGGGTAGATGATTGTTTATAATTAATGACATTTTGGGCAGAGGGTCAAAAGTAAAGTTCCCTTTTCAAACCTGATGGTCTATAGGGCCAGTGAAGTAGAGTTCACTTGTTTCTGTGACCTCGGCATATGAAAAGATAGTGTGATCAGCACTATACCCAGCCGGCCTTTACTTTCCCTAATGTGAGTTAGGTACCCATCAGAGTTGGGTGGACTCAGGGACGGTCTACTGACTTAAACCCGGATTCGAACTCGAGACTTACGGGTTAGCAGTCCAGCTCTCTACTGCTAGACCACTCCGTCGGGCAGAGGGTTGGATTATATAATTCATGACGTTTTGGGCAGGGAATTGGATAATATATGATCTATGAGATTTATTGTAGAGGGTTGGATATGTCAGAGAGATGTTTGTTTATGATTCATGACATTTTGTGCAGGGGTTTGGATAATATATAATTTATGAAATTTTGGCTGGGGGGTTGGATAATATATGATCTATGGGATTTTTTGTAGAGTCTTGTTTTGTATAAGGTTGATGAGATTTCTGGCAAGTGGATGATTGTATATGATTCATCATATGATGATTCTGGCAGACTTATGGAGAACTGTAAAGTTGGTGATGAGGTTAGATCTAGATATCACTACATAACCCATGCACATCATGAAGAGAAAATCTTTGAATAAATAATGAATCATCCTGTCCTCAGTATATACACGTGTTGTTGGGGTCGATGAGACGCATGTGTTCTCTGGAGTCATACAGTGAAGGCGCATACAGGAAAATGCTGAGAGTTCCACAAAAGCAGGCTGTGGTAAAGATGTAAAGAAAGAAGCGATCCATGACCATGGCTATGTACTTCCAGTCTCTTTCTTCCTGTAGAGTAAATGAACAATTATATCATTAGCTTCTGTAGCAACTGATAATATTCAAAAGCTGGATTTAAAACTATGTGAACATTTAAAATTTGAAATTGAATGAAAGAAACAAATATTTAACAAGTGATAACATAAATAATAAGAAAATTCATCAAAGAAGTGGTGATTATTAAAAGCATTTGACCTATGACTAAAATATTTAACCACTGACTGAATAAATCATAGTTTATAATAGAGTTAACAAATAATGAACATTTTTATCCAATAATTAAATACGAAAATAATTACACAGTAATAGAATATATAATAAAAATGTCAATCCAGTAATTGAAAAAAAAATGAAGATACTTACCCAGTAATTGAATTAATAATGAAAATATTTATCCAGTAATTAAATAAACAAATAAACTTTTAAACCAGTAATTAGAGAGTAATGAGAATAAACAGCAATTAAATGAATGATGAAGATAACAACTAATAGTTTTTCCAGTATTCAGGTATTTAGTTTACTTACTGCTATATCATCATCTCCTTTTTTCAAGTGGTTGGCAATAAATGTCACACCTTTTATTGCCTCCAAAACCTCTGGGGGATAATATGATGGACCCTCGCTCTCCGCAGATTCATTGCGTGTATGAATATTTTCATATGTGTGCAAGGGTTCATGCCCTGGCGATGGCGACTCACGTAACTCTATCCCATTCACAGTTCGCACAGAAACTTTTGTTTTTTTCTGAATTTCTGGTCTTTTCATAAATAAAACTCTGGGCAGAATTTCCGTGAATATTCTCCGAACCCAAGGGGACATTTTATGAGTAGTCGGAGATTTAAAATTAATATGCAACGTATAGACGGTCAGTGTTATGGACATAGTCACCACAATCATAATGAAAAGCAGGTACTTTCCAATGAGTGGAATCACTAGAGAAGTCGGAGGGTTCATGTCTGAGAGTAGCAAGAAAAACACAGTGAGCGCCAGCAGGATGGAGATGGAGAGAGTGATTTTCTCTCCGGAGTCGGATGGCAGGTAGAAGACCAGGACTGTGAGGCAGGAGATGGACACACAGGGCATGATGAGATTGAGCGTGTAGAAGAGTGTGCGGCGCCGTAAGGTTATGTTGAACGTGATGTCTGGGTACGGCTCGTTGCAGCAGGGGTAGAACTTGACCCGTTTCATGGCAGTGACGTTGAGGATGTCCCACTCAACATTGTAGTAGTAGTCTGTCAGGTCGATGCCACGAGGTATGATGATGTTTGATTTCACCGGGTCGGCCTCGTTGGTAATTACAATACCATCACACAAGTGCTGTAAGTCAAGCTCGTTGCCGTGGTATGTCCAAGAGCTGATCTTCAGGAAACACTCCTGAATGTCAAAGGGAAAGTACTCTACATCAATGGGACAGTAACTCTTGTAGATGGCTGGGGGCTCCCAGACAATTTTCCCACTGTAGTACACAATGGCTTTTGTCTTCAGTGTTATTTGAAAATCACCATCGGCACTGAGGATATAAAAAATTGTATGATTTGAAGACAATGTAAAAAAAACTGTATGTTTCACATAGACATTTAGGCTACCAGTTAATCTCTTTTCTTTAAAAATTAAATTTAAATTCTTAAACCGAATAATTTCACTATAAATCTTGACCATAAACAAAAACTTGACCATGAACTTTGAACTAGAACCTGTGGGGTTTGTATCAGCCTAGTCTAAGTTCACTACCTGGAACTTAGCCAACCAACAAGTCTGGTGCACTTACTTGTTGTAATCTGGTGCACTTACTTGTTGTAATCTGGTGCACTTACTTGTTGTAATCTGGTGCACTTACTTGTTGTAATCTGGTGCACTTACTTGTTGTAATATGGTGCACTTACTTGTTGTAATATGGTGCACTTACTTGTTGTAATCTGGTGCACTTACTTGTTGTAATCTGGTGCACTTACTTGTTGTAAACTGGTGCACTTACTTGTTGTAATCTGGTGCACTTACTTGTTGTAATCTGGTGCACTTACTTGTTGTAATCTGGTGCACTTACTTGTTGTAAAGGACAAGGTCAGGCTTCCACAGCTGGTCTGATGGGATGTTGAGAACCTTGACACCACCGTAGTCGTTGGGGTCCCACTTCAACCTCAGGTCACACCACTCCTGGACACAGAATTAAAGGGTCATAAAATATTTATCTAGGGGACTTTTGATGTCAACAAAATCATTAAGTTATAGAAGTGTATATAACAATACTTTATAGGGAAACAAAAATTAATTCTTAGATCATACTATAAAAATATAAACATTAGTCATTAGATCTATTTAAATAAAATAATATGATTATTATTATTACCGTTAATATTATTTGGAACATTAAGTACAGAAAATACTAAATAGGCCAACATCTAAAAAAGTCTGTCAAAAGATATGGAACGCTGTAAGGTATAACTATTCCACCCCTCTCCCCTCCTTTATTTCAGAATATCACATGTATTGATTGTGACGTATACGGATGTCAGAAAATCCTTATTGCAATGATAATCAATAACACTTATCCCAATCTGGCAATGCTCGCTTTGGCCAGATTTACCTACAATGTTGGCCATAATTCTGGTTCTATCAAGTACTTATTATGTAGATCTCTCCTCTCAATTGGGGAGTGGAAGGGTGTGTATGGGGGTGGGGGGTATTGTAAAATACCAGCACAGCGTTAGGGAACTGATTTAGTAGACTATGATCCACGCGTACACATTGCGTGGAAAAATGTGACCATGGAAGAGTAAACATGGCTCCCGCCTTCTGGTTCAAGGGCAATATTTTCTAAGCTCTCTAGATGGCGCAGCGATCTTTAGTGAATGAACGCGGATGTCTCATTTCAACACTTGCCTTTCTCCACGCAGCCCATAGAAATTCTAGTGCGCAATGTTATTCCGTCTGTTGCCCTCAATAGCACCCCGTAGGGAGAGATCTTCATATATGGTTAGGCGGCCTTGTGGATTTTAGAATTAAATTTTTTTCTAGACAATTCGAATTTGCTCGCTCAAAGTAAATTTGCTTGGTAGTAAATTAGCTCTACTCTTAGCAGATTGTTTTTAGAAAAAACAAGCGATTGCCAGGTAATAAATTCATTGGCAATTTCTTAACTGATAAAAAGAAAGAAAATTAGCTACAAGTAACTCAACATTAAGTGGTCGATTTGCGATATTGAAAGCTACTTATGAATTGGAGGGAATAATATTTTGAAATGTTATCAAAAAATAATTTACCGGTTACCTCCCTTACAATGTTCGAGACCCGCAGCACATTAAAAATGTTGAAACATTGACGAAACAAAATTTCTTTAAATAAGGCAGACGATGGTCACTGGATAGTTCCAGTCTGTCTCATGTACAAAATTGCTGTTGTCATGTTTTGGTATGAATTAGGTATTCGTTTCAAAGTCCTAGGTCTGTTTAATTTTTGTTCCAAATGTTTGGTATGTTTTATACTAGTTTATAAGCTAAATTTATTAATTTATTAATTAGATCTAGGGGTCATCCATAAATGACGTCACACTCGTAGGGGGGAGGGGGGGTCCGTAATTTTGTGACGAAGTGTGATGAGGGGGAGGGGGGTTCATATATTATTGCGACGTCACATTTTTGCATTATAAAAAAGCAATGTTAGAAAACGAATTTTAGACGTTATTTCGCGTTTTAGATAACTGTTTTAATAAATTGTAATAGTTTAGACAAGATTTTGGAAAAATATGTTTAAAAAAAATTCAACTGCAATTTTGAGGGGGGTTGTAGGTTGAGGTGTGACGTCATTTTAGGGGGGGGGGGGGGGGTCTGGCTTTTTGTGACGACGTGTGACGGAGGGGAGGGGGGGGAGGTAAAAATCGTCAAAAAAAGCGTGACGCCATTTATGGATGACCCCCAGTTTATGTTTGTCCCAAGTTTTGGGTCTAATTTACTTGAAATTTGAATTCATTGTTCTATCTTGGTCGGAAATATAGAGCTACTAGGTATTCATTGTTTGCACACCAAAGCATACAAAGAATTACAAAAATATGTAGAACATATAAACAGCTACATGTATATTCATTTTATATGCATACATAATAAATACATATTATAGTTTATAGATATACGTTAGCGGAATAATACTTTGAAAATAAAAGCACATAATGGGACATACAGGAACATACAATAATATAAATATTAGATAATTGAATATACAGAAACATACAAATCATAAACACACTGGATGAACATATTACAGAATTCACCTACATAATGAAACATACAGGAACAAACAACAAAATACTTGCACATATTGGAACATTCATACAACAAAATTTTTGCACATATTGGAACATATGGTTACTTCCCTTCTGCCGGGATTTAAAACACGTTTCCATTTTGAGTTAAAAATGATTGTAGCTTTTATTCTGGAGTTGACCTTCGAGCAAATTAAAACTTAAGCCTACGCTTACATCTGCCTGCATGCCTGGGGCTAGCGGCATGAAATTAGAATAAGGAACCGAACTAGACAGGCTTCTAGGGGTGGGCAGGGTGGGAGCATCATTTGGAAATTTAAATCAAACCCAATTAGGGGTACCGGATGAAGTAAAGGATTTGGGGGAGGGGGAGGAGCGGCTGGTTATTGGAATAACCGTCCTCAAATAACACGAGTTAACAACGTAGAGGAGAAGGAAAAAAAACGTCATTTATAAGAAATTTCGTCTGTTATTTGTCTCGTTCCATCTAGCACATGCCGTCTGTCTAAAAATGTGCTTCCGAATAGACAAACGAGATCCATTCGCCTTTTGATTAAAAAACTCAAGATTGAATTTTAAAAACATCCACAGACACATTTTTGTAACTGGGCGTGCATCGAGCTGGTAACATTTGTTACAAAAAGGCGTCAAGGTTACCCCCCCCCCTCCGTCCCCCGCCCTGCCACCCCCAGCCTGGAGGACGGCCCTTGAGAAACTATGAATACTAATCAAAGTGGCCAAAGGTCTCGTTTGGGATCAATAGCGCGGACATGAAGCTTAGTAGGTCGCGCTCAGACGCCCGGGGGTGAGAAACTTGGTCAGCTTTTACACAGGAGTCAAGTTGATTCATATAGATATACATTTACATATGTGTCACCATATGACGACACACCGTGTGACGACACATGAGGACACATGTATCATCACATGACGACACATGTATCACCACATGAAGACACACCACATGATGACACACGTATCCCCACATCACGACACATCACGTAACGACACATGTATCACCACAAGACGACACACCACATGATGACACACGTATCACCACACCACATCACATGACGACACATGTATCACCACATGACGTCACACCACACGACGACACATGTATCACCACACCACGACACACCACATGTCGACACACGTATCACCACATGACGACACATGTATCACCACATGACGTCACACCACACGACGACACATGTATCACCACACCACGACACACCACATGACGACACACGTATCACCACATGACGACACATGTATCACCACATGACACACGTATCACCACACGACGACACATGTTAACCTCACCTGCCGAAGCCAGACGCTGATTCTCAGGATTTGATTCCGTTCATCCTGTTGACAAAAAAATCAGTTAATACAGAAACACTGACACGTTGGCGTGACACTTTGACGTGACAGGTTGACGTGACATGTTGGCGTGACACTTTGACGTGACATCATCTTTCTTACAGATATTAAAACACATGACCTGTAATGTCATTCGTCAAATGTCATCCAGTCCATTCCACACCCCACACCCCCCGCCATCCAATCTTGATGATATTCTATTCAAAAATTTCTAACAATCAACTCAACTGGTATACAACAACTAAAATACTTCATAATGTTAGTCATTTATTGACGAATGTGTTTAAGCTTTCATTGATATTTAGATTTTTTAAATTTCAAAAACTTCACTATGACGTGAATACAATTTTTAATGTTTAATGTTTGTGGCCAATTTTAAACTAATAATATTTAAAATTTGTGGTCAATATTCAAAATTATAATGTTTAAAATTTGTGGTTAAAATTCAAATTTATAATGTTTAAACTTGTGGTCAATATTCAAATTTATAATGTTTAAACTTGTGGTCAATATTCAAATTTACAATGTTTAAACTTGTGGTTAATATTCAAAGTTATAAAGTTAAAGTTGTTGGTGAAAATCCAAATTTATAATGTTGAAAGTAACTGTGTTGTAACTGAGTTTAGTTTATTTTAAGAATGCGATATGGCAAAATAAACAAAATATCCACAGTGATTTATATTTTTAAAATATCCACATTGATTTATATTTTAAAAATATCCACGTTTATTTGTTTTAAAATGTCCAAATTGATTTATATTTTAAAAATATCCACGTCGATTAGTATTTTAAAAATATCCACGTTTATTTTTTTTTAAATATCCACATTGATTTATATTTTTAAAATATTCACGACGATTAGTATTTTAAAAATATCCACGTTTATTTGTTTTAAAAATATCCGCATTGATTTGTTTTTTCTTAAAATATCGCCTAGTTACCACAAAATTAAACATCGATATTAAAAAAAATGTCATTATGTAAAAAGCAATCACATTTCTAAAATCGATTTTATTCTAACGGCGCAAAATGTTATTAGCCCCACTAGACTCACGCCATCAAGAACTAACCAACACTAGCAGTAAAAAAATTTGCTTCGGTTTTAGATCTAGGCCAAACACTTTTTTTATCAACATCCGGTACACGATTACACAAATCACAACTACAGTAAAAATAATTAATAAAAAACGTTTTAATAACAAGCTTTTATGTAAAATGCAATAAAAAGTAGAAAATAAATACTTTTCTTTAAATATATAATAATACCCTACTACTTAAATAACTATAAAGAAAAGCGTGGGTCACTTTCTTATCTATTGGATACCTTTATTAATATTTAGGAGGAGACCCACGCTTTTCTTTATAGTTACTTTAATAGTAGTGTATTATTATATATTTAAAGAAAATTATTTATTTTCTACTTTTTAGTGCATTATTACATAAAAGCTTGTTATTAAAACTTTTTTTAATGAATGTTTTTCTCAGTTCTTGAAATTTGTAAAATTTACAATAGAGTTGCATGCCTAAAAACCCTTGCGCACCTAATGAACGTGATGACGCACGTATAATATTGCGGAATAGTTGGGTAGACAGCCTACTAATTTGGACACAGTTTTAATTAATTTATAAATAATTAATTAGGCATCCAATTAAGTCGAATTTAATGTTAGATTGCATTGTCTTCATGTCTTAACCTACGTGCCAACTTTGAATCGAATCTGTCTGTTAGAAGTACCCGAAATTTCGCTAGGGCGTTTCGATTAAGACAGACTGATGACAGACAGACAGAGGAAGCAAGTTAAATAAAAGCTTGTAAAAATGTTTGTACTGTTACACAACCTCAACGTTTGGCCTTGTGGGTGCTGGGAACTGAAAACGTACTCATTTTAAAATATTTTCAAATGTGCCAAAAATATCGATTCATTTTTTTTTGTATTCCTTCCTCCAATTTTTATGTAATTTGTCCAGTATGTCATAGGAATTATTGTAACCCCACCGTGCACCGAACAGCATGCAATTTCGCAGGACATGGATTTAATATGATAATAATTTTTAGCTTCGATTCAACATCTTATTTACAACCTACCAGAATTTTCAAAGCGTTACTTTATTTTATGCACCCACAATACATTTTAAAATTTAATAAATTCTAATTACTTTATTAAAAATACTTTATTGGGCGGTAGTACAGAGCAAATAGAGTGTTTCGTCCATAATAACAATGATATACGAAACTAGATTCTACATCTTGATCTACGCCATTGGTATTTTAAAACAAACAAAATAACATGGAAAAATTCAACCCTTTTTTTTCTTCCAACAAAACTCCCACTGTCATTTTGTTTTTACTTTGTTTCCCTCAGTGGCTGCCCCTATTTTAGCTTCTCTCGTTTTATTCATTTCCTCATTTTTCGCAATTTTCTCCGTAGGTTTTTTATTTCGCTATTTAGCTGAAGGTGTTCCGTGAAAAAATGACGCGCTCTGTTGTGTCTTAAGAAAAAGTAAAATAAATTTATGTTTCTTATAAAAGAAAAGGTGTGATTACTCCCCACCCCCACCATCCCCACAACAACCAGTGCACAATGTATTAATAAATATATATTATGTTAACATAAACCGCAGCGAAATACACCCACACCAGCAAGAACAAGCGTATATTATATATATATATATATATATATATATATATATATATATATATATATATATATATATATATATATATATATGTGTATATATATATATATATATATATATATATGTGTGTGTGTGTGTGTGTGTGTATGTGTTAGTAACAGGATGTGATGCATGTCTGTAAGTGACGAAGTGAATACATGTAAGTTACATCAGGTACACGGCGGGGTGTATGTCTGTTTTACTCGTTGCTTCTTGTAAATTAAAAGCAAGAAAATCGCAGAACGCACCAAATGGTTTTGTTAACCCCAATAAACGCTGGCTAACTCCTTCTCATTAGACCAACTGATGGGGTAGTCGGAGCTCTGTGGAAATGGTTCAGTGGGTAGCCAACCCAGGGCATCATCCTCTAAACCCTGTAGAAAACCCCGATGACACCACGGAGAAACCCCGTAGAAACCCCATGAAAACCATGTATGAACCCCGTGTGTGTGTGTGTGTTTGTGGGTGTAGTGTGATGGTAGGGGGTGGGGGAAGTTAACGTGAAAAATGCACTAGCTACTTCCTGTGGGGCGGGTCACGTGACAGGCTGACGTCACGATAGTGCTGGCTATCTGATCAGACGTCAACAAGACGTCACGTGTGTTACAACTGTGAACAGTCTTGAGGCCATCGCTAAATGGTCTTTACTTGAGGCCATCGCTAAATGGTTCTTGAGGCCATCGCTAAATGGCCTTTACTTGAGGCCATCGTAAATGGCCTTTACTTGAGGCCATCGCTAAATGGCCTTTACTTGAGGCCATCGCTAAATGGTTCTTGAGGCCATCGCTAAATGGCCTTTACTTGAGGCCATCGCTAAATGGTTCTTGAGGCCATCGCTAAATGGTTCTTGAGGCCATCGCTAAATGGTTCTTGAGGCCATCGCTAAATGGTTCTTGAGGCCATCGCTAAATGGTCTTTACTTGAGGCCATCGCTAAATGGTTCTTGAGGCCATCGCTAAATGGTCTTTACTTGAGGCCATCGCTAAATGGTTCTTGAGGCCATCGCTAAATGGTCTTTACTTGAGGCCATCGCTAAATGGTTCTTGAGGCCATCGCTAAATGGTTCTTGAGGCCATCGCTAAATGGTTCTTGAGGCCATCGCTAAATGGTTCTTGAGGCCATCGCTAAATGGTTCTTGAGGCCATCGCTAAATGGTTCTTGAGGCCATCGCTAAATGGTTCTTGAGGCCATCGCTAAATGGTCTTTACTTGAGGCCATCGCTAAATGGTCTTTACTTGAGGCCATCGCTAAATGGTTCTTGAGGCCATCGCTAAATGGCCTTTACTTGAGGCCATCGCTAAATGGTTCTTGAGGCCATCGCTAAATGGCCTTTACTTGAGGCCATCGCTAAATGGTTCTTGAGGCCATCACTAAATGGTTCTTGAGGCCATCGCTAAATGGCCTTTACTTGAGGCCATCGCTAAATGGTCTTTACTTGAGGCCATCGCTAAATGGCCTTTACTTGAGGCCATCGCTAAATGGTTCTTGAGGCCATCGCTAAATGGCCTTTACTTGAGGCCATCGCTAAATGGCCTTTACTTGAGGCCATCGCTTAATGGTTCTTGAGGCCATCGCTAAATGGCCTTTACTTGAGGCCATCGCTTAATGGTTCTTAAGACCATCGCTAAATGGCCTTTACTTGAGGCCATCACTAAATGGCCTTTACTTGAGGCCATCACTAAATGGCCTTTACTTGAGGCCATCTCTAAATGGCCTTTACTTGAGGCCATCTCTAAATGGCCTTTACTTGAGGCCATCACTAAATGGCCTTTACTTGAGCCCATCGCTAAACGGCCTTTACTTTAGGCCACCGCTAAACGGCCTTTACTTGAGGCCATCGCTAAATGGTTCTTGAGGCCATCGCTAAATGGCCTTTACTTGAGGCCATCGCTAAATGGCCTTTACTTGAGGCCATCGCAAATTGGCCTTTACGAGACTTTGAATATTAATATTCACTTATCTACTACTGCAATAGGGCCATTCTTAATGGATCATTTTATATCAAAATTGGCCAACTAGTTTTAGGCCATTTTCTTCGCTACTAAACGGCTTTACTTTAGTATGAACATGATAAAGGCAACTGGCCAACAGTTTTTAGGCCATAGCTACATGGCCTTACGTGAGCACTGTCAAGCCGAAGTTGTCTTAGTCAACTGTCTACATTCCCCAATAACTTAAGAAATCAACTAACAATATTTTTATATGTTGTAAAAAAACAACAATCTACCCAAGACTTTTCAATGAACAAAGAAAAAAAAACCAACAACACGTAAATCAAAGTCACCCTGGCATTGATTCATTTCGATTCT